AGCCGAGCTGAGAGCCGAGCCGAGCCGAGCCGAGAGCCGAGAGCTGAGCCGAGCTGAGAGCAGAGCCGAGCCGAGAGCCGAGAGCCGAGAGCCGAGAGCCGAGAGCCGAGAGCCGAGAGCCGAGAGCCGAGAGCCGAGAGCCGAGAGCCGAGAGCCGAGAGCCGAGAGCCGAGAGCCGAGAGCCGAGAGCCGAGAGCCGAGAGCCGAGAGCCGAGAGCCGAGAGCCGAGAGCCGAGAGCCGAGAGCCGAGAGCCGAGAGCCGAGAGCCGAGAGCCGAGAGCCGAGAGCCGAGAGCCGAGAGCCGAGAGCCGAGAGCCGAGAGCCGAGAGCCGAGAGCCGAGAGCCGAGAGCCGAGAGCCGAGAGCCGAGAGCCGAGAGCCGAGAGCCGAGAGCCGAGAGCCGAGAGCCGAGAGCCGAGAGCCGAGAGCCGAGAGCCGAGAGCCGAGAGCCGAGAGCCGAGAGCCGAGAGCCGAGAGCCGAGAGCCGAGAGCCGAGAGCCGAGAGCCGAGAGCCGAGAGCCGAGAGCCGAGAGCCGAGAGCCGAGAGCCGAGAGCCGAGAGCCGAGAGCCGAGAGCCGAGAGCCGAGAGCCGAGAGCCGAGAGCCGAGAGCCGAGAGCCGAGAGCCGAGAGCCGAGAGCCGAGAGCCGAGAGCCGAGAGCCGAGAGCCGAGAGCCGAGAGCCGAGAGCCGAGAGCCGAGAGCCGAGAGCCGAGAGCCGAGAGCCGAGAGCCGAGAGCCGAGAGCCGAGAGCCGAGAGCCGAGAGCCGAGAGCCGAGAGCCGAGAGCCGAGAGCCGAGAGCCGAGAGCCGAGAGCCGAGAGCCGAGAGCCGAGAGCCGAGAGCCGAGAGCCGAGAGCCGAGAGCCGAGAGCCGAGAGCCGAGAGCCGAGAGCCGAGAGCCGAGAGCCGAGAGCCGAGAGCCGAGAGCCGAGAGCCGAGAGCCGAGAGCCGAGAGCCGAGAGCCGAGAGCCGAGAGCCGAGAGCCGAGAGCCGAGAGCCGAGAGCCGAGAGCCGAGAGCCGAGAGCCGAGAGCCGAGAGCCGAGAGCCGAGAGCCGAGAGCCGAGAGCCGAGAGCCGAGAGCCGAGCGCCGAGAGCCGCGAGCCGAGCCGAGCCGCGAGCCCAGCCGAGCCACGAGGCGAGCCGAGCCGAGCCGAGAGCCGAGCCGAGAGCCGAGCCGAGAGCCGAGCCGAGAGCCGAGCCGAGAGCCGAGCCGAGAGCCGAGCCGAGAGCCGAGCCGAGAGCCGAGCCGAGAGCCGAGCCGAGAGCCGAGCCGAGAGCCGAGCCGAGAGCCGAGCCGAGAGCCGAGCCGAGAGCCGAGCCGAGAGCCGAGCCGAGAGCCGAGCCGAGAGCCGAGCCAAGAGCCGAGCCGAGAGCCGAGCCGAGAGCCGAGCCGAGAGCCGAGCCGAGAGCCGAGCCGAGAGCCGAGCCAAGAGCCGAGCCGAGAGCCGAGCCGAGAGCCGAGCCGAGAGCCGAGCCGAGAGCCGAGCCGCAAGCCGAGCTGAGAGCCGAGCCGCGCCGAGAGCCGAGCCGAGAGCCGAGCCGAGAGCCGAGCCGAGCCGAGAGCCGAGCAGAGCCGAGAGCCGAGCAGAGCCGAGAGCCGAGCCGAGCCGAGAGCCGAGCCGAGCCGAGAGCCGAGCCGAGCCGAGCCGAGAGCCGAGCTGAGCAGAGAGCTGAGCCGAGCCGAGAGCCGAGCCGAGCCGAGAGCCGAGCCGAGCCGAGAGCCGAGCCGAGCCGAGCCAAGAGCCGAGCCAAGCCGTGAGCCGAGCCGAGCCGCGAGCCGAGCCGAGCCGCGAGCCGAGCCGAGCCGCGAGCCGCGAGCCGAGCTGAGCCGCGAGCCGAGCCGCGAGCTGAGCCGAGAGCCGAGCCGAGAGCCGAGAGCCGAGAGCCGAGAGCCGAGAGCCGAGAGCCGAGAGCCGAGAGCCGAGAGCCGAGAGCCGAGGGCCGAGAGCCGAGGGCCGAGGGCCGAGGGCCGAGGGCCGAGGGCCGAGGGCCGAGGGCCGAGAGCCGAGGGCCGAGAGCCGAGAGCCGAGAGCCGAGAGCCGAGAGCCGAGAGCCGAGAGCCGAGAGCCGAGAGCCGAGAGCCGAGAGCCGAGAGCCGAGAGCCGAGAGCCGAGAGCCGAGAGCCGAGAGCCGAGAGCCGAGAGCCGAGAGCCGAGAGCCGAGAGCCGAGAGCCGAGAGCCGAGAGCCGAGAGCCGAGAGCCGAGAGCCGAGCTGAGAGCCGAGCCGAGCCGAGCCGAGCCAAGAGCCGAGCCGAGCCGAGAGCCAAGAGCCGAGAGCGGAGAGCCGAGAGCCGAGAGCCGAGAGCCGAGAGCCGAGAGCCGAGAGCCGAGAGCCGAGCCGAGCCGAGAGCCGAGCCGAGCCGCGAGCCAAGCCGAGCCGCGAGCCAAGCCGAGCCGCGAGCCAAGCCGAGCCGAGAGCCGAGCCGAGAGCTGAGCCGAGCCACGAGCCGCGAGCCGAGCCGAGCCGAGCCGAGAGCTGAGCCGAGCCACGAGCCGCGAGCCGAGCCGAGCCGAGAGCCGAGAGCCAAGCCGAGCCGAGAGCCGAGCCGAGCAAAGAGCCGAGCAGAGCCGAGAGCCGAGAGCCGAGCCAAGAGCCGAGCCGAGCCGTGAGCCGAGCCGAGCCGCGAGCCGAGCCGAGCCGAGAGTTGAGCCAAGCCGCGAGCCGAGCCAAGCCGCGAGCCGAGCCGAGCCGAGAGCCGAGCCGAGCCGAGAGCTGAGCCGCGAGCCGAGCCGAGCCGAGAGCCGAGCCGAGCCGAGAGCCAAGCAGAGCCGGGAGCCGAGCCGAGCCGCGAGCCGAGCCGGGCCGAGAGCCGAGCCGAGCCGAGAGCCGAGCCGAGAGCCGAGCCGAGCCGTGAGCCGAGCCGAGCCGAGCCGAGAGTTGAGCCGAGCCGCGAGCCGAGCCAAGCCGTGAGCCGAGCCGAGCCGAGAGCCGAGCCGAGCCGAGCCGAGCCGAGAGCCGAGCCGGGTCGAGAGCCGAGCCGAGCCGGGAGCCGAGCCGAGCCGGGAGCCGAGCCGAGCCGCGAGCTGAGCCAAGCTGAGCCGAGCCGCGAGCCAAGCCGAGCCGAGCCGGGAGCTGGGAGCCGGCATGCAGCCGGGAGCCAGGAGCCAGCATGGAGCCGGGAGCCGGCATGGAGCCGGGAGCTGGGAGCCGGCATGGACCCGGGAGCCAGCATGGAGCTGGCATGGAGCCGGGAGCCGGCATGGAGCCGGGAGCCAGCATGCAGCCGGGAGCCGACATGGAGCTGGGAGCCGGCATGGACCCGGCATGGAGCCGGGAGCCGGCATGAACCCGGCTTGGAGCCGGGAGCCAGCATGGAGCCGGGAGCCGGCATGGAGCTGGGAGCCGGCATGGAGCCGGGAGCCGGCATGGAGCCAGGAGCTGGCATGGAGCCAGGATCTGGGAGCCGGCATGGAGCCGGGAGCCGGGAGCCGGTGGAGTTGGGTGTGTTTAGTTGGAGGCAGTTCAGAGGTGGGCTACTTTTTTTGGTAGTAGTGTTTCCTCTTCTTGGCTTGTTCTGGGGATGTAGGCGGAGCTGAGGGTTGTTCGGGTTCCCTGAACACAGGGGTACGAAGGGGAATCAGGGGTCCCTGAACTCGGGGGTTAGCAGGGGTATCAGGGGTCCCAGAACCCAGGGGGTTGCATGTGGCTTTTTTATGTTTGGGTGTTTGTTTTTCGTTTTTGTGTTCATGTGGAGGGAGGCTGTTTGGTTGTTTTCAGCCTTCAGTGGTGGTGGTGTTGCCCTCGCCTGTCCAGGTGGTCAGAGTGAGGTTTTGACCTATTAAGCAGGTCACCCGTCCTTGTCCTTGTCCTGTCTGGTGTATTGTCTATTGCAGTTCCTTTCTTCTCTGTCAGGTGGGCTTGTACGTGGTGTTTTCCAGGGGTGCTTCCCATGTATCCAGTGGTTATTTTCTTCGCTAGTTTTTTTGTTGTCTTCCTGTCCTTCCTCTGTAACAGTCCACATCGGAAAACAAACTCATCAGCCCCTGATTCCTTCGGGCAGCGAGTTGGCCAGGCCGTGAGTTGTTCGGGCAACTCACTAACCCATGAGTTGTTCGGGCCAACTCATCGACCCCTAAGTTGTTCGGGCAGCGAGTTGGTAAGGCCGTGAGTTGATAGGGCCGGCCCATTGACCTCACGGCCTGTGGGGGCTATCCGTGCCGTGCGGGGGCTGTCTGTGCAGTGTGGGGGCTGTCCGTGCCGGGCAGGAGCTGTCGGGGCGGGCGGGGGCTGTCCGTGCCGTGCGGGGGCTGTCGGGGCCGTAGGGGGCTGCCCGTGCAGTGCGGGGGCTGTCCGTGCCGTGCGGGAACTTTCCGAGCCGGGCGGGAGATATCAGGTCCGGGCGGGAGCTAACGTGCCGTGGGGGGCTGTCCGTGCTGTGTGGGGGCTGCCCGTGGCGGGGGCTGTCAGTGCTGTGCGGAGCCTGCCCGTGCAGTGTAGGGGCTGTCCGTGCTGTGTGAGTGGGGGGGGTGGCCATGCCGTGCGGGGGCAGTCCGTGCGGTGCGGGGGCTGTCTTTGCCGTGTGGAGGCTGTCTGTGCAGTATGGGGGCTGTCCGTGCCGTGTAGGGGCTGTCCGTCTCGAGCGAGGGCTGTCGGGGCAGGGCGGGAGCTGTCAGGGCCGGGCCGGAACTATTGGGGCCGGGCGGGAGCTATCGGCGCTGGGTGGGGGCTGTTCGTGCTGTGCGGTGGCTGCCCATGCATGCCACCTCGCAGCGCCTTCTGCCCCCCCTTACCCCACCCCTCTGCATGCCACCGTGCACCGCTTGCTGCCCCCCTAGGACCAGTTTATTACCCCGCTTTATTCTGCTCTTCTAGCTGACGGACATTAGCATTGTGAGTGCTTGCAACAGGCCATTGCAGATAACTTAATAGTTGGCCGCACATGCGGCTAGTCACTTGCCTTTCAGTGTCAGCAACGCCGGATGGCTAGAATGGGTTGGATAAAGAGACAGGGGTTCATTTGTAAATCTCTAAAGTTGTGAGGCTTATACGGTACTGGATTGGGGGCTATTGTCGCAGTGGTGGTAACATACAGCAAATGGCCGTTACCCAGGCCACATGGCCTTTACAAAGTCAGCATGTACCAGATGCAAGCGTACGGACGGTCGTTCATGTAAGCGCCCCTCTGAAGAGGTCAATCCGCAGGCAAGGTTCAAACCCTAAGCGTGCGTCCCATCTCGGTGGACGGAAGCAGCTAGTAGAACAGGCAACCAACGGCCTAACGGAAAGCATCGAAAAAGAGGCAGTACACAGTCACTTGCACATTAGATATGGCGACCCAGATAAAGCGTGGCCCAGCATGCCGTACAACATGCAAGTTCATCTGTGCTGACCCAGCTACAGTTCTTCAGGCGGCCAGCACAAGGAAAGGCCAACTGCTTCCTACGCACAACTCCGACATGCACAGCAACCCATAGCACCCAACTGCCGTACATGCTGCTCGGTAGTTCAGTGCTGCATGCTGCTCGGTTTGCAGAGCACCCGGTCACATGTCGCCCATGCTCCACAGCCGGGCTTCCAACTCCCGTGCCGCACGAGCACTCTGGCTCCTGCGCGGGAAAAGAATAGGTGGTACAGAACGCTTAAAGAGAGGGCTAATCCGGGTCCAGGGGTCAGGGGCATTCCGCGCTGTCTACACCGTTTCCAGTCACATGAAGATTACGTGTTAAACTTGCCACTACATGTTTGGATTGCTGTGGCCCAACGCTCCTTGCACTCACAACCCCAAACGCATGTCCCCACCCACGCCGCCCGCTCACTTGAACAGCTCTTCCTCGAATCCATTGCTGCGGTTGACTCCGTCCCAGTGACGGCCCGGCCGGATGTTGTAGCGGTTGGCGGGGGCCGCCACGCCGCGCTTCAGCCAGCTGTGCGGCGGCACCTCCTGGGGTATTTTAAAGCCTATAGAGGTGAGTGGGCATGGGGTCAGGCGAGGGAGGGTGGGAACACGGTAAGGAGTAAGGCCCATGGTGATTTCAGCATTTCTAGGCGGAAGGTTAGGGTACGGTATAACGTACTACAACGGTTGCTACGGTTGTTACGGTATGGCATCGGGAAGAGTAGATGGCATTTTAATGGCATGGAGCCCTGATCAGACCTGGCAACACAGGTCCCATGGCCCCGCAGCCACGACTACCAACGCAGCTCTACCCTCCGTCACCCGACCGCTAACATTTCCTTGGTTTCTGTGCCGCCTCCTATCCCCTCACTTGCCCTCACTTGTGGTTTGTTATCCCTGTCTCTCCTCGACTTACCTGATTTGCCCAGCTTCTCCGCATCGTATCGCTCCGTGATTGCCGCTACCGCCTCCGCCTCCGCCCCCGCCTGCTTGCGGCGGGCCAGGTGCGCGAAGGGGTCGCCGAAGCGCACCTGCTCACGCAGCGCGGCGTCGTGACGGCTGTCGATGTCGGAGCGGGCGAACGGCTTGGCGGCCTGCAGGGGTGGCAGGAGGGGGGGTCAGGGAAGCCGCATGGCAACACGAACACGCAGCATGGCAGGGGAGGGGAGGGGAGTGATTTGCATGTTGCGGCCCAACTGGGAAGGATTCAACGGCGGCCTAGTACCGGAATGCCCCGTATGCCCAGGTACGTGTATTCACGTGTGTGTGCTGCGCTCGGCCTCCTGAGAACACTTCCGCTAGCTAGCTATCCTCACATTGCCTTCATGCATCCATTTTTTGAAGCTGCTGGCTCAGTGGCTTCTCTAGCCAGCCACATCGTTCAGCCCCATACCGGAATGGGAACCCTTTCTTCCCCTCCTCCACTCTGCGCAGCTGAAACCATACGGGCATCACCCGTACCTCCCCCCCATCCACACCCCTCCCTGGCTTGGCTAATTCGGGCAGGGCGGGCCGGGCTGGCTCACATGTTGCAAACCATGATGATGCCTTATCATACGGTCAGTTAGTTGTTTCCTTTTTACACCCCTCCCTGAACAAACCCCCCACCACCACCATCCTTCCTCCCAGCCTTTGGGGTCTGCGGGATTAGGGGGTTGGGGTCACCGGGCTTGAGTCACCGAGGTCTCGTCATACCTCTTTTCCTCGTACCTCTTGCTCGTCCTGCCTGTGTACGTAACACATGTCCCAGTCTTCTTCACCCTCCAGTCGTATGCGGAACCCCCCTCGCTTACACCCGTGCTGGTCATCCCGGTGATGTTGGCGCTGATCGGGCGGTCGGTCGCCCAGGCCCCCCGGCAGGCCTCCTGGGCAGCATACCTCAGGGAGAATAGGCGACGGCGAGGACTTCCTCTCGTGTTGTTTCGCTGGAGGGAATTGGGCTCCCTGTCTACTAAGGGGCAATGCCGGGGGTTCGCACCTGTGTTCGTAAGACTTCAGTCATTACCCCGTCCCACCTGTCACCCCGACAACACCCCGCGCTGACACCCCACCCGCACAACCCTCACCTTCCCTTCCTCCCCCATTGTGTACTCACTGCACCCTGGCCGGTTCCCGACACTGCAGCCTACCCCGGGCTTAGCAGTGACGTGGGGATCCGGGACCGGACTGCTCGCTGCTGCCAGAACTGCCTTTCTTGCCACTCCCCCCTGGCTGTTAACCCACGTGTTATCTTCGATGTCACGCCGTACTTTCCACCTTCCCTTCACAGTTTATGACCCTCCCATCACTATTCCTTCCTTCACAATGCCGCGCCGCCGTGTCTATGGGATACCCTAGTCATACTGACCTGACTTAATTTCAATCTCGTCGCAAATCTCCTCCGTAACACCTTGTTCACGCGCCCTGCTTCCTTTTCCCTTTCTTCTTGCATATTGACAACCTCTTCACCTGATTCCAATCGGCGGTGGACCATGCCCTGCTGTGGCATTGCTGGCCTGCGTCAACGCCTCGTGCCCATGGCCATGTTCCGCTGGGTCTCCTCTCCAGGTAAGTTTCTCGTAACGCGTCTCGATGACTTCTATGCTTGTGTGCCCAATACTCATATTGCCTAAGAATTAGTGACCGGCGGCGCGGCACATGCCTTACTAGTGTTACTACGCAAGGCGGCTTCTTACTCAAGTCGTCCCGGTTTCTGGTAAGCAAAGATTTGGTAAGTCTCTGATATGCGTTTTTTCTAGGATAGAGTCTCCGAATGCGCTCACGGCATGAGTCGGGATATGGGATTGGGACTCGTTGATGCACATATCATTATCCCCCCCCCCCCGCCTCCCACCCCACACACCCACCTCCTCCTCCAGCTCCCGCCTGCGCTCCTCCGCCTGCCGCTTCTGCGCCAGCCCGCCCCGCCACTCCAGCGTCTGGTCCTCGTCGTAGATGCTGGGCTTCTTGCGGGCGGCGCGCTCGTCCTCCTGGGGAGGGAGAAGGGGGGAGGGGCGTGAGCGGGGGGAATGTATGCAAAGCCAAACCACAAGTGAGGGCAAGACAACAGGGGGAGGAGGCAACAGGGCGCAAAACAAGGAGAGGGTCGGCGACAAAAACCTGAGGTGAGAAACCGAAAGGTGCTGCGGGTGGTAACGGGTGAAGGTCGCAAGGCATGGGTACGCTGCCAGCCTTCATGTGGTAGGAGGTCCGTTCCACGGTGATACGCCACTGCCACCCATGCCCCTAGCAGGGTCCCGCCACAAGTGCCCCCACCTTGGCTTTGAGCGCCTCCTCAGCCGTCATAACGCGCCCGGTGGCCTTGTCGCGGTAGACCGTCTGGGCGCCCCGGCCCTCCGCATTCCGCCTGCGAGGGACAGGATGGCGGTGGGACAGGGGGAGGACGCGGGAAGGTACCTTGTAGGCCGCCGGTAGGAGGGATTGAGGCGAGGTTGGGTATGGATTCCGTTAGTAAGGCAGCAGGCAACTCGTGAGACCGTCGTGTGCCAGAACGTCCTTAGGGGCCCTTCACTTAGGGAAAGATAAAGCTTTCATGCCGTGGCCATAAACAGCGTTTCCGTTCACACTGCAATCGGGCATTTACGCGAAGGTGATTCCCTGGAGCGAAGCCGCTTTTAGCTTCATTTGGACTTCGATCCTTTCTTCAATCCTGAGAACCAAGTCTGAAACATTAAAGAATTCCGTAGAAAAAACGCCTTAAAGGTTACAGTTTCATCGCTGTTGGCCTCCAATTTGGACAGGCCCTTTGGGGGTTTGCATGGCATTTGAGCACCTTTCCAGACACCTTCCAGCCCCCCAGCGCCGCCCCTCCTCACCTGCGCTCCTCCGCCTGCTCCTTCTGCTTCTTGATGTCTTCCGCCAGTTGAGTCGCACTCACCAAGCCCGCAGCCGTGCCGTCACCCATGCGAGCCGGCGGGCGCGGCGGACCCATGGGTCGACCTGGACCCATGCCTGCACCTGCGCCGGGTCTGGTTCCAGTGCCTGGTGACCTGTACGGCAAGCAAACAGAACGAGCATTTAATGCATGGTTATCCGTAAACTACATCACCGAGCCAAGTCGCCAAGTCTGGTTCTAATATCTAAGGGGGTACTGTATGAACAGGACAGCATGCGCCGGCATAACGCCTGCCCTGATTCACCGCAACATTGCATGCCGTATTACCTGGATCGTCGAGGCGGGGAAGCATCCGGGCTGTCATGCCTCTTCCCTCGTCTGGGAGGGGAGGCATCCGGGCTGTCATGCCTCTTCCCGCGCCTGGGAGGGGAGGCATCCGGGCTGTCATGCCTCTTCCCTCGTCTGGGAGGGGAGGCATCCGGGCTGTCATGCCTCTTCCCTCGTCGAGGCGGGGAGGCATCCGGGCTGTCATGCCTCTTCCCTCGTCTGGGAGGGGAGGCATCCGGGCTGTCATGCCTCTTCCCTCGCCTGGGAGGGGAGGCATCCGGGCTGTCATGCCTCTTCCCTCGCCTGGGAGGGGAGGCATCCGGGCTGTCATGCCTCTTCCCTCGTCTGGGAGGGGAGGCATCCGGGCTGTCATGCCTCTTCCCTCGTCTGGGAGGGGAGGCATCCGGGCTGTCATGCCTCTTCCCTCGTCTGGGAGGGGAGGCATCCGGGCTGTCATGCCTCTTCCCTCGCCTGGGAGGGGAGGCATCCGGGCTGTCATCCCGCCTGCCGCGGCGCGGCGGAGATGCGTCGGGACTGTCATGCCGCCTGCTCTGTCCCGCCAGTGCCGCCTCATCTGCAGCGACCCACCCCGAACCGCTCTTCGCCTGCAAGGCATAGTCCACAAATGATGTAAATGCTGGGAAGTAAACAGGCGAAGCATACCGGTGCGCCACGCAGGCTGGGCTGCATACAGCACGACTACAGCTTCCACCAACGATAACGTACGGACATACTGTGCCAAACCCTGTAACTTCGCAGTTAGTTCACAGACATGAGCCCACCTTGTCAACCTGCTTCATGAGTGCCGCCGCCTCCTCGGGATTAGCAATCGTGGGAGCCTCTGCAAGCGTACAACCGTACACGCAAGGTGAGGGGGGACGACCTTTGGCACCCATGGTCCTCCCTGAGAAATTGTACGCGCCCCGCACCTTCTTCCTCCTCATCATCGTCTGCTATTGCCCGCCGCTTGGGCAAGGGCCCACGGCCGTTAGAGTCCAAGGATACGAAGCCTGACAAGTCCTGATCCACGATGCGAATGGCGCCGCTAGCGTCTTGCCCTGCTTTCCGTTTCTTCTTACGCTTCCCTGCTTCCGAACCGTCCTTTGGGCCACTGTCGCTGGCATACTTTTTTGCCAAATACTCTTGAAGTGCGCTGTTCTTAGGCTGTCCTTCATCTTTCTTCTTTTCATCAGCTCGTAAGGTAGACTTGCCCGCAAAAATGTTATCCGCCTTGATAGCCCGAGCTGTTGGAACAGTTTGGCGGAAAGAAAAAGACATGGCTACATACCGGTATGCGCTAGAATCCCAAACGTGTAAGGTGGCGTTAGGGTCACGCCTCTATCTAGGATACTTCAAGGGATGTCTAACAACCGTATGCAGCGGGCAAACGGTCTTACAGAGGTATTGTACGGGAAGTGATGACCTAAAGTTGCAACAGTTAAGCGATCTGCCCACGCACGAGAAGCGATCATAAGGCAATATGTGTATGCATAGCAATTGTTAGCCTCAGGACGTCTGAAGGGACGGCCCTCTGTTTGGGCTACCGGTATGCGACATCCTACTGGCTTGACGCCTTCCAATGTCCCTAGGATGACGTTAGTTAGAAATGAAACACATATTGCTACTAGATAGATAACCCTACTACCATTTTTCATACTAGGATACAGCCTAGCCTGCTGCGTGAAGCCAACGCAGCCATTGCGCCAAAGAATTAGACCAGCTATGGATCAGGAGGACGAATATGGAGGGCTCTTCCTGGTATCGGTCGACGATCTTGGAGTGCCTGGGCTATGGTCGTCCGTCAAGGATGTAAGTTGAGCGAGGGAAGCCTTTCGCGCACAGAGTGTATTATGTTGTGGTTTCAACCATCTACGCACTTCCAAATTCGGTGATTACACTTGCCACGTGTGGTTAAGTTGCACAAACTACGTGTGGCCACATCGCTATGTTGCCCTTCTATCAGCAGGGGAACATGGATACGGTCATCCTCCAATCGTTAACAATTGTGCTCCCCTGCCATGATCCACATTATGATTAGGACTGTGGTGGCACCGGGGGGCCGAGTTACTGTTTTTGCCGCCTCCTTATACCTTCCCCTCACCCCCAGTGCTTTTTCTGTTTCCTCATCACACACCCCCTCCCGGTGTTCGCTAAAGTTGGGTCCCCGCCCCTCCCTCCCGCCCGCCAGCTGCTGGAGAGCCGCAGCCTGCTGCACCAGCTGACGCTGCACAACAAGGTCGGCCGGGCCGTGGCGGTGGAGCGGATGGCGCTCACGTGAGTGCGGAGGGGAGGAAGAGGGGGGAGGGGAATGGCGTGTAGGGGTTATGTGCAACGGGAGAGGAGGGATGAAGGGTAGAGGACAAGGGGAGGGGGGCGGCGTGCCGTTAAGTGAGGAGGGCCCGTGGGAGTGAGGACGAGGGGGGCGCGTGATGCTTGCAGTAGCGAAGTGCAGGAAGTGAACAGGCGGTGATGTTGCGTGGGCCTCGCGGGAGGGGCGGGGCCACATGATGGGGGAACCTGTGGCCGGGGCGGTTCCGTGGTGTCCGGTGGCCAACGGAACACTGAGGAGGAGGAGTCCTAGGGGTGGAACTGCCTTGTGTGGCGGCTCGCATGGTCAGGTACGCCCCTAAGCCTGCTCTGCCACGTTCCCTGCCCCGCTTTGCCCCGCTGTCTCCCCCCCCGCCCCCGCCCCAGGTTGGTTCCCTCCGGTGACAAGCGGCTGCAGCGGCTGCGTCCCTTCGCACACAGCCCCGTCGTGTGGTTCCGACACCCCTACGCGCACCTGCTACTGGTGGGGGCAGGGGCAGCGGGCAGGGGCGGGCGGGGGCAGGCCCTAGGATGCCCCGCACCTGCATTGGGCACCCCCAGTAGCCAGCCGCCCGGCACGCTCTGTGTCGTCCAGCCCTGTACCACCACGGGTGCTATGACTGACGCAGCCCTTCCCTGGTGTCCACCTGTCCTCCTCTCCCAGCCCGTTGCACGACTGTTGCTCTCACCCCTCTTCACTCCCCCCCTCCCCCTTCCCCCCCCTTCATGGGTACGGGGCGTTCCTGTTCACTTACCTCCCCCCTCCCTCCCCTATCCCCCGCCCACCCCTCCGCCAGGTCAGCACCGCAGACGCCTCCGAGTACCGCTCCGCCCTCAAGCCCGCGCTCAAGCGAGCCATAGCCGAGCTGGAGCACTACTGGGGCGGACCGCCGCCCTACAACACCCTTGCCGGCGGCCTGGCTCCCCAGCCACACCCGCCGGGCTACGCAGCCGCTCCCGCTTCCTCGGGTCTGGGCGGCATGGGGGCGCTGCTGGGAGGCGGCATGGGGGCCGCTGCGGCGGGGTCGGGTGCTGGGGCGGGTGGGGGAGGCGGCGGGGTGCTGGGAGCAGAGTGGCTGGTGGTGTATGTGCGGCCGCCGGAGCTGGACGTGGGGGACAAGGCGGCGAAGAAGGTGGGCGGGAGGGGTGGCGTGGGTGTACGGCGGGGCGTGGGGTGGAAGGGACACGAGGGATGTGACAGATGCAGCTAGCCGCACCGATGCTCCATGCGAACCCCCAGGTGCCCCAACCGCACACCTTCCTGCCATCATGCGTCTTCGACCCCCTTTCACGCCCCTCCCCCACCCCCAGGTGTTTGACAAGCTGCGGGACGACTTCTCCCCCCGGGGCCGCACCCGCGTGGTGCGCCTGGACCCGCCCAAGGGCTACTCCGCCGCCGCCCTGGCCGCCCTGGCAGCGGTCACCGCGGGCAGCACCGGCGGCAGCGGCGGCAGCAGCAACCTGCACAACCCCCCCGCCACCTACAACAACAACAACACCTACGGCAACGCCAGCAACACCAGCAACTACACCTCCAATCACACCGGCAGCAGCATCAGCAGCACCAGCAGCAGCTGGGTGACTCCCCGGGGGGGTGGCATGGGGCCGCCTAGTGTGGTCCCCACCCCAGGGGGTGTTGGCACGGTTGCTGGCGGCGGCGGCGGCGGCAGTAGCAGCGGTATGCGTGTGGCGGGCGGCGGTGGTGGCGGGGTGGTGGTTCAGGGGTTGGACGAGTTCGAGTCGGGTCTGCGGGAGTGCGTGAGGAGCAGCTTCGAGGCGAGGCAGGCGGCGTACATGGCGGAGGTAGGAGGGGGGAAGCTGGTGTGTAGCGCTTCCATCCGTCCTCCCATTCCCCTCCTCCTTCCCTCCCCACCTGTCCCAACCCTCATTCCCCACATCTTCTACTAACCCTGCATCAGCCACAGCCCGTTTTGAGTGACCCCAAACGCCCATCAACATTCCCACCGCCCTTCTTCCCGCCCCCTCCTCCCCCCCCCAGGTTCAGCGCCTTGCCAACGAGCGGCGCGACCCCGGCTGGTCCTTCTCCTCGCTGTACCTGGTGAAGGACTCGCTGGCGCTGCTGCTGGAGGGCTGCGGGCTGGCGGCGGACGCGTACAAGGAGTGAGGCGCTTGGGGGAGGGGGGGGAGGGGGGGCGTACAAGGAGTGAGGCGCTTGGGGGGGAACATGACGTTACCAACCGTGTGGCAGCCGTGACAGGGGAAGGGGGGTAACGAAGAAACTACACCAGCTGGTGTCGCAAGTTGGGCAATGGGGATAGTAAGGCGGAGGGGGTGGGTCCAGAGGAACACGCACATGGAAGAGGAGTGTGATGGTGTACAGGAGGCCCCCCTCCCCCCTCGACCTCCCCCCCTCAACCTCCCTCTCCCCCCCGCAGGTACGTCGAGTTGGAGGCGGCCTACCAGGAGACGCTGGACCGGCAGCGCTCCTCACCCGCCCCCGCACACGCCCCCGCCCCCGGCGGAGGGGCCTCAGGTGGACTGGAGGGGATGGGCAGCGGTGACTGCGCGGATGATGAGTTCGGTAAGATGGATGGGGGGTGGCCCGGGTTGGGGTTTAGGGTTTAGGGGTGGTGGCGCTGCATTCCCGGTAGTGTGCATGAGCGGCTTCATGGCCTCCACAGCGGCCTCCCGCCCCCGGCTGTCCCCCCCAGTGCTGAGTGCCGGCCGATTGCGTCATGGCACCGCCTTGCTGCTGCCCCCCCTCCCCCCCTCTGCAGGTGCGGGCGGCGAGGGTGCGGACGTGGCCAGCCTCATCAGCGCCTCCTGGAGGGTGACGCGGCGCTGCGTGCTGAAGCGAGCAGCCATACAGGAGTTCAGGTGGGGGGGTGGGGAGGGAGGGGGCAGCCGTGCAGGGGTGAAGGTGGTAGGCGCAGGTGGGGGGATTGGGATTGCTGCCGTCCTCTTGGTCCTGAGCGCACAGTGCGGTAAGTGGTAATCCGGCGGACTCCCATGTGAAGCCCCGCACCGCGACATACGCGGTCCACGAACACCCGTCATAACCCCCCTCTCTCCCCTCCCTCCCCGCGCCCCCCTCCCTCCCCGCCCCCTCCTCCCCCCTCTCTCCCCGGCCCCCTCCCTTCCCTCCCCGCCCCCTCCCAGGTTCCGGCAGTACCTGTTCGCCTCGCAGGCGCGGCTGCTGCTGCGGCTGGGGCGGCCGGTGGAGGTGGCGGAGCGGGGGCTGCGCTTCATCGCGGCGACGGCGGCGGAGCTGGGGCAGCGGGAGGGCAGGGCGGGGGCGCAGGGGGGCGTGCGGCCGCTGCTGAAGGAGGTGAGGGGGTGTACGGGTGGGGGTGAGGAGGAGGTGAGACGAGTTGGACGTTATAGAATGAGGGTTGGGCCATGGTATGTGGGGCGGGTGGGTGGGTGTGTATACAGGTACGCCACCCCCCAAAGGAGTTAAGGGGGTGGGGCTGGGGAGACGCCGTGTAGCGGGGAATGCAGTGGCGGCTGTGGTGTTGTGCATTTGCTTGCCGGCTTAGCCCGCTAGTTCCATTACTTTCCTTTAACGATGGTTAACTGCCCCCTACTGGTGTGTGCATATGGCCGCAAATGTGTTGTACCTCACCCCCCCCCAAAACACACACGCACAACCAGGCGTGGACATTCTCTGCTTGCATGGCGGTCATCGGCGCCGTCACAGCCGCGGTGTTTGGCCGCGACACTCCGCCGGGGGGGCAGCAGGCCGGCACCGCTGCTGCTGTTGCTGCGGCCGGTGCTGCTGCCGGCCCGCCTACCTGCCTGGGTGTCTGGGAGGCCACAGCGGGGGTCGCTGATCCCGCAGGTACGCAGTCGGCTGTGTGGGCGGTTGGTCCCCTGCCGTGATTGGCCCCCCCCTGGCTGCTTGCTGTGTGCCACATGGAGTGCAGGCGGGCCTCCACTCACCGCGTGACACCTGCGCGCGTGCACCCCGTTAGCACAAGTTTCATTATGTGCAATCCTACAATCCAGCCTTATGCGGAATCTTCATCCCTATTAACCCCGTTAGCACATGGCAAGGCATGTCGGGCGGGTGCAGGTGGCGGGTGGGGCATCCCGCCATGTGTGCCGTGTGCCGTGGGCTGACAGCTGCTGCTGCTGCTGCCGCTTCCGCTGCAGGCCGCACCGCAGGGCCGGCGGACGGCGGGCGCGGCCCGGCGGGGGCGGGGGCAGGGGCGGGGGGCGCCGCTGCACCCCTGGGCGCCACCCGGTACCGCCGGCAGCACAGCGTGCCATGTGAGGAGGGGAGGGGAGGGAGGGAAGGAGGGAGGGGGGTGGAGGGGGGAGGGAGGGGCCCAACCAACATGGACTAGGGGTGGAGCAGGGGGTTGGGAAGGCGTACGGACGTAGGGGGAAACTCGAGTTGGGTGTGGCAGAACCGACTAGCATCCCTTTCGTTACCCGCCTTTCACCTTGTAAAATCCCGCTCTTCCACCTCCCCCCGCTCTCCCACCTCCCCTTCTCCGCCCAGGCGCCTCCCCAGGCGCAATGGACTCCGAGTACAGCCTACTAGCCCCCGGCGCTGACGCAATCGCACCCTTCACAGCGCCAGCCGCTCCGGAACCTCGACAGACCGCCGCCCCCTCCTGTGCCCCTGCGGCCGCCCAGCCCCAGCCCCCCCCTCTTGACTGGCAGCTGTGTGTTCCCTTCGCCGCGGAGGTGCCCTGCCTGGACCCGCTGGCGCTGGGAGGGCAGGCGGCATCGCCGGCAGCGCTGGAGGCGTTGCGGTGGGCGGGGGAGGGGAGGTCTAGCTGCGGTGTCCTGGTGTACCTGGTGTGTTGGGGGGGGCTTGCGCGCGTGGTGCTTGTTGCTGGGAGGGGGGTGGTGGTGGTGGTGGTGGTGGTGGTGGTGGTGGTGGTTAACGAAGGGGGCAGCTGGAATGGGGCTGGAGCCCCACGTGACCAACTCTGCAACTCGCTCCTCTTGCCCCGCAGCCCGAGCGACCCGGAGGCGCTGCTGAGGCAGACCACGTGCCAGGTGGGGCTGCGCTGGAGGGTGTGTGGGCGGGCGGAGGGTGTAGCGCTGGGGTTGGCACGTCATCAGCACTGGGGGGCGGTGGTGTGCAGTTCCTTCCCGGTTAGCCCTTCCCGGCAGCAGCCCACTCCAATTCGTACTCCAAGTCCCCCCTAGCTCACTGCTCCTCCCCCCCTCCCCCCCTCCCCCCCCTCCCCCCCCTCCCCCCCTCCAGGCCTACATGCTCGCCCTGGCCCACCTGTACAACATGGCCCGCTCAGCGCTGCTGCAGCTGGCGGCGGGGGCGGCAGCGGCGGCAGCGCGGGACCTGCAGCAGCAGCAGCAGCAGCAGGGGGGAGGAGGCGAGGTGGCGGGTGGCGGGCAGCCGGAGGAGGAGGCGGCGGAGGAGTGGATGGTGCTGGTGGGGGAGTGGAGCGAGGGGCTGCGGCAGCTGGCGGAGCAGTACCCCTGCCGGGGAGTGGTGGGACGGTTCGTGGATCAGGTAGGGGGGCGGGGGGGGGCATGGCAGCTGAAGAGGGGAGCCCGCACAGGGGGGCCTGGTCCTGCCACACTCCCGATCATGCCCCTCCTGGGCCCCGGTTGGCACCCTGTGACCCGCATGTCTGTCAGGAACCACCTGCGCAAAGCCCCTAAACGGAGGCCTGTAGGGGACCCTGACTCAGTCTAACTTTCTCAGCGTGTCCTTGGCCCCCCTGGCTCGTACGGGCATGCACTGTACACACGTACAGACTGTAACTGTAACTGTAACTCCCTGTCCACCCCACCCCACCCCACCCAGGAGGAGGACCGCCAGTTCGAGGCCACTCCGCAGCAGCAGGCCACCCCCCTGCAGCTGCTGCGGCATGCCATAGCGGCCATCAACGCAGCGGGAGGGGGCGGGGGTGGTCTGGCCCCCCCTGCTTCTGCTGCTGGTGCTGGTGCTGGGATGGGGGTGGCAGCGGCGGGGGCAGCGGTGCAGCAGTCGCCGGCGCAGGGGGCGCAGCAAGGTGCGGGTAGGTGCGGGTGGGGGAGCGGCCTGTCCTGCCCGCGGCTGGGAGAGCGGCTGCCTCATGTTTAGCTAGCAGTTGGGCAGCCTGCCGCACACCCTTAGGGAGGTGTACCCGTGTGGAGGAGCGGGTCAGGTTGGGGCGGTGTGGAGGGGGGGAGTGCGGAGGCGGGCACGGCGCACAGCGTGCTAGGGTTGCAGCGCTGCTGCGGATGGGGCGGTTGGCTTGCCAGAAGGTTGGCGCCTTTCCCACTCTGCTCCTCCTCCCCACTTCCCCCCACAGCAGGCCCCGCCACCATCACCCCCCGCGGCGGCGACTGCAGCCCCGCCGGCTCAGCCATCTGGCTCACCCCCTCCCAGCCACCCGCCCCTCCCTCCCTCAACCCCCCCTACCACCGCGCCGACTCGCTCCACTCCCTTAGCATTAACACAGCCGGACCCGCAGCAGCAGCAGCGGCAGCAGCCCAGGCCGGCGGCTCCTCCGCCTCCGGAGCCGCTCCCGGGGGGCCGGCAGCAGCCGGCAGCAGCAGCGACCCATGGGACGGTGTGGGCGGCAGCGGGTTCCTGCGAGGCAGCGCGGGGACGACCTCCTCCGTGGCGTCAGCGGCGGGGCAGGGTGCCGGCAGGGCGGGGATGTCCTCCTGGGCGGCTGAGGCGGAGGTGCTGGGAGGTGGGGTGGGGGGCGGGGGGCCGGGCGGCCGTCCGCGGCACGGGCACTCCTCCTCTGCGGACAACTCGAGCAGCTCCATCTTTGGGAAGCAGTTCGACATGTTTGCAAGCAAGGTGGGGCGCGGTAGGGAGAGGCCGTCATGTGAAGGAGGGAGGACCTTTCGCCTGGCGGCTTGGCTTAGTCTTTTGGTGGGGATGTAGTGGGGCTATGGGGTTGCTGTCTGCGATCAGCGATGGGAGTTTCTGGCCGTACGTTCTCCATCACCCACATGCACCCCATCCCTCCCCCCGTCCTGACCCCTCATCCCCCCCAGGTGTCCTCCGTCTTCGACCCGCTCAAGTCGCAACGGGGCGGAGGCGGCGCCACAGCACCCGGGACAACAACAACAACAACAACAACAACAACAACACGCAACACCCCGTACGAGCAACAACAGCAGGTGGCCCAACAGCAGCTGCTCCTACAGCAGACGCAACAGCAGCGGCAGCACCGCCACTCGCTGTACGGCACCTCGTTCCCCGGCTCTGACTCGTTCGACTCGGACCAGCAAACCTACAACCACCACCAACAACAACAGCAGCAGCAGCAGCAACTGCTGCAACCCTTACCCCAGCACCCAGCGCTTGCTCCCGGTGGTGCGGGGGAGCGGTTGTCGCCCGCCTCCTGCCCGGGGGCCGCTACCGCTGCTACCGCTGCTGCTACCGCTGCCGCTACTGCGGTGCTGCCCCCCACGGTGTGCTGGCTGCGGGACTGGCGGCTGCGGGCGGTGTTGGGCTGTCCGAGGGCGGCTGCGGACCTGGCGCTGCAACTGGCGCTGGCGGCGGCGGTGAGGGAGGGAGGGAGGGAGGAAGCCGAGCGCCGCCTTTCACTGCCGGGCCGAGACCGCCTTAATCCTCAACCCAACGCACACCGTTCACCTAGCACCTGCTACCCACCCATGCTAAACTCGCTCCTCCTCTGGCACTCTTTGTCCCCTTCCACTCCCCAATTCCCCCTCCCCCTCCCGCCCCCTCTTGCGCCCCCTAGAGCTGCTACAGCCGCGCCGGCCGGCCGCGCACCGCCGCCCAGCTGTACGGCGACGTGGGGGGCGTGCTGCTGGGCGGGGGGCGGGCGGAGGCGGCGGCGGCGCTGATGGAGCATGTGGCGGCGGTGGCGCAGGCGGAGGGGTGGTGGGTGGGGCATGGGGGGGGGGACGGGGGCAGAGATATGCTAGCACCACAGATTGGGGATAAGGGCAGCAAGGGGGGTGGGGGGGAGGGATGGTGCGTGCAATGTCAGGGATGCGGGGCCTTGGGGAGTGCGGGCGGAGGGATGATGGTGGCGGGGCGGGAGGATTGTCGCCGGGCAAGCGGACAAAACACGCGCAAGTTACGCGTGCCCCCCTACCCATATATGCCCCTCCCCGCCCTGTCCGAACACACCTCCGCGCCACCTCCCTCCATCTGCCACCTCCCTCCATCTGCCACCTCCCTCCATCTGCCACCTCCCTCCGCGCCACCTCCCTCCATCTGCCACCTCCCTCCATCTGCCACCTCCCTCCATCTGCCACCTCCCTCCATCTGCCACCTCCCTCCATCTGCCACCTCCCTCCATCTGCCACCTCCCTCCATCGGCCACCTCCCTCCATCGGCCACCTCCCTCCATCGGCCACCTCCCTCCATCGGCCACCTCCCTCCCCGCCAGGCAAGCGCTGCTGGGCCGGGCGCTGCCGGTGTTGATGGCCGCGCAGCAGGCGATCGGACACGTCATGCTGCCGTACACCTGCATGAGGTGCGAGCTGTACGGGGGGTGTTGCGCGGTGTGCAGCGGGGGGCATGGCTAGTAGCGCGCGTGACGGGTTGCTCGTTGGTCCTTCCCTTGTGTCCTTGTTATCTTATTGTACGACCACATAGCGGGCAGGTAACGACCGCTCCATACCCTACTGCAGTCCTGACGCTTGTCTCCCCCTCCACCTCTGTCCTGTGTAGGTATCTGTCGTTGCCGCTGCTGGCGTGTCAGCCCCAGGTGCGGCAGCGGGTGCTGCAGCTCGTGCTGTGCAGCGCCGGCTGCCCAGGCACGGCGGCAGCAGCAGACGGCACGGGGCGCCGCCGCCGGCCGCCGCCGCCCTCCGCCGTACTGCAGCTGAGCACCATGCAGGCAATCCAGGTGGGGCAGGGGCGGGGGGGGGCAGGGGCGGGGGTGGGCGCGGGGGGTGCAGGGGCTGGGGGACCAGGGGCTGGGGGACCAGGGGCTGGGGGAACCGCCCGTGTCGTCCCGGCGGTTTGCGTATCTCGTCTGACGTACAGCAGGCGTGCGGGGTGTCTGGACAAGGCTGGGGTAGCGGGCTTGCGTTGCTGCGAGGCGTGTGTCCGCCACACGTCTGCTGCTCCGGAAGGCACTGCCCCAGCCCTCTTTCATCGGCCACCGCCCCTCCCCCCCTCCCCCCTCCCCCCCGGCAGGCTGCGCTGCTGCCCGGATTCACCAGCAAGTTCTTCGGCACTCTCAGCCCCACCGGACAGCCCTCCCTGGTGCCGCCGGCGCGACCCGCGTCCCCGCCTGACGCACCGGACCCCCCCATCCTCCCTCCCTCCAGCGGCAGAGGCGGCCCCAACACAGCCGGTGAATGCGACTGCAGCGGTGTCAGGGGCAGGGAGGGGGAGAACGACTGCAGCGGTGTCAGGGGCGCGGAGGGGGAGAACGGCGGCCCTGTGCGGCCCGGCGGTGCGGGGTCCCCGTGTAGCCGGGGGTGCGGCGGTGCGCAGTGGCTGCGGGTGGGCGAGGTGTGCAGCTTGCGGCTGCAGGTGTACAGCAACCTGCCCTCACCCGTCACCCTCACCGACCTGCAGCTGGTGCTCGGCAACCTGCAGCCGCCCCACCCCGCACCACCTCCACACGCGCCACAGCAGCCCCAACCTCAGCAGCCCCAGCAGCAGGCTGCGATGCAGCCGTACCCCTCCCTCCGCCCCTCGCAGGGGCTGCCCAGCGCTCCGCAGGCCGCCCTGCCGCCCGCGCAGCCGCCCATGCAGCCGCAGACCTCCGGGTCGGTCCTCAGCTGCGCGCCCTCCCTGGGCCACATGTCGGCGGCCCCGCTGCCCCAGCACCCGCCCCTTGCAGGCAACCCGGGGACAGGCCCGCCGTCGCTGTCGTCTCTGCAGCTGCAGCCACAGCAGTACCCGCAGCAGCAGCCACAGCAGCACCGGCAGCAGCCGCCCCCGCGCCACCACATGCAGGCCTCCTTCTCGCACGTGCAGGCGCAGCTCCAGCTGGCCCAGCAGCAGCAGCCCCTGCAGGGCCCGCCAGCGCAGGCGCCCAGCTGGCCCCAGCAGCCCCAGCACCAGCGGAACGCCTCGGGCGGCGACACGGCGGCTCCCTCTGGCGGCTCCTCCGCGCAGCCCTCCCTGCAGCCCTCCGCCGCCTGGCGGCCCACCCCCGGACATGGGAGTACCGCCTCCCTAGGGCGGCATGCAGGGGGCGGCTCCTCAGATGGCTACGCCGGCTCGCAGCATGGGCAGGAAAGCTGGTCGCAGCCACCGCCTCCGATACCTCAACAGCATCAACCGCAGCAGTACAGCAGCTACTACTACTCCACACAGCACCAGCACCCCCAGCAGCAGCACTACGTCCCCAGCGGGCCGCCCACGCTGTACACCGTGCCCTCCACCTCCTCCTCCATCGCCACCTCCATCGCTCCCCAGCCCCCCGGTTCCCCTTCCATGCACGGCGCTGGCCCCACCTCCGTCTCAGCGGGCGGCTTCTCCCGGCTGTCGGGCGCCGCTCAGGCGCATCGGGCCCTCGCAGCCGCCGGGGGGCTCTCCTCCCTCGGAGGGGGGCTGGGCGGCAGCACGGCGGGCGGCAGCAACCCCAACCTCTCCTCCACGGCGGCTGCAGCGGCTGCCGCTGCTGCCATGGCGGCTGCGGGAGGGGGAGGCGGAGGCGGGGGCAGCTGCGGGAACCTGCTGGAGGCCTCGGGGCTGGGGCGGCGGGCGCCCTCCTGGCCGGGTGGGTGGCGAAGGGAGGGGGGAGGGGGTTAGATGGGTGGTTGGGGTGGGTGCCTAGGCGGGGCAGGAGCAGACTGGGAGGCGGGCGCAGTCGGCGTGCCGCGTGTGAGAGAGGTGTAGTGGGGTAGTCGCGAGTGGCATGGCATTGGCACGGTCGAGGTGGAGTGGGTGCGGGTGCGGGTTGACGTCTGCTGCCCTCCTCACTCACTGCTGACTGCCTAGCCAGCCAGTGGGAGGAGGGCCCCAACCCGACATGCGCGAACCCTGCACAACGCCTCCCCTCCCCCATGCCATGCTGCACCCGCAGAGTCCCTCTCCGGAGCCTCCCTCCCGCAAGGCAACCTCCACCCCGGCGCCCCAACCCCGGTCTCCAACTCCGGCTCAGGCGTGTTCGGCTCCTCGCCCTTCGCAAACGGAGGGGGCGGCTCCGCCTCCGCTGCCGCGCTGGCCGGTCGTACGGGCGGCGGCGGCGGCGGTGCTGACGTCAGCTGCGGCGGCGGCGGCCCGCTGAGCCCGGGCAGCGCTCGGGCGGGGGCCGGCGGGGGGGCCGGGTGGGCCCCGGGGGAGGACCTGGCGTGCCACCACCTGGTGGGGTTGCTGCATGTGCAGGTGGGGGGGGGGAGGGGCGGGGGAAGCTGGTAATGAGGAAGGGGCGTGGTGGGCAGGAGGTGGGGGCGAGGGCGGGGAAGGCGGGGGAGGTGGGAATACGCGTCACTGCCGGACGAAAAGGCGAGGATGATGGTGTAAGCTTTCTCCATCTGACAAATCTCCTGATTGCGAAAGCATTGCTGACTCGCCCTTTAGCCCTGGTGTGGATGGGAAGGGGAAGTAAAGAAGTGAAAGGCGAACTGTGAACCGTGCTGGGGTGTCGGGTGGGGAGTAGCAAGAGTGACGCACTGGAATCCCCCTGGGGGGGGGCGGAGGCGGGTGGGGGGGGTGGATGTACTAGTTACTGTGAGGCACGCGAGGGCGAGGATGATGAAGCAATACACCGCATAGCCAAGATATCCGTCAGATCACTCCTGATCGACACCATGTGGTTGCTGACTCGCACCCTTTGGTTCACACGTTGGGGCCGCCGCGCGTCACATGGCGCCGTGTGTGTGTCGGTGAGCCGCATTGGTGTGGCAGGGGGGGGGGAGGGAGGGGGAGGGAGGGGATTCAGGTAGAGGGGAGGGGAAAGGAGAGAAGGGGCTGGAAGCTGGGCAGGTAGCAGCAGCAGCAGCGGTTGGGAAATGATGCGCACGTGAGGGGCTGGGGAGATGATCCCACTTCTTGCCATGGCTTGCACCCAGTAATCCATGGTGTGGTGCGGGAGGCGGGGAGGGAGGGGGAGGTGTGGAAGAGGGATGTTGGTTCACTTCACTGTGAGACACGAAAGGGCGAGGATGATGGAAATGCAATATATTCGCTCTCTCAAGCAGACCACCCATGATGGACAAAGCATGCTGACTCGCCCTTGTGTTCCACTTTGTCGGTGGCTGGGAGAAGGGTGGTGGCCCCGGTTGGGGGGTGGGTGGAGGGATGTCTCCACACCCTGCGTGCACCCGCCCGCGGTGTGACCCGGGGGGAAGTGGGAAGTGGGGCGTGGGAGGTTTGGGACAGAGGGAGGCGGGGGAGCAGGGCTGGGGTGGAAAGGCGGTTACGACTGGCTGGTGTAGGGAACACAACGGGGTTGCGGTTGGGGTTCGTCTATGCCACTGTAGGGAGGGAATGGGAGTACAGGTTACTACTCCGAAACAGGGCAACGAAGGAACGAGCAGGTTGTCGAAGTGCGCCTTAACCGCATCACCCACACGCAAGTCCTACATTGAGCCAAGTATGCGCCCCCCCCTGCCCCCCAGGACCCTGCCCCCGGGAGCAGCCGGCACAGCAGCAAGCGAACCCCGCAGCGGCCCCCACCCGCCGGAGCTGATGAAGGGGGTGGCGGCAAGGGCGCAGCGTGTACGACACCGCTCTCCTCAGCGTCAGGGGAGTGCAGTACGACAGACCCCCGGTGTGTCGTACTGCACCCCGGCCTGACCATCCTCACCTTCCGCGTCGCACCCACCCGACCCGGGCTGTACTTTGTACGGCACTTGTCAGCCTCGCTGGGCTCGTACGACCTCCGGATCCCCTTGGTGCCGTACCAGCAGCTCTCAGCGGATGTACGAACGCTGTCCGGTGGCGGCGGCTGCTGGGGAGGTGGTGGTGGAGGAGGAGGAGGTGGAGGTGGTGGTGGAGGGTGCATGGTGTTGGGTGGGGCGGCGGGCGGGGCCCCTGCAGGTGGTATGCTGGCGGGCGGCGGTGGGGGCGGCGGAGCGGGTCTGACGCTGGGGCTGGGCGGCGGGGCGGCGGGCGGTACGGCAGCTGCACTGGCGCAGCTGGGCCGGGTGGAAGGTGGGTGCGGGGGGGGGGGGGGTGGGGGGGGGGGGGGGAGCGGGGGGGGGAGTGGGGAGTGGGCATTCAGGAATCCGCGTGGCGGGGTCGGAGTGGGGCACACTCGGGTAGGTAGGGTGGGTGGGCTGGCGGCTGGCGACTGGGGGCCCCGTGATGCTCTCTCAGACCGCTCTCTCCGACCGCGGCCGCCGGAGTGGAGTGGCTGGTGGTCTCTGGTGGGGTGTGCTCCAACAACTCCTGCACCTGGCCCGCTTGGCTGCCCTCCGCTGCACCCTCTGTGCCCTCCGCTGCCCTCCGCTGCACCCTCTGTGCCCTCTGTGCCCTCACCCCGTGCATCCTCGCATCAAATCCCCTCCTGGGCCCCCCTCCCGCGCTCCCCCCCACCCCCCAGGCGGCGAGGTGCGGTACCTGGAGGTGGCTCTGCAGGTGCGGCCGCTGCCGCCGCACGCCCCCCGCCTGGCCGCCGCGGGGGTGCTGGTGGGCGGGGCGCTGGCGGCGGGGCTGCCGCAGTGGCTGGGGCTGCTGCTGGTGCCGCGGCAGGAGGAGGAGGAGGAGGAGGAGGGGGAGGGGGGCGAGGAGGAAGAGGGTGGGGGCGGGAGTCCGAAGGGGAGGGGGAGAGGCAGACGGGCGAGGAGCGGCTTGGCGCATGCGCGAGTGCATGTGCAGGTGGGTGGGAGGGTGGGTGACCAGGGAGGGAGGGAGGGGTGAGGAAGGGGGGCGGAAGTGGGGGATGTTGGCAGCTCTGCAGTGGGCTGGCGGGTGGGTGGCGCACCTCTTGAGGCTGCGTGCTGGGCACACGGCGGCAGGTGTGTGCCTCGTGCAGCATTGTATCAGTCAGCAGTCGAGCGAATCTAGAACTGCGTCTTCCCATGCTTCACAAGCATTGCCTGTTTGCCGCTCTCGTCATCGGTCGCACCGCTCTGACTCCCTCCCCCGCCTTCCCCCCACTGCACCCCCCTGCAACCCCCGCAGCCTCGCTCCCATGCGCCCCTCCGGCTGGGAGAGTGGCCCCCACCCGCCCTGGCTCCTTCCGTCACCCCCGCCGTCACCCCCGCCGGCCCCCTCTCCGTCATGCCCTCCATGGCCTCAGCGGGGGGCATCTCACCTGCCGCAGCGGCAGCCCTAGGCCACCCCCACCCCCACCCCCCCAACATGCAAGACCCCTCCGCTGCCGCTACCACCAGCCAGGAGCAGCACGCAGCCGCAGCAGCTGCTGCCGTACACCCGCCCTCCGCCGCCACCAGCGGCATCAGCGGCGGGGGCGCCTTTGCGAATCCCACCGCTGCCTCAGCTACGGCGGCAGCGATGTCAGCTGCATCTCCACCCCCTGCCGCCCCCCTCCACATGCCTCCCTCGCTGCTAGCGGCCAGCAGCGCTGCCGGCGTGCTGCGGCGGGGCGAGGCGGCGGGGGCGTGTCGGGTTGCGGTGGTGGAGCTGCCCCTGGGGGTGGCGGGGGCGGCAGCCGCGTCAGCCGCGGCGACCCGAGGGCCTGTAAGTGGCGGCGCTGCTGGTGGTGCTGGTGCCCCTGCCAGTGTCGGGGCTGAGGCGGTAGTGAGCGGAGCGGGCGGAGGAGGTGGCAGCAGCGGTGGCGGTGTGTGTTGGACGTACAGCAGCAGCCGGCAGGGAGTCGACCTGTCGCAGGTGGGAGAGGGGGGTCGAGGTGGGAGGGGAGAGGAGGTAGGAGGTAGAGGATGGGGAAGGGTGGGAGGTTGCGGTCAGGGCTCGGTGGGTAATGGGATGGACGGGATGCATGCATGATGCGGCGGTGGGATGTAGGCGGAGCGGGGGTACGTTACCGGTAGGCTCCTCTCCGGGGCCTGTGCCCGCACCTCGCCACGGGTTTCGGTCCTCTGGTGGCGGCGGGGGTCTCCCTCCCTCCCTCGCACGTATGCCTGCCTGCGTGGATATGGCTCCCGCGTCATGGCACCGCACACACACACACACACACCGCACGCCTCGGGTCTCCCTTGCCAGCACATGCCCGCGCGTGCAGCGTACGACACCACACCCCCGCACCCCCCCTTCCTACCCCCACCCACCCACCCACCCCCTGCCAGGCCCTCTCCGGTCCGCTGCGCTCGCCGGTGCTGCTGTGGCTGCCGGTGTGGGTGCCGCCCGCGGGGCCGGGGGGCGGCGGGGCGGAGGAGCGGGGGGGCGGCGGGGCGGCAGGGGCGGGGGCGGGGACAGGGGCGGGGGTGCAGCAGCTGCAGCTCAGTGCACCGCTGGAGCTGGTGCGCGTGACGCAGGTGGGGGGGCAGGGGGGGTGCTGGGGGTGTTGGATTACGCAGGGGGGGTGCTGGGGGTGTTGGATTACGCAGGGGGGGGGTGCAGGGGTGTTGGACCACTGGGAGCATACGGCAGCCGTTACTGTGGGCGTCATTATGTTGGCGCCCCTAACATCCCCTACATCCCATTCGCCTGCTGCACCCCGACCCCCTCCCCCCCCACCCCGCAGGCCCACGCGGGGGTGTCCTCCCGCCGCCGCCACCCGCCCGCCCCCGGACTGGCGGGGGGCAGGGGGCGCACGGTGGGGGGCAGGGGCAACACGGTGGGGGGCAGGGGCAACACGGTGGGGGGGGGGGAGGGGGGGGGGGGCTGTGTTGGCGGGTGGAGGAGTGGGAGGGGGTGTAGCTGGGGACTTGCCGGGGCGGCAGACCCCGGTTGGCTTGCCGATCGCGGGTGGGATGGTGCACTTGGCTGGTATGCTACTCTGAGGCGTGCACAGCTCTTTGCCAGTTGTTTACAACACAGCTCCTTGCTTCCGCCCCCCGTGTGCCGTGCCGTGCCGTGTTGCAGTTGGAGGGCCCGGCGGCAGCAGGACACAAGCTGGCAGGTGGGAGGGTGGGAGGGGAGGGGGGGAGGGAGGGGGAGGGGAGAGGGTTGGGAGGAGGGTGGGAGGGTGGCACAATAGGGCCTGCAGGTTGGCGCGGCAGGTTGGTCGGCTAGCCTTTACACTGCCCCCCCTCTGCCCCCCCTTAGCCTTTACACTCCCCCCCAACCTCTCCTTCCCCCTCCCCTCCCCGCCTCCCGCCTCCCAGGCCCCAGCCCCCGGCCGCTGCTGCCGCCCTTGGAGGTGGAGGTGGTGGTGGAGGGTCTGCAGCAGCCGGGGGGCGTGTGGCGCTCCACCGCCACCTGCCTCACCCTGCCGCTGCAGCAGCCCCTCAGAGTGCGGACAACGGTAGGGGGGGAGGCGGGGGGGGAGGGATCGGGGGGTTGGTGCTGCCTCATGCAGGGGACAGGGTTTCAGGAGGGGGAGGCTGAGGACGACTGTGCCAGCCCGGCTGCCTCCCGTCTTGTAGCCGCTCCCTCCCTAATCATCTGGTGTTCATCTACCCCCTCCCCCTCCTCCTTCCCCCCCACCACACACACCCCATTAGGCCCACCAGCTGCCCGACGGGCGGGTGCTGCTGACCGCCGGCCTGGCCTGCTGCCTGGCGCTGCCCGCCCTCCTCACCGCGCTGCACCTGGAGCCGCAGCCGGGGTGGCGCTGCATGACGGAGGGGGCGGAGGGGGCGGGGGCGGGGGGGCTGCTGCCGGGGCTGCTGCCGCTGCGGCTGGCGCCGGGGCAGGTCGCCAACGTGGCCTTCATGCTGTGCCGTGCTACGGGTAAGGGAGGGGAGGGAGGGAGGGGTTGCAGAGGCCAGGGGCACCCCAAGGGGAACGGTTGTACGCGGACACCTCCGCAGCAGGGGAGATGTGATCCACTTACCGCTTGCAAGTCACTCGCCCTCATCCTTCCCTACCCTCCCCCCCACCCTGCCCCCCCCCAGACTCCCAGCCTGCGCTGCCCGCTCTGCCTCCGGACGAGTGCTGCGTGCTGCACCTCTCCTACTGCATCGCCCCGCCCCCGGGCGCCACCGGGCCCGCAGCCGCGGAGGAGGTGCCGGCGGGGCTGGGAGGGGCGCAGCTGCTGTCCGCGCAGCTGCTGCTGGGCAGGGGGGGCGGAGGAGGGGGAGGCGGCAGCAGTGGCGCGGGTCACCTCGCAGGAGGTGGCAGGCTGCCGCTGCCGCCGCTGCTGGCGTCATCAGGGAGCAGCGCTGAGGCAGGGGCGGGTGGGTGTGGGTGTGGGGGTGGGGCCAGCTTGCAGGGGCCCCTGCCTACCACATCACCCGGGCGGCAGCTCCCCGGCTGCCCGCCCAACATATACAGCCACAATGGCCTGTACGCCGGCGCACCGCCCCCCTCCACTGCTCCCAGCACCCCCGCCATCACCGCTACCAGCCTGGGAGGCACCAGCGGCAGCGCGCCTGCAGTCGCCGCAGCCCTGGCAGCGGCTCCCACCTCCCAGCCGCCGCCCCCCCTGGGGCCCCCCTTCAGCTTCAGCCACGGATTCGTGCTGGAGTTCCCCGCCGGCGCCCCGGGGGGCAGCGGCGCGGGGCTGGCTCACAACCTGGTTTCGGTGCGGCTGCTGGGGCCGCAGGCGGGGGTGGTGGGTCGGCCGCTGCACCTCACCTGGCTGCTCACACGCCTCTCCGCACCGCCGCCTGCTGCTGCTGGGGTTGCGGGTGGTGGTGGTGCTGGAGCGGCGGATGACGGGGCGGATGCGGCGGTGTATGAGGTGGTGGAGGTGGTGGATGGGGGAGGTGGGGGAGGTCAGGGGCCGGGAGGGGGAGGTGGTGGGGCCTCTGTTGTTGCTCTTGCTTCAGGTGCAGGGGTAGGTGGTGGGGGAGGGGGAGGGGGAGGGGGAGGGGGAGGTGCAGCGGGGTCGCGGCAGGCTGCGGGTCAGTGGCGGCAGGCTGTGGGGTGTCGCGGCGGCGTGCGGCTGGGTCGGGCGCGGGGGAGTGTGGCGGTGGTGGAGGCGGCGGTGGTGCCGGGGGTGGCGGGGGTGCTGCGGGCGCCGGGGCTGCGACTGCGGGGGCTGCGTGAGGTGAGGGACGAGGAGGCGGCGGGCGCGGAGTACGTGGTGGTGTCCCCGCAGCCGCAGCAGCCCTGAAGCAGGAAGTAGGTGCATGGGTGGGTTGCTGTTGCGCGCCCCTTGTTGTGGCCGCTGCGTTACGGAGAGGTGGAGTGCGGCAGTACTGGGGTCGCGGACTGGGGTTACAGGTGTACCCTGGCAAAGCGCTGCCAGTGACCGGCGGCGATTGTGCTATGTGTGATACAGCCTTTCAGCTGGGCGTTAGTGTTTTGATGGGCTGGGAGGATGCACTGACAAGAGCACTGGACAGTACAGATGATGGTGAGCGATGGTGCATGTTGTGCGCCTGCGGGCTGGTGGCTGGTGGGCCGGATAGGGTACGGTGGCAGCTGCGCGCGAGACACGTGGGGCTGTCTGCCGGCAGTCCTTTGTTAGCAAGTGATAAGAGATTGGTGCAGGGCGCCTGAAGGTCCTTGCAAGCCCCTTCCTTGCCTGTGTGCTGTTCGTGAGCTTGCCGCCAGACAGCTACCAGGTGCTGCGGCAGGGCGCCCCCGCTATGTCCTGCCGTCAGCGGTGTAGGAGTGACGGGTCTCAGGCAGTCACGGGCAGTACATGTACGGCATTGCCCTGATACCTTCCCTTACTAGTTTCCTTGGCTGCGGATCCATCCACATCTGCTGGACTCTCTTACGGGTGGACTTCACGGTTGGGTGCCGAGCTTGCCGGTCCCAACTCCCCAGGGTAGCCTGTTCCTTTTAAGACAAGTTGTAGTCGCTTGCCTTTCACGGGGTATTGCCAAGCAAGCACCATGGGTAAAAAGAGAAGTTGTACGGCCCACCCCATCCCAAATCCAGGCGACACCCAAGCGGCGATGATTGCTCGTCATCTTATTACCACTACACATGGCAAATACAACGTTCAAACCGTGTGGCTCATGCTCAAGCGTTGTCGGCTGGGCGGTCATGCAGTTGGGAGTGGAGCTTCCCGTCAGGTGAAGGGCGCCAGCAGCGTTATCCTGCTGGTGGTGGTGGTGGGCCACCTTGTCATCGAAACGTTTGGAGTCAAGACACCATGCAGGTGTCCCAACCGTAACCCTGTTGGCCTCGAGAGCAAGCATGGTGGGGCGGCTGGGGAGCAGCTCCGCACGCATCCCTGCCCACGCAAAATTGGCGTCTAACAGTCGCAGTGAACCGTTGCGGCATTGTTGCGGTGGGTGGCGGGGGTGTACGGCGCTGCAAGGGGGGCTGATGATGAACGTCACGGTGCAATTAGTGCACGGTGCAAGGCGCTGGGCTACGAACAATGACCCGTGGGTCACTACTTCGGCAAGAGCAGTACAACAGTTCCGTGACCTTGTCGTCCATACCTTCGTGTCGCGACTGCCTTCCGGAGCAAGGAGGGAATAGGGCTCCGGCTTTCTATTTCGGTATCACTCAGGATCGTTGTTCCAACCGGCTGTGTAGCGAACTGCCCCCCTATCCAGCAGCTAGCACAAAACTTCCACATGCCCGGCAGGCAGGCAGGTAGCACCTGAACCTCAACTCTCCTGGGAGCAGCCGGCCGTGTTCGTTTCGAGTTTGGACCAACGAACGGCAGGGAGGACCGGGGTAGTATGCCCCTCGACAACTGTCGGGCACTGCGCATGCTGGCGAGTAACAAGTTCATTAAACGGTTAGAAGTACGAACACGGACACGCGAGTATAGGACACATTGCAGCAAAACAAGGGTTATCCGCAAAGCCCACACCACCACCCCCAGCTGCTCTAGTATAGTGCGGGTAATAAATACATACGGCTATACTCGGTACGGAGAGCCAGCAGCAGCAGCAGCAGCCCGCACTACAGCTCATCGCCCAGCCCCAGCGCTCCCCCGCGCTAAGCGGAGGACCCAGCGAGCAACACCACCGGTTTGTGTCACCAGCAGCATCAGTAACGCATCGCCGGCAGCAGCAGGAGCAGGAGCAGGAGCAGACGGATGCCTAATTATGCTTGGAATTCCGCCTCTTTCAGTCATCAGTTATTACTAGCACTCTCAGCAGCCGATGTCGAGACCGGCATAGCAGGGGGGAATATAGCCCTGATTCAAATGAAGCAAGAACAACCGCCGCCCTTTCCCAACCTCCTTTCCGAGTCGGGTGGGTTTTCCCTAGATCCCTGAGCACTGGACACAAGGACACTCTCTCCTTCATACTGACACATGCTCCTGAACGACCACCCCTGCCTCGGGGTAAGACGGGATACCGCACACAAGTGCTCAGGTGCCCAACTCGGAGGTCAGCCGCCGGAGGACCAGCGCCCCCTGTGGCGCCGCAACCACCACCGCCGTACACATCCCGCCGTACACTTGCATGCGATAGCCCATCCACTATTTATCGCTACATTTCTTGGCGCATGTAGTACCGCTCACGTCCTTACTAGGAGGTGCACACCCTGGAAAAAAACGTGTGCACGGCAGCTCCCCTGCCCCCTAGGGGAAGCAACGCACGGCTACGTACCGACAACCCGAGCATGCGGCACAGGAGCACCAGCTGCACCGCCCCCCGCCCCGCCCCCGCAACTAGCAGACCTCGGTCCACAGCTCCTATCCACCTCCTCCTGCTGTGCACGTACGGCAGCCGACCAACCAGGCTGCGCCTCCGGACATGACAACCATGGAAATGCAGCCACACCTCTCAGCCACACCTCATACATTGGATACATAGCGGTCTATATTCCTAGAATACGAATGGCATTGTTATTTCACACCGGCCGGGAGGTCATCTTCGAGTGTCTCTCTCTCCTACTCGTGCACCTTCTCGCCGTGCACGTCTCAACCTCCTACAATACATTACTCTCTCTTCTTCTTATACACCAGGATACACCAGGAACACAAAATACGTCAATTACTGTTTGCATAAAGTACAACCAATGGCAGCAGTTAGCCCGAGTGTCCTCCTGCCTGTACACCGCTGCTGCCGTACATACATCACAACAGCACCACCCACCCGCTATAATGCATATGGTACAACATGGGGGAGGTGTTGTGCTTTACTATTGGTATAGTGATATTTTCACTTGCATCATACGAGCTGCCATCTTGCCCTCTTCCGTTCCTCTCCTCCTCGCGCCCTTTCCATCTCTCAACCCCTCTTCCATACATCCACTTCCCCCTCCCTCCCCGCCCCCCTCACACCACGAGGCTCTCCCTGGTGCGGATCACGGGAGTGCTGCCCCCCCAGTACTGCAGCGCGCGCCCCACCCCACTGCCCGGCACCAGCGCCCCCACCCCCGCCTCCCGCAGCGCCATCTCTGCCCCCGCCAGCGCGCCCGCCAACATCAGCTCATTCATGTTACCCAGGTGGCCGATACGGAACACCTGGGAGGGGGAGGGGGGGGGAGGGGGGCCGGAGGCAGCGGAGGGGGGAGAGGGGAGAAGGTTTGGCTGTACGAGGGGCAGATGGAGGGCCAGATACGACCAGACAAGGCTGTGAACAGACGTGGACGTGCAGGCGTGCTGGCCCCCCTCACCCGGGGCACCCGCCCACCGACCCGCCCACCCACCCACCCGGGGCACCCACCTGCCCAGACACGCACCTGCCCGCAGACCCTTCCTACTCGCGGCCTTGCATGGTTCCCTCCCTCCCTGCCTCCACCCCGCTCCCTCCCCCCCCCCGCCCCCGCCCCCCTCACCTTTCCATTCACCTGCGCCAGCCCAATCCCCAGTGACAGGTCGTACTTGGCGTACGCGAGCGCCACCACTCGGTTGGAGTCCACTCCAGGGGGGGTCTCGATGACGGTGAGGGAGTCGCTGTACCACCTGGGGGAGGAAGGGAGGGGGAGGAAGAGGAGGGGGAGGAAGAGGAGGGGGAGGAGGGGGAGGAGGGGGAGGAAATGGATTGGGGCAGGAACTGGCCGGATTGGCGGTGGTCGTGACTTGAAGGGCAGTGTGGCGGTGGCTTGGTAGGGATGCCGGGGGAGGGAGGGATGCCGGGGGAGGGAGGTATGCCGGGGGAGGGAGGGAGGGAGGGAAGCAGCCTGACAGAAGCGCCAGGTGCGCGAGCGCTACAGCACTGTATTGCACAAGCACGTGCAGGTCCCCCCTCCCCCCTCCTTTCCATCCACCACCACCCGCCCTCACATCCCCTACCCACTACCGCCTCCCCATACTGCCATACTGCCTCAACTGGTGGCCTCCATGGGACAGCTTGGTTCCATACTAATCCCCTACCTCCCTACGCTTCCCCAGGTCCTCGGTTCCTTCTTCGTTTCCTCTTCCCCCCCTCCCCCCCGGCCCCCCCCCTCCCCGCCCCCACCTGGGGTTCTTGCACAGCAGCTGCAGCCCCCAGCCCTCCACCGCCCGCCGCACCCCCTCAGCCAGCCGGTGGTGCCGCGCCGCCACCGCCCCCATGCCGCCCTCCTCGCGCAACAGCCGTACACTCTCCCGCAGCCCGTACAGCAGCGGCAGGGAGGGGGTGTACGGCACGCTGCCCGAGGGGTTGGTCCGCAGCATGTCTGCAAAGTCGTAGTAGACGCGCTTCAGCTGTGCGGTCTTCATGGCCTCCAGGGCCTGATGGGGGGAGGTGGGGGTCATGGTGGGTTGCGAATGTGGGTTGCGAAGATGGTCGGGGACAGACAGTTGATGATGATGTGAAAGAAAGCTGGTGGACAAACCCTGGGAATGGGACAACAGTGAAAGTGAACACGCACGACGTTGGGGAGGTGTGAATAAGGGGACATGGCGAGAAGCTGGGAAGCGTGAGCGTACGGGACAGCTACGACCCCAGCACAGTATCCAGTAAGATGCTCTCTTGACGTGCAAAACCCTCATCAAAAGAAAGTGGACCCACACCCTTGCCCCACACGCGGCAAGGAAAGCTCCAAAGCACCGGTTCCTACCCCGCGGGGGAATGCGTGTCTCATCGCCCCCGCATAAGGCCCCCCCCCATGACGCGTTATCCCTCGGTCAGTCGCCGTTTGTTCCTCTGTACCCCCCGAGGGAGCCCCACCTTGGGTGATGCAGCCACGAACGCTAGGCCCGTGGGCAGCGAGAGGGCCTTCTGGGAGCCCGTCACCGCCACATCCACCCGCCACTCGTCCATCTTGAACTCCAGAGCTCCAATGGAGGACACGCCGTCCACCAGCAGCAGAGCCGGGTGGCTGGCCGCGTCCATGGCTTGACGGCAGCCGGCAATGTCGGACGTCACGCCGGTCGTTGTCTCGTTGTGTACGACACAAACCGCCTTAATTTTCTTCTCGGTATCCTTGCGCAGGATGTCCTCAAGGATGTTTTCGTCCGCGCCCTCACCCCAAGGCCGGTCAACGATGTGGACGTCTAGGCCCAGGCGCTGCATCATGTCAATCCAGAGATGCGAGAAGAGGCCGTAGCGGAAGCAGACGACCTTGTCGCCGGGTGAGAGCGTGTTGCATAGGGCTGCTTCCCAGCCTCCAGTTCCGGTCCCTGGGAAGATGAAGGGTGTGGCCTCCTTGGTGCCGTAGATAAGCTTGCTGTCCTCAAGGCAATCCTTGAAGAATTGCGCAAACCAAGGGTCGCGATGGTTCTGGCCGGGCACGTTCATGGCTCTGAGAACACGTTCATGGATGTTGACAGGTCCTGCAAGCAGCGGTTGGCCCAGTTGAAGGAAAATGAGAAAGCCGAAGGAGCATTTACCGGCATACATGACGTACCCGGCACAAACAAGTGATTCCGTCCTGGAGGGGTATAAGAAAACGGTGCTGGCTCCGAATTGGTAGAGGGACTCGATTGCGGATCATGGTAGGCCTGCGAACGTTTGCGATGGCTCAGGCAACTTGTAACCGAACCGCTGAGCGAGGCAAACGTTGGTTGAACCTGCTCAGGAAGGGCGCTGGCGCTCAAGCCACGAGCCAAGCGCCCGAACAAGGGGAGGGCGTGTTTCTTTGAAAGCTCCCGCAACATTGGGGCAAGAACGCACACAAAAGCTTCTGGGAAGGGAACCCTTGTCTACAGGCAGCGCCAAGTGAGCCTCGTGTAGTAAAGGCGTGTTTTGTATGATGCAATTACGTCTTAGCCTGAGCGGTAAGGCAGTATACGTCAACGAAGCAGAAGTCCTCCAACAGTACGGCAACTGCGCAGTAGTGTTGCATGTCCTCAGATGCTTCTATTTAAGACTTAGATATATGGTAGACATTATGGAGTTTTCAAGGGTGCACTGTTCCTAAGGTGCGGGTCCAGGCGTGCGTTCGCTGCATGCGACAGTCGCCTGAAAGCTGCAACTTCTCTGAAACCTTTCGCAATAGCTTAGTGTCATAATTATTCCGTCGTAACATGCTTGTGTTTCTGGCATGCTTGGCGCAATTCGGCTACAAACCCCCTTCCGAATGGCATGTCCGCCTCCACACTTCCATCCGTTGCCTTCTAACCATGGGCATCCATGCTCTTGCTCTTGCTTGCGTTCCAAAATGATTGTGCCCAAACAGCAACCACGGATGGCACCTTCCAGGCGCCTGCAGGAACCCAAACTTCACTAAGGGCTACTCGTGCGTTCATTGGAACCTCTTAACTTTTCGCTACCCTAAAGCCAAGCAAGCAAACCCCTCATAGGCTCCCGACCTGACACACAAATCTCTAACAAGCCTCCTGCAACCTGGCTACACCTCCATGACACCGGTGGCGACCCCCACTACCGCTAACAGCCTAAAGCCGGCACGGTGCACGCGGGGTCCAGCTGGCTGCGTTGCTCATCACCATGCCAACAAATTACAGGCATTAGTATTTTGACCACAGGGTATTGGTCATTGTGACAATAAGCAAGGCTGCACCTCAAAAGCCCATATACAACCACACATGTAAAATACTGCCGTACTAAAGGCTACACCTTTGGCGCTGAAGCCACTCTGCATCCCCCTCTGCCTCTCCTCCCCCTTCCCCGCTGCCCCCTGCTCACTCCTCCCCTTCCCCTCCCCCCCCGCCCCCTCCCCCCAGCCTCCTCACCAGCCGGGTGATGCTGGTGGCCGGCCGCCGCACCCCCGCCACCAGCGTGTCCCGCCCCGCCGCCCACACCTCCCGCACCGCGTCCTTCCCCGCCGCCAGCCCCTCCAGCAGCACATCCCCCAGCCGCTCCGCCGGCGCCTGCACCGCCCCCACCACCGCGCCCACCACCCCCGCCACCTTGGCGCCCGGTGTCAGGCCGTGAGCGCGGTCCAGACAGCGCGTTAGGGCGGCCAGGGAGACGTCGGTCACGGGGCGGTGCGGCACGTTGGCCTGGGGGGAGGGGGGAGGGAGAGGGGAGAGGCGGAGGGAGGGCAGGCAGGGGAAAGGAGGGGAAGGAAGGGGGGGAAAGGATGGAGCGAATGTCAGGGGAAGGATTAAAAAAACATCCTGAGGACAATAGTGGTGACCCCTGGATTGCAGGGAAGTATTATATATACCGATGCCTGAAAAACACGACCCTGCAGCACTGCAGACATAACTCCCCTACCACACCCTTGCCTACAAGAGCAACACCCCTTATACCCCTCTCCAACCCACCTCTCCAACCCACCTCTCCCCCCTCCCCTCCCCCCCGACCCCACCCCCACCCACCTGCATGAGCGCCATCCACTCCGCGTACCTAAACCTCCCCGGCCGCTCCCCCGCCGCCCGCACCACCTCCTCCGGGGCCACCAGCAGCAACCCGTAGTAGCTCCGGGCGCTGTCGTACAGTCCCCCCCGCTCCCCCCGCAGCTCGGGACACGTCAGCAGCGCCGCCAGCAGTGCTGTACTGGGGGAGGGGTAGCCGGACACACAGGGGAGGGAGCACAGGGCGGCTGCTGCTGCTGCTGCTGCTACTGTTGCGGCGGTGGAGTCGACAGCGGAGGTCTGCTGCTGCGGCTGTTGCCGGCTGGTGGCAGCGGAGGCAGCGGCTGCTGCTGCTGCCGTGTGCGGCGGCGGTGCCATGTTGGCGAGTGCGGTGAGGGGCGGCTGCAGCAGGGAGAGGGCGCGGATCATGCGCTCCACGCCCAGCGAGTTGATGTCGTGGATGGCTGCGAGGGGACAGGAGGGGAGGTGGGGCAGCGAGGGGAGGGGGGTAAGAAGGGCCGGCTGCATAGCACGACCCGTACCAGGTCTTAGGAATCGTTGCTAGCTAAACACTAAACCCTTATGTAGCGTGTAGCCCTCCTTCCCCTTCCTTTGCCCCACATGGCCCCCCCTCCCTCCCCCCCTCACCCGGCAGCAGCCACATGGCCCCCCGTGCAGTCGCCGCCCCCAGCGCCCCGAACACGTAGGCCCTCTTGGCGGGCTGCAGGAAGGGGCCCAGCTCCTCGCTGCAGCGCAGGCAGCAGCGGACCAGCGAACCCAGGCTGGCAGGGAGCTGAGGGAGGGGGGGGAGGGGGAAGGAGGGGGAGGGAGGGGTAAAATAGCTTGGGGGGACGGGGAGGGAGATGGAGGAGACAGGGGCAGGCGTGTACGACCAACCAGTGCGGTGTACGGTGCACGGTATTAACACGGGGGAAGGCTGGAGCTGGGCTGGCCCCAAGGTTATTGTCTTGTTCCCCCGCCCGCCGCCCCCGCCCCCACCTCCGCCGCCTCCTCCTCCTCGCACACGTGGTTTGCTGCCGCCAGCGGCCCCAGGTGTGCCCCCACCAGCAGCAGCCCCTCCAGCCGCAGCAGCCGCACGCAGTGGCCCGACAGGGCGACGTAGCTGGGGGGGAAGAGGTGGAGGGGGTGGAGGGGTGGGAAGGGTGGGAGGGGGGGAGGGGAGGATGATAAGAGGCGCGTAACAAGGCAAGCTTAGCTGGGCAAGGCGGGGGACAGAGAGAGACCAGCAGGGCGGACGGGTGCTGACGGGGGGGACCATGGGGATGAAGACAATACCGGTACCCGCTGTGATGGGTGGGGGAGGGGCAGGGGCAGTTCCCGGCCTCCCGGGCCATGCGGATGTGGTGCCAGGGGGTGTGCGCCGGGGAGTGCCCCCCCCCCCCGCCCTCCCTCGTACACCCGGGTGTGTGCAGGACCCACATCGCGACACATGCCCCCCCCCAGGACCCCTGCTCAGCAGCCCGGGAGCTGCTCCATTCAATACGGCACACGCCGGCAGCCCACAATACTACACCCAATACACAGCACCAGGCCCCCCTCGCATCCCCTCCCCCTCCCTCTCCCCCCTCCCCCCTACCGTTGTACGACCGGCAGCAGCAGGTCAGGTATGGCAGAGCTCCCCGCCGCATCCGACTTCTGCTGCCTGCCTCCCCTCCGCCCTCCTCCTCCAGCCCCTCCCCGCCTGCCCCCTCCCCCTGCCGTACCGTCCCCCCCTCCCCCTGCCGTACCGCCCCCCTCCCCCGCCTCCTCCATGATCCGCCCCACCGCCTCCACCACGTACTCCAGCGACTCGCTGAGGGCCGCCAGCTGGTAGGCGCGCTCGGAGCAGCCTGGGGGGGGGTGAGAAGGGGTGGGGGTGGGGGAGGAGGGGAGGGGGAATAACACACAGGGGCCAGGAGGAGGGGGAACACGGAGACCAACACCTAGCCGGGCCTACTTCGTCCCTCCCTACCCTTACCTCCTCCTTGCCCACCACGTACGTGTCCGTCCTCCCATGCGAGACCCCAGCAGCATGCCACCCCTTTGCCACCAGCTGCCTCCCTTTCCCACCGCCACCAGGAAGATCACCACCACTACTACCACCATTACCCTTCCCATCCCCATCCCCTCCCACCACCCTTCCCATCCCCATCCCCTCCCACCACCCTTCCCATCCCCATCCCCTCCCACCCCCCACCCCACAACGTACCCTGTCCAAACACCAGCTGCTCGTGTCCCTGCGGCCGCTCCCGCAACGCAAAGTACTGCACCTCCACCTCCGCCGCGTCTCCGTCCGCCCCGAAACCAGCAACCGGACTGCGACCCGACCAACCCCCTCCCGCCCCTCCCCCTCCCCCTCCTCCTGCCGTACCGCCTCCTACCCCTCCCACTGCCGCCGCTGCTCCCCCAGGGTGGTTCAGCGGCCTCAGCTGCGGGGGCGCCAGCAGCGGCCGCTCCTGGCTGCGCAGCGACACCAGGAACCCCACCAGGTCCGGAGGGGGGCTGGGGGAGGAGGCACCGCCACCCCCACCCCCACCACCACCAGGAGTACCCCCCGCGCCGCTGCTGCCGGCAGCCCCGCTCCCCGCACTACCACCCCCTCCCCCTCCCCCTCCCCCTGCTGCCCCCGGTAGTGCCCCGGGCAGGGGTGCGCACGCCAGCGGCTCCCGCAGCAGCGCCGCGTCCGTCTCCGCCGCCATGGCCGCACACACGTCGGAGCGGGCCACCAGGCGGGCGGAGGGGGCGGCGCGGGAGGCGAGGCGGACCATGTGCTGGGGGGGGGAGAGGGGGGGAGGAAGGGGGGGAGGAAGGGGACGGGCGTGAGGTTCATGGTGGGAGCGGGGAGGGAAGGGGAGCGTGGGGATCAGCAGTCACAACAGGGGAGAGAAGGGGCAGGGTGAGTGGGGACATGGCGCCCACCCCCAATACACACACGCCCGCACGCTCGGCTCGACTAACTCGTTCCCATCCACCAGGATGGCGTGAAAATAGCAAGGCTATCCTTATTCTTTTTCTTGCACTCTTCCCCAAAATTCCCGCTGGACAGTCGACCCTTCATCGCCACCGCGGACCCGGTGCCGGTAGGGACCGCTAACCAACACTCCGTACTGTGGCACCCTGCCGCCTCCAATCCCCATTGCTCTGTCCTAACCTGCGGTTTCCCACGGTTTGGGTCACTCTTTGACCCCCAGTTCCCCCTCCCGCCCCCCCACCTCGAACGCCCCCAGCATGCGGTCCAGTATCCTCTCCGCCATGGCTGTGAAGGCGGCGGTGAAGGGCGGCAGCGCGCCACCCGCACCCACCAGCTCCCGCACCACACCCGACAGGAAGCGCGCCAGCGGCACCACGGAGCGGGGGGCGGCGCAGCAGGGGGGGGCGAAGGAGGAGGGGGAGGAGGAGGGGGAGAGGGAGGCGGCGTTGAAGCCGAGTTGGGGCCGGAAGGCGTCCGGGTCCTCCAGGGCTGCCGTGCACCTGGACGGGGTGTGGGGTGGGGGCGCAGAGGGGTTGTAGTGGACCCGTTTCGGACATGGAAGAGGGAGGGCAGGCAAGGGCACAGCATGTTCGGCAAGTACCGGTAGGGGTAGGTGGTGGCTCAGGCTGCTCGCGGCGCTGGCGGTTGCGAACATTCGACCGACATCCATGTGCCCGGGTGAGGCAGGCGCCTCCTCCCCATGCAACAACCACCCACTCTGCGCCGACTCGCCATCCCCCGCCCTCCTCCCTTTGCTCTTGCTCGGTGGTATGGGATGGGTTTCGGTGGGTTGTTTTGCCCCTAGTTATCCTAGTTGGTTTGCTTCTCTTACCCCTCCCCCTCCCCTAGCTCCCCCTCCCCCTGCCCCCAAGCAAGCAATTGGTAAGTCTCTGAGATGCGTGTGTCTAGAATAGTGTCTCCGAATGCGCTCACTGCATGAGTCGGGATTCGGGATTGGGACTGCGTTGTTGCACTTGTCACTTGATTTCCCCCTCCGCCCTCCCCTGACCCCGCCTCCCACCCGCCCCACCTGCCCCGCAGCTCCACCCAGAGTTGCGGCAGCAGCTGCTCCAGCGCCACCTGCTCCAGGTAGGCGGGCAGCCAGCTGGACACCACCGGGGGGCCGCCGGACTCGCTGGAGGGGGAGGAGGAGGAGGCGAAGGGGCTGGTGGTGGAGGTGGAGGTGGGTGCCAGGTCGGGGGGCAGCCGCAACAGCTGCTCGGCGCGGGTGACGAGGCGCAGGGCGGGCAGGTAGGTGTCGGGCAGGAGCTGCAGGCAGCAGCAGCCCTCGCCTGGGGGGCAGGGGGGTGGGGGAAAGGAGAGCAGCCATGGGAGGGACGGGGGTGAGAGGCGGGGTGAGAGGCTGCAGAGTTGGAGGTGGAGGCGGAGGGACTTTTCGAGGCAGCAGGAGGTGTCTTAGCAGCAGGAGGGAGGACAAGGCCCTCCCTCCCAGTCCGCCGCCTCACCGATCAGTCGGTGCAGCAGCGGGGCGTACCCGGCTGCCTCCTTGGCGGGGCCGCGCGGCACCACTGCGCCGCCCCACACCTGAGGGGAGGGGAAAAAGAAATTCCAAAGTGTGGTAGGGGAGGGGGGGAGGGGTGAAGCGAGGGTAACGGAGGGGACCTTGGTTCCAGGGTTGGGCACACCGAGAAAGGAGGGAGGAAGGCGTGAGGTCCGAGCAGAGGAGGTCCGAGCAGAGGAGGTCCGAGCAGAGGAGCAGAGTCACCGCGGGTGGCAGCGGCGGCAACCTCACAACAGCCCTCACGTCAGCCATCATGGACTGCACCGCCACACACACACCCCTCCCCTCCCCTCCCCTCCCCTCCTCTGCTCCTGCCATGCACCCACACACCCAAACACCTGCAGCAGTCCTCTACTCCTACATCGCCACCACCACCACCCGACCCCCTACCCCCCCCCCCACCTGGTCTCCTCCCCCGCCGCCCTCCGGCCCCGGCAGCTGCAGCGGCAGGTCGAATGCAAAGGTGAGCTTGCTGCCCGCCACCGCCTCGTGGCGCCGCCGGGGGGTGCCCTGGGGGTCGGGGCCGCCACCGGGGACCTGCGGGGGCTGGGGGGGCTGTTGGAACTGCAGCTGCGGCTTGTTGGGTGCTGGGGGTCGGGCGCCTGCGGGGAAAGAAGGAGCGAGGAAGGAAAGGAGCGAGGACTGCGGTGGAGAAGGGTGGCGGGGGTGCTGGGGGCTGCAGCGCTCGCAATCCTTCCTGACACTCCTACGCCAGATGGAAGGTCCAAAGCCCTACCCACCCGCTGCTGCCGAAGCCCCTCCGCCCCCTCCGCCTCCCAGCGCATTCTCCGCCAAGTCCGCCGTCCTCTCAGCGAGTGCCGCCAGCTGCTCCAGGAAGTGAACCGGGTTCAGGTCGGCAAGCAGGGACCGCACGCCGCTGCCAAAGCCACCGCCTCCCGGGCCGCCACCAGCGACCCGTGGGTCGGTGCCGCCGCGGCCGCCGGGTCGGGCGGGTCGGCCCAGCTCGCCACCCGCCAGCGCTCCCGCCTGCAGCAGCTCGGTGAGCAGCAGCTGCAGCTCCTCCTGCGGGGGAGGTGAGGGGGAGGGGGGAAGGAGGGGAGGGAGGTAAAGATGAGGAAACAGTATGACGAGGCTTCACCATGGGTTGCATATGGTAGCCGGCCGGCGAGGGCGGGGATGGGGTGGGGGATAGCAGGGAGTGGGTACTCTGCACAAGGCTGCGGTGGGGGGGTGGGGGGCAAGGCGGTTGCGTTGTGGTGGTCGCAGTACCTGTTGGGCCAGTGGAGGTGCGGCGGGAGGGACGACAGGGAGGGCAGGGCAGGGGGCCACATGGGGCCTCATGGCATGGTCCCGCTCAACCGTGTCCTCGCATCCCTACACGCCCACTCGCATCGTAACAGTAGCAGTTACCCTTCCCCCCCCCCCCCGCACCTGCATGCAGTCCCCTCCCCTCCCCCCCCCGCACCTGGGATATGGGATTGGGATTTGTTGTTTCACTTTTATATAATTTTTCCCCCCGCACCTGCATGCAATCCCCCCCTCCCCCCTTCACCCTCCCCCCCCGCACCTGCATGCAGTCCCCCCCTCCCCCCTTCACCCTCCCCCCCCCGCACCTGCATGCAATCCCCCCCTCCCCCCTTCACCCTCCCCCCCCCGCACCTGCATGCAATCCCCCCCTCCCCCCTTCACCCTCCCCCCCCCGCACCTGCATGCAGTCCCCCCCTCCCCCCTTCACCCTCCCCCCCCCCCCGCACCTGCATGCAGTCCCCCCCTCCCCCCTTCACCCTCCCCCCCCCCGCACCTGCATGCAGTCCCCCCCTCCCCCCTTCACCCTCCCCCCCCCGCACCTGCATGCAGTCCCCCCCTCCCCCCTTCACCCTCCCCCCCCCCGCACCTGCATGCAGTCCCCCCCTCCCCCCTTCACCCTCCCCCCCCCGCACCTGCATGCAGTCCCCCCCTCCCCCCTTCACCCTCCCCCCCCCGCACCTGCATGCAGTCCCCCCCTCCCCCCTTCACCCTCCCCCCCCCGCACCTGCATGCAGTCCCCCCCTCCCCCCTTCACCCTCCCCCCCCCGCACCTGCATGCAGTCCCCCCCTCCCCCCTTCACCCTCCCCCCCCCGCACCTGCATGCAATCCCCCCCTCCCCCCTTCACCCTCCCCCCCCCGCACCTGCATGCAGTCCCCCCTCCCCCCTTCACCCTCCCCCCCCCCGCACCTGCATGCAATCCCCCCCTCCCCCCTTCACCCTCCCCCCCCCGCACCTGCATGCAGTCCCCCCCTCCCCCCTTCACCCTCCCCCCCCCCGCACCTGCATGCAGTCCCCCCCTCCCCCCTTCACCCTCCCCCCCCCCGCACCTGCATGCAGTCCCCCCCTCCCCCCTTCACCCTCCCCCCCCCCGCACCTGCATGCAGTCCCCCCCTCCCCCCTTCACCCTCCCCCCCCCGCACCTGCATGCAGTCCCCCCCTCCCCCCTTCACCCTCCCCCCCCCCCGCACCTGCATGCAGTCCCACATGCGCTGGTACTCCTCCCGCAGGTACGCCGCCCGCTCCCTCGCCGTCAACCCACCACCCCCTCCCCCTCCTGCTCCCTTGCCTCCTGCAGCCGCGCCCCTGTACTTCCCTCCCAGCAGCCCCCCGCCGCCACCACCCGGCCTCCGCCGCCCCTCCCTGTCCCTGCCGTCCGCCTCGCCCCCTGCCGCCGCCCCGCCCCGCAAGGCCCCCAGCTCGTCCAGTGCGGAGCTCTGAGTGGTGGCGGGCGCCGCAGCCAGCTCCACCAGCACGTGCTGCAGCCGGGATAGCGTCTAGCGGGGGCGAGGGAGAGGAGGGAGGGGAGGGAGGAGGGGAGGGTGCTGTAAGCAAGGGAAGGGATTGGGGAGACGAAGAAGGCGAAGGATGCCCAAGTGGAAGTGGAAAACGCTAGCGGCAGCTACGCTCGTTACATGAGGCAAGCGGAAGCCACGGATGGGCTGCTCGCCCATTGCTGCTGTCGCACGCACTACCCAAATCCATGCACCCTGCCTGCCCACATCCCCCGTGCCCCTGTACGTGCACCCCCACCCCCCCACCCCCCACCCCCTGCCCATGCCCATGCCACGCGCCTGCAGGCAAGCTCCCCCCACGTGCGCCAGCAGCCGCTGTGTGAGCACTCGTACGGCGGGGCTCGCCATGCCGGAGGGGACGGAGGAGGAGGAGGGGGAGCTGCTGCCGCCCGCCGCATGCAGGCCGCCGCTGGTGCTGCCGCCCATGGCCCCCGCTGCCGCGTCCCCTGCTGCGGAGGCGGAGGAGGCCTGCTGCAGGAAGGTCTCCAGGCTGCGACGTATGACTGCTCGGATCTGCCCCGGGGGGGTGGGATTGGGGGGCGAAGGGAGGTGGAGGGGGTGGAAAGGAGTTGGCATGGGTGGACGAGTAGAGGGTGGTAGGGCGGGCGAGGCAGCATGCCGGTACGCATGCTGGCTGGAGGGAGGGAGGGAGGGATGATGTGCCGCGCCCAAGATGAGGAGCAGGAAGGCTTGTCGTACAGGCAGCACAGGCAGTGCAATCACACCTCCTCGTGTTGTGCACATGTACCGATATGCGATCCCTCAGCTGGTGTCCATGTGCGTTAGAGGAGCACCCACCCACGTATTCCCCCCGCGTATTCCCTTCCCAGACAGCCTACTGCATTCCCGCTCTGCACACCGCCACCACGCACATAGGACATGGCGAGCGACGGGATCACCTGTCCCCCCCTCCCTCCCTCCCCCTCCTCCCCACCTCGCTCCTCGCCCGCTGCGCCAGGTACTGTCGGGCCTCCAGCACTCCGTCCACCTGCACACACACACACACGGTTACTTATACCTACCTACTTACTACTCCGGTCCTTAGGTCCGGTCGCGTTACGACATTGCTTTTACTGCTTTACACTGCTTCACCTGTGGCGTTTTTCGGTGGGAGGACTTCATCTTTCGGCAATCACAGTACGTTTCGCCTCGCGGCCAGTTATTTTAACACACACACACACACACACACACCGGGCCCAGGAGGGGTGCCGTACAGCTCGCTATGCTAGGCAGCCAGCCAGTCAGGGTCCGTGGCCGTGATTGATGTGGCTGACCGACTGACGTCGAGTTAAGGGCCCTTTGACGGTGCTGGACCATACACGCCCCGGTCTACAGCGCACATGCCCACCCCCCTCAGGGCTGTCCACCCGCAAGCATACCCGCCCCCCCCCCCCCCCCCCCCCCCCCACCTGCGCCAGGCACGCCACCAGCTCCCGGGTGGACACGTGCCGCAGGGCGCCCTCCACGTCGGCACCGATGTCGCCCCCCGGCCCGCTGGCAGCCCCTGCCCTGGCCCCTCCTCCTCCTCCTGCACCTCCGGCTGCCGGTGCGGTGCCGGAGGGGGGCAGCGAGGAGGCGGAAGCCAGGGAGAGCGACAGCGCGGACCGGAGCTCTGTGGAGGCAGTACGGGAGGAGCGTACGGCATCCTACATGGGGAGTTGAATGGAGGGGGGTTGGGGAGTGTGGGGTTAGGAGTGAAGTGCGAGCCGTTGCAGACACAGCAGCGTGCGCGGGTGCAGGGTGCAGTCCAGGAGGAGCCGGTGCAGCGAGGTGGCCCAGGGGGTGGGGTGACGTGTCAGGGAGCACCTGGAGGGAGCACCTGACCGCAGCGTAACACAACTGCCTGCCTGCCTGCCTGCCAACATAGCACATTACGTGCCCGGCCGCAAACGGAACGAGGGGCAGGAAACACCCACCCTGGCCTCCGCACCCCCACCGTACGGCAGTAACCATAGCGCCCCATCCTCCCTACCCTCCCACGCATCCCTCTCCCGCCGCCCGCTCCTCCCACTCCCCCGCACCCCCCCACCCTACACCCCCAACCCCCCAACCACATCCCCCACCCACCGTCACCAGCTTGTACGCCGGCTCCGTTCCCGCCCCGCCGCCCCCCCTGCTCCCGGGCCGCCGCGTCTCCTCTCCAACCACACCCAGCCGCGCAGCCAGCTCCCCTCCTGCTCCCCTCCCTCCTCCTCCTCCTCCTCCCACCCCTCCTCCCACCCCTCCTCCTGCTCCCCCCCCTCCCCCTCCTCCCCCCCTGAATCCCCTCTCCGCCAGCTCCCCCAGCATGGTGTCCTGCACCCAGCCCGCCAGCGCGCGCATGTCGGCCCGCAGCGCCCGCAGCGCCCCCGCGCGCCGCAGCTCGGGGTGCGACAGCAGGCTGGCGCCCTCCAGCAGGCAGCGCACAGCGCGGGGCCAGTCCTGGGGGGGGACAAAGACCATACCGAACCATAGGAAACCGGGGGAGGGGGAGGGAGGGGGTCGGTAGGGATGAAGATTCCGTGTCAGGCTGGGTTCTAGGATTGCGCATAGTCAAACTATGGGAGGGGAGCGGGAGGGGGAGGAGGGGCTGCAGGGAGGGGTGTGCGCAGGGGCCTACGCACAACGACATGGGCGCAAAAGAGGAAGGGAAGGAGCAAGGTGGTGGAGGGGGACAGGGAAGGTAAGCACGACGGTGAGCGGTGCAGGCTTGGGAGCTTCCGGGGCTGGGAGGAGCGACACGCCACCCCCACCCCTACCACTCGTCTACTCCTCCTCCTAGCCCGCCCCTCCCGCCCCCCACCCACCCGCTCCCCCACTGCCGCATCCACCCTGCCCGGCACCTCCACCACGGTGCGGATGTCCGCCAGCAGGCGCAGGGAGGACTCCAGGGACACCGTCTTGCGCCACTGCGGGGGGGGAGGGGGAGCGGGTTAGGATGGGGTGGGTACTCCGCACGGGCGGGCGGGGGCAACGATACATGGAAGCCACAGGATGGGGAGGTGGGGACGAGGGAGAGGGGGGAGGGGAGTAAGGGGAAACCAACAAAGACGGTAATAATGTTGTGCCATTCAATCCCGGCTGTGGGGCTCAACCCGCATGCCCCAAGGCCCCACCACCCCACCATCTGCCCGCACCCTGCCACCGCCCCCTCGCCCCACCTGCGGCCCCATGCCCCGGGAGTGCGCCCCCAGCTGCCGGGCCGCATCCGCCAGCGACCGCTTCAGGGACTCAACCTGGGGGGGGGGGTAAGGAGGCGGGTGGAGGAGCAGGAGGTGGGGGCAGAGCAGGCATCACGTGCAGGCACAAGCACGGTCAGCATGAGGTTTGCAGCTTGGCGGAGTTGCAGGGATGAACACCCGGGATGGGGCCCTCTGGGGTGGACACGGAGGCAGCAAGACGTGTACGGACAGCGACCATGCTGCATGCCGACCCGCGGCTCCTCACCTGCTCCTTCTCACCTGCTGCTTCCTCCTGCGGCCCGCTGCCCCCACTCCCCCACTCCCTCACTTCCCCTGCCCCCCCCCGCCCCCCCGCAGCCCCCCCCGCTCCCCCACCTGCTCCTTGGACTCCCCGAACAGCTGCAGGATGTGCGAGTAGTTGTGGATGGAGCGCGCGAAGCCCGCGTGGTAGCCCTCCACCACCGCATCCAGCTGGCAGCCCAGCCGCTCGGAGGCGTCGCGCAGCTGCAGGGAGGGGAGGGGAGGGGAGGGAGGGGGGGAGGGGGCGAGAGGGGGAGGAGGGGGGCGGGAGGGATGTTGTAGGGGTTTAAGGAATGGAAGCACAGGAATGGAAAAGAAGTGAGGGAGCGGGGGAGGGTAGGGAAGTCCATGGCAGGAATGCAAGGTTGTGGGAGTATGACGTGATTATGGCATAACGTGGAGAAAGCAGATAGGCAGGGAAAGGGAAAGAGACTGTGAGAGGGAACCAGAGTGGGACCTGGGAAAAGGACATTAGGAGGGGTAAGAAAGCTGCAACACCGGAGGCCGCGAACCGGAACACACCTCTTGCGTAAGGCCCTGGGGGTCCTGAGAGCTGAAGACCTCGACGACATGCCTGAGCGGGTGAAAGATATACTCGCGGTACTCAGCCGGGACAGATGCTAACTCCTCATCAACGGCATCCCAGTCCACCGGTTGCCGCCTGCTGCTGGCATTTGCAGCTTCCCTTGCTGCTGACATGCTTCGTTCCGCCAATCAATCCATATGCCAGAGCTGTTTCACCTAATCAACCATTGTAATGTGGAATAGTATAACCGCTCATAGTAAGGATAAATCAGGAGAGGGGAATTTAGCAAGTACTCTAATAAATGCAATATGGCGTTGTCGTTTGGTGTGATCGGGCGTCTGCTGTAAGGAAAGGGATTGTGCGCCGCGACAGCTTTCTCCGCTCTATAAAGCTGGACCGCTTGTTTCAGCCCTTGAAAAGCTCTATTACCACTGCATAACAATTTGCGCTCGTGGGCGCGTGAGGAACGGCTTGCATGCGCAGTAGGGAAGGCCCGACCTTGTGACTGCCGTGCACCCGTGCTGTTATACTTGTTAGCTACGGACCTCAGCGCCTGCAATAAACACCAATTCGTTCATTACAATCACGATTGCTACCTCCAAATAGACAAACATTGCTGCAAGTCGTGCAAGCGCAAGGACAGCTAGTTTTATGTTTGTTACAAGGACTGCAAGCGCATGCAAAAGCATGGTTTTCTAGAAAATAGCACCATGATGGCGTCGGAACTGCGTCAGCCGTTGCAGTATGGGCTCCTCGACCCAGACATCTGGTGCAACCTCCCACAACATTTGCTCGGCTCCATCATTCAATTTCTGCCTGCCAACGAGATTCCGCTAATTGGGCGCTTAATCAACAAATCCTTGGCTGCCCAATTCTGTGGCCCGCAATTTACCACGGTCCGGCTGTCCCAGCTTTCACCCCCACACGCCTTCGCGCAGCGTTGGTGTAAGCCCGGCGCCATGCGTTGCTACACCCGTAACCAGAGGTGCCGGCTGCTTTCCTTGACGGCTTCATCCGGCTGCCTTGCAAACCTTCAGCTTGCAGTCCTGGCTGCTGATGTCATCCTATCCGCAAGAGCCTTCCGGCCAGTGTTTGAGGCTGCTGCGGCCGCCGGACAACTGGATGTGTGCCGGTGGCTACTACGGCAGGACTGCCCCTTCGGTGCTGCGCTGGAGGCTGCAGCGCGGGCGGGGCACGTTGCGGTTTGTGACTGGCTGCTGGCCAGTGGCTGCCCCTGGAGTGAGGACGCAGTGGGAGCTGCTGCTCGTGGGGGCCACGTGGGCCTCATGGATTGGCTGCAGCTGCAGCAGCGGCGGCACCAGCAGCATCAGCAGCGAGCGCAGGAGGGGGAGGAAGAGGAAGCAGAGGAGCGGCCGCTGCTGGCGTCAACGCCGTTGCCAGCGGCAGCGGAGGGTTGTGAACTGGCAGCGTTGCGTCAGCTGTGTAGCACCTGCTGGCGGCAGGGCGGGGAGGGTGATGAGCAGTGGGTCACGCAGGCGATGCTTGTAGCTGCTGCCGGCAGCCCCACTCCTGACTGGCAGGCCAAGGTGGCGTGGCTGGAGGAGGAGCGGGGCTGCCAACCATCCGCTGATGCCTGCTGCAGCTCTGCCAAGTGCCCGGATGCTGCTGACCGCCTAACTTGGCTCCTGCAACGTGGTTACCCAGTGAACAATACTGTCATCACTTACGCAGCATGCACGTGTGACGTCACCATCCTCGAGCGTTTGGTTTCAGCACTGGGGGTATCCGCAGGGCCTAGCTATGGCGTTTGCAGCTGTGCGCTGGATCAGGGCTGCCTTGCCTCCTTGCGGCTCCTGCACAGCCGGGGCTTCACCCTCGACCCGCACGAAGCGCTCCACACCGCAGCCAGTGGCGGGCACCTGCAGGTGGTGGCCTGGCTGGTGCAGGAGCTGGGTGCGGAGGTGGACGTACACACCTTCCGGGCCGCTGCCGAGTCGGGCAGCCTGGAGCTGCTGCGGTGGCTGCAGCGGCGGCAATGCCCCTGGGACGGGAGCGCCCTGCTGGGGGCTGCTGCTGGCGGCTGTGAGGGGGTGCTGGAGTGGCTGGTGGTGGAGCAGGGCTGCCCGGTGGATGTGGGGGTGAGTCATGTGGTTGGGGTCGGGGCCCAACCTGGGAGACTGGGCGGCGTGGCTGGGAAGATAGGAACTGGTTCGCCATGCAATCTGCATCAGCCCTTCTGTAGTCAAATGTGGAAGGATGCTTCACCCATGTGAACGCTGTGCTTTGCTGTGTTTTTGCTAACCTAGGTCAACGGCGGGCCGTACACAACTCCTGCTGCTGCCGGCGACCTCTCCACGCTGCTCTGCCTGCGGCGGCTGGGCTGCCCCTGGGGCCCGGCTGGGAGGACGTTCACCGCATGCCTCCGCCGCGGGTCCCCGCTGCCGGTGCTGGCCTGGCTGCTGGCAGAGGGCTGCCCGGTGGACTGGGAGGCGGTGATGGCGAGGTCGCACACGCTCTTCCGTCAGCTGGGCCGGGAAACGCTGGAGTGGCTGGAGGAACAGCGCCGAGTGGAGCGGCACAACAGCAGTAGTAGCATGGGCTGCATGGCAACAGCAGCGGCGACAGCAGCAGCTGCTCGCTAGCTGTACTGCTGGTTGAGTGTGTGGTGGCTTACTTGGCCGTTGCAGGGTTGGGTGAGTGCGGCGGGGTCGTCATCAGCCTACCCGGGACTCCACCTCCTGTCTGTGTGAGTGGGCTAGTGTACCCGGGTACTGAGGTAAGAGGGCGAGCAGAGTCGAAGACGACCCGCCCGTTCACAGGACTGTGCATGGACACACGGCCGTGTAGGTTATGGGTAGGTGCAGCAACGCTAGGGAGGCAGGGGCAGTGTGGGTTACGGGCTTGTTGGGGCTGGGTGATTTAGATAGGAGGGCTAGGAGGGATTGTACTAGGCCGCTCTATGCAGGCACACGCACGCATGCACTCGCATCCATGCCGTCCTCCACCCATACGCTTGCTGAAAAGTGAATGCGAGCGCGTGGACTGGCGTGGAAGTAAGGTTCATGCTGAACCTAGCCGGTCACGGGCTGGACATGTTCAAGCACTGCTGGGAAGTAATAGGCTGGATCCATGGTCCCGACGGCCGGACAGGTTGTCGGTGCTTTGTTTTACGTACGGCGCTTCGTACTGCACTGCATGGTGCCCTCACCTCCCCCTTACTCCTTTACGAGACAAGTGGACGTGAACATCCATGATGCCGGTGACTATACCATCAGGACCCAATTGTTGAAGCGCTAGTCAGTGAGCATGGCTGAGTACGGTAACCATTGTGTCCTTGCGTAACCTTTTCCAGCTATCCAACAGCAAGGAAATGATCTATGTAGTGGTCGCTTTGCTAGTATGGGGAGCCCAGCAGACATTGGTCCGTTTGCGCTTTTTCTGGCGTCGCTCGGCACGCAGTTCTTATAAGGGCGTCCTTTATGTATTCAATTCACACAGGCATATGACTGCAGTGCGCATCCATGGATAGACGAAGCCGTCCAGCAGTGGTTTCGCCCTTCTTACGAAGTCGCACGGCAGTCAAGCAAGACCATTGAGGAAAGCCTGCAGGCTATCGCAGACATTAAGTGGTGCGTCCATGAGGTCCATATGTTTTCATCATAAGTTCCTGCTTTGTCTAACCTCACGCTTAGAGTTCCCAGTTATGTTTCTCCCATCAACCATTATTTGGCAAACCAGCACTTTCTCCACGGCATCTGTCCATTGCTGGCACGCCCCTTATCAAGAATCCTGGTTTGCAACTGCACCGCAAGCCCGCACGTCTCTTTCTTTGTCATTTCCTGTATTACCGGTAACGCCCTCCCTATTGTTGACCAGGGGAAACTACTCCACCGGCAAAACGCTGGTGGTTCTCTGGTATGACGCCTCCACCTCAGAATACCGCCTCCGATTCGAGGAGCTGCACAAGCACAACGAGGCGCACAAGCCCGTTGGCATGCAGCGGGTGTTGGAGCGGGCTGTACGGCAGCACAATGCCGACCTTGTTGCCGCGCTTGGGAAGCGTGAGATGAAGTTTATTTTTGGAACCGAGGTTGGTGAGCCCGGCTCGTCGGGGAAACATTTTTGAATGGGTTGTCTGGGTGGACACCTGTGTGTCTGCAAAGCAAGAGAAGTGCTGGGCCCTGGCCAGATGCTGCTGGGGTTAGGGCAAAGGCAGGCCAGGGGTCATTCAGGGAATCTGCAATGCGCTTACCGCAGCCTAACTCGCCCTTACCGCAACCTATTAGCAGCTGGTCGGGTTCGTTTGTTACTGTCAGCACCTCAAACCCGTTGCAAATAACCACGTGAACCTTACTGCCGTGTCCTCTGCCGTAGGATTTCCCAATTGTTGATCCCAACATGCGGCTGCGAGTGCCCTCCTTCCAGCCATGCACCACAAAGGGCTCAGTGGACGTCCCCGTTCCAGGTTGCTAGGGAGTCTGGGGGCGAGGGAGCACTGGTGAAGGGGAAGGCCTTAGGGTACCGGTAGTGACCTCACCTCATAGCGTTTCCTGAACACAAGACCCGCGCCCGCCCCTTTCCTGATGCCATGCGGAATATCCACCTCCTAGTAATGTCCCTTCCACTTTCCTCAGCCGCCCGCCTCCGTATCCTAACGCACGGCCCATTCCCCACACCACAATCCCGCCGTCCACTCCCGCCCGCAGACCACAGCTTCGAGCTCTACTCGCAGGCCTCCTACACCAATCACAGCTGGTGGGAGGTGCGGCGGCTGCTGCTGCTGAAGGCCGCCCTGCTGCCCTGGAGCCACCGGCAGCGGGAGCTGTTCGTGCGGGGGGACGCGGGGGTGGGCTACCGCAAGACCCTGCTGTCCATCTTGCACGAGGCTAGGGTGCGTGAGGGAGGGGGATGCGCGCTGAGATGGGGGGTTGATGCCCTAACTGGTGCAGGCTAGCGTGCTGCAGTGCATGCATGTAGGGATTGGGACATAGAGAAATGGTTGCGACGCCAGGCACCCAGGCCCCACAATCGCTACGGGTGGGAGGTGAGGATCTTTCTCCCGGGTGGTGTTACGTGTCTTACAATAACTGCACCTTTTGTCCTCTCTGCTGCTGCTCCTGCTGCTGCTGCTGCAGGTGAATGGCTCTGACTTGTCGTTGTTCGGGGTGCACGTCAACGCCCACTCCACGGGGTTCTACGTGTCAAATCGAAAGTGAGCAAAGGGCTTCTCGACCCCTCCCGCAGCCCCTTGCCTCAATACCTTCCCGTCCCTCTTTCCCATATCCTCAATCCCAAGACTTCCCTGCCCCTGTATTTCTGCAGGCATTTCACGTTCCTAGACAACTGGTGCCAGTACCGCTACCTGCTCCACCCCTCGGGCCTCACCTACAGCATCTCGCTCAAGTACAAGCTAGCCTGCGGGGCGGTGGTCCTCTACTTCGACCACAAGTGAGTGCTGCTGCTGCTGCTGCTGCTGCGGGTGGTGGTGGTGGTGGTGGGAGCCGCCGGCTGCATGGGTGATGTGTGCGGGCCTAATCGCAAGCAAGGGGCTGCAGTGGATGCAGTGATGTGTGAGCTGCACTTGGAGGGGCTGGCTTTCCGGTTTAACCCAGTTCAAGCCTGATACGCTAACGCCCACCAGCCCAAGATGGTTGGGCAGTATACGGTTGGAGGTCGAATATCAAGCTCCACTCAACAAAACGGCGCCTAGAGGCACCTAACCCTGCAAGACGCTGTCAAAACCAAACCAGCGGCGAATATGAGCGGAGATTTGGAATTAATGCCTAACACCCTGCTGGCTCAATGGTGGAGGTAAGCCCGTTGAGCCGCAAGCCCTCGCAGTACCGCTCGGCGTTCTCCTGCGGACACGCCACCACCAGCGCTACACCCGTCTCGTGCGCCTCCTGCGTAGTTCAGGGGGACAACAAGAAGAGGAGGGGGGGCAGCGTCACGGCAGCGTCGTTGGTTAGCAGTGACAGACAGCAGGACACGGCAACGGGTAGGTAGCCGGTATCCTCGCCGTTTACGGCGGCTATCCCTCAAAACGAGCGACGCATGAAGTAGCCGCGTCCCACTGCTGCGGCAGCAGTTGTGTGGAGGCTACACGGGCTGGCGTGGGCCGGCTCGGGAGTCCCACCCACATCCCCGTCGCCCACAACGGGGGCGCAAACCCCACCCTTCGGAGCGGTTTGGCTCCTCTCTGAGCTCTCGGCACACAAGCCCCCAGCATACCCTTGTACGGCACTACCGGTACCCGCCGGCCCCCACCCGCCACCCACCACCAGGAGCCAGAACCGCGCGGCACTCACAAACTTCGTTACTTACCGCGCCCCCCTTCCCACACATGAAAACCATAAAACCTCATCTGCGCCCTGCCAACCCCAACTGCGCTGCCCCAACCCATCTGCCAGGTACTCCGAGTTCTACTACCCCGCCCTCAAGCCCGGAGTCCACCTCCTCTCCTTCCCGGAGGCCCCTAGGGAGCAGTTCCTAACCGACGTCGCGCCACGTGTCAAGGCAGCCATCCTGCGCCTGGAAGCCGACCACCCCACCTCGCCGCCCCCCCAGGCGCTCGCCGCTCGCGAATTCGCCGCCAGCCAGCTGAGCGACGAGTCGCTGGGGTGCTACTGGTACAGCGTGCTGCGGGCGTATGCGGGGCTGTACTTCACGGAGAGCGGGGCGCAGGTGCCGCAGCAGGTGCAGCTGGGGGACCGGAACACAACCCTGAACCCGACCTTGTAGAAGGGAGGTGCAGGCAGCAGGCTGTTATGGTCTGTCGTGCGTTGTCTAGCTGTACTGCACTTGGTTTCTCGCGTTCTACTCTGCGTCTTGGAACTTTGGAAAAGCTTTGAATCCTATTCCCCGGACCGACCTGGGTATCACCAGTTGTAGTTGTGCAATCTATAGCTTGTTGCCATGGCGTGGAACGGAACCCACATTTTGTCATTATAAATGCCCTAGGCCGCGATCGTTGGGGGTTGGTCCTTTGCATCCCATCCCACGTGTCATGGAGTGTGGATTAAGAGGACTGGAGTGTGCGTGATAAGAAAACTGGCAGCGAGTCGGAACGTACTGCGAACTAACCGCGAGTCGAAAGGTACTGTGATTGCCCGAAGATCACGAAGCAGCGTGTGTTAAAAATAGCAGCGTGTGTGTGTTTTGTTTGCGCAATCGTTTTTGGTGCTTTGTGTGATAAGGGCATTCTTGACACCTCTATCGGTTATACTCCTATTGCTAACCCTGTTTGGGTTTTCTTTTATAGGGTGCTGCCGTCTGTGCTGTTACCATTTTTAGCCGGTTATGGTGAATGATCTAGTTGGACGGCAGAAAGCATAGACGTTTGGGCTTTTGGCGCAGCCTGCGTATGAAAATTTAATACCATGAGGTAGGTTTTCAAATTCCCTATCCAATGGTGTTAAGATTGACGACAATGCGCAGATGGGGCCGACAGTGCATCAGTGCGACATTGATGTTGATGTTGCGGGCGTCAAGACATCCATTGCTACACATGCAAGCGCCATGTGCACCACCAGAGCGTCGTAGCCTTGTTTCTTTTGGTGTTCCTTTTTGGTGCATGAATATCGCCTGAGCGGGAGGGACTCCCCCTCTCCCAAGCATTTGCGGCACGCATCACCCTGAGGGGGGAGAGGACTCCCTGTCCCCCCTTTTACCCCCCTCCCCCTGCGTTTCTTCCTCCTGTTCCCCCGCGTGCACATTAAGTGCATATGTTGGGCTACCAGCGGGGCAGCAAGAAACCTCCAACTGTCTGGAGGGTGACAACGGGTCAAATCTTACATCTACCAGCGTATGCACACTGTATCAACTGCAGTGATGAAACCCGTCAGCTTCGCAGACACCGGGGCTCGCCCCCTTTTTAAATCAAAACTCGCTGTCAAGTATTTTATAGGACATATCGGTGCCGGCTGGGCGGAGGGAGGTCGTACAGTTGGGATTCGTATTACATGTTAGCACTAACATGTTAGCAGTATGTGTAACTTTCCTCCTTGTAATTTCGTATTCTCTGTGTTGATGCGTCAATGCGGTCCGTGGGCGTGCCTGTGTGACCCTGCTTCCCCGTCATTCGACTCGAGGTCTGGCGGTGCGTAGAGCTAGTGGAAACGGGAACAAGGGTTGCCCACAGGAATGCGACGAAGGCCATGCCGGGCGAGGGACGCCTCAAATACGTGAAACAAACACGTGGTTCGATCCACTTTTCAAACGTGGGCGTTAAACGAACGAAATGTGTGAACGAACGTAAACGTGAATGAACGTAGCGGGACGAAGCCAACTTTGTGGCCGCCAAGGCAGCGGCAGCCTTTGCTATCGTGTTTGTATTGGATTACGACTAAGACTATAACATTATAACCGATATAGCATATTTGTCACTTCATTTTATTGCAAAAGGCAAGATAGGCTTGAGGGAGGCACAACAAGAAACAAGTTAACCTTGGCTTATGGGCTAAATGTTGGTTCAAGCTTTGCAACACCACAATGACATTGCTATGGAAATTACGAATCACCTTGACAATTTTTCAAACAGCATTTTCTTTTTCGCCGACATGTACGACATTTGGGTCGTCTTCTGAACACTGAGCCTCTCTCTTTTTCGACATGACATTGTACTCAAATCACAACAACGAATACAACGCCACCTTGTCCGACCGAATCTGTACATGTAAAATGTACAGGGATACAACATAGGACATGTTCACGGTACAAAAAGGACATAACGCCTCGGTCCGGACCATTTTGAGTGAACGCTAAGACTACGCCCCTAATCGGGGCGAGCCAACAGTCTCTGTCCAGTTTCTGCTGTTCTAGGCACACTGCGCAGCTAAGATTGCTATGTAGCGTTTGAGCTGTTTGGATAACTGAGCGCCTATTAAGATGCAGCTGCTTCGTCTTAATTGCACATGCGAAGTTACACCAAATACTGTCATACTGCGAGGAATGGGACTTTTTCTACGTTTGTCCATTGTATCAAAGGCGGTAATGCGGCAGGCAGCAGTGCCTGAGCTGAAGTGACAGGCTAATGAACATCAATGGGGCAGATATACGATTACTGCTGTTCTAGACACACAAGTGTTTTTAACCATGTATACACGAGCTGCTCGTATAGCTGGCCTTCTAATCAGTTGCAGCTGAACCGCAGTCCTTGCACATGCGCAGTAAATATGTATGTAACACTGCCGAAGTGCAAGCTCAGGTAGGCTGCCACGCTACTCTGCCGTAAGACCGACGGATCACATCCGCTGGCGAATTAAGTATGTGGCACGGTAGCTTGGAAACTAAATCAGAGGGCGTCGACGTGGAAAGCTGGCTGGCATTTGCAAGATGCATGCACACATTCAATGCAACGCCGACAATACCACGCGAAGCGGTGAATACGCCTGCAAACGTAAAAAAGAGTAAAGGTCAGTGCATTGCGAATAAGTCCTTTAAAGAAGCACAGCAACACTAATCTACGAAAGGCGCGACTCGCTTGCAGCTTTGGACGACGCAAATGCGCTTCGCGCGTCCCAGGGCGGACGCGACGCGGCAGCTAGCAAGTGGTGGTGCGGTTGGTGTCCATGACCCATAGCACCGTGTTAGACGCCTCTGCTGCAAGGAAGGCCGCAACTTGCACGACAAGGATCACAGAACAGTCATTAGGATGATTAGACAACATACGCCTTCAACAGGATATACCTGGTATGAAGCCAGTGCATATCCACCATATCGGCCCAGCTGCCGCTCAAGCTTTTAAGCCCGTCGGCGAAGCGCTAAGCGACTCCATCCTCCATCGTCGCTGCGCGCGGGATTGCCCTATGGTGCATAGATACGCTACATAGAAGGAATAGAAGTGATAAGAAAATAAAGTTAACTAGCCTGTTGGATAGCCGCTGGAATGATCAGGTGTCGGGCGATCAAGCGTCGTACAACCTCATCCCAGCCGCCCACGGGCTTTGGCGCTGCCAGCGATGCAATATCTAGTCCGTGGCTTCTTCTTTATACGTTTGCAACATGTTGTGACCATGAGCTAGGCTGGCGATGGAAGTGCGACATAGATTGGCGATGTTGCTCATGTTCCCGATCAAAATCCACACCTTCCCCTGGAATGCGTGCAATATATGTCTGGACATCAGCTACATCGCCGTCAATGTCGCACACGCCTTGTAAGCGTACTCGCAGCACACGACAGCATGACGTGCTCAGCATGATGTGTTGGCCAGCTTAACCAGGCGGCTACACCACAACCGGCTCAAGGGCTAAGTTTGGTTTTCTTGGCGAAAGCCCCGGTTGGATTGCCATTGGGTTGCATTCCTTGCGATTGTTCTTGAGGTTGAGGAGGGGCCGTTTCATGCGGTAAGGGGCGGGATGGAAGCGCATATGGCCTCAATAGGTTGTGTACAGCATTAGAGCGTTGTCGTGACTCATATGTATGTACATGACCAGTCAGCAAGCCATGCGCTAGCCGGTTCGGCAGGTCGGAGTGCCCAGGCCCCATGCCCGGGTATGAAGCTTGCCAATGTGGCACATCCCCGGTGCGGTACGACTCCTGCGTGCACCACCTGTGAACCACTGGCCCACCCACCACAACCTCCTTCCGGCGGCCTCAACGGCTCCGGAACCCATGCCTCGCTGCTTCCCCGCAGCGTACGGGTAACATACCAACAGCTCAGATCCCTTGATTCATTCGTAATCAACACGTACAAGCTGCCCGGGCAAACAGTGAACCCACCCCATACCTGCACCCCTGCTGGTGCGGAGCAAGCTGTAGGGAAGCCCAACTGGGCCCCTGGATTGGCGGTACGAGTACGCATGCAGGTGAGCACTCACACAGTGGACGCGCCTCGGCACGTGACCCAAGGGTCAGTGCAGGTAAGAAGACATCTCCCGTGAGGCGGCGTGCGTGCGCACCCTCCTCCTCCTCCTCCTCCCCCACTTCAACCCTCTCCTTGCCGCCCGGCACCGCTACCCATATATACACCGCCTCCCCCACCCCCACGCCTTGTCATACAGCTCGTTAGTTGCATCGTCAGTGCCTCATTATATATTGTTTACCCCCACCCAGCTCCACGTCTCCTACCCCGCCTACCACGCCGCTACAGTCAAGATGCACACGAACCCGCCCGTCCCTCGCTTCCTCGCCTGCTCCCACACCCGCCCCTCCACCGCCATCAGCGACGACCTCCTCGCCGCCATCGCGCCGTGCACCCCGCGTCGCATCTTGTTGTAATGCGGTTGTGGACGCCGCGGAGGGCTGTCAAGCGCAATAATCAAATAACGCCCCACTCAACCGAAAGCGAGGAACGCATGATATGTGCACTAGAAAAATGACCCCGGAGCGCGCGGCTGGGTTCCCGTCCCGAAACCCAATCCTTCCATGCATGCGGTGTACAACAGCGGGCGAGCAGTCGGCGGCACGCAGGGGGCGGGTCGGCGGCCCGATGCATATCCATGCAAGCAGCTCTCGGCCCGTGAATATATCTCCCCTTCTTCATAACAATCCTCCCCCCTTCATAAGGGCCCCTGTGTGACTGCCCCCATGTCACGTCGTCCATCTGCTGCGCCCCCTGCTACGAGAGGAGAGGGCCGCCTGCTCGCCCCCGCCGCCTTCCCTCCGCTGCAGCGCTTTCGCCGCATCATGCGCCCCGCCGCTCCGCTGCGTCCAACCCGGCTAGGAGGAGATGTGGATGCGCACCCCCCTCGTCACGCGCGCTGCTCCCCTCTTCTCCACTCCCCATGGCTTGGCAAATCGGGCTGGGCGGGTCGGGCTGGCTCACATGTTGCAAACCATGATGATGCCTTATCACACGGTCAGTTAGATGTTTCCTCTTTACCCCCCTACCCCCCCCCCTGCTGGCTACGAGAACATGTATATCCGCTGCGAGATGTCGGTCACCACGAAGTCGAACCCCTCCAGCAGCCCGCTCCCGTCCACCGCGCTGCAGGCCACCACCCGGCAGTGGCGCTTGGAGATGGAGCCGAGGTCCAGGGCCTGGGGGGGGGGGAGGGAGGAGGGGGGGTCCATTGAGACCAAATGAAACCATTAAAAAACATAAAGAAAAAGATAGTGGGGTTTAGATAAGTGCACCAACGGAGTCTCCCGGGGGGAAGGGGAAAGAGTAATGCCCAATGAATGAGGGGGAGGGGTGCAGGGAGGGGGCAAGGGGGGTAAGGAAAGGAGAGGACTGGTGACGATGGGGGAGGTAAGTGTGCGGTGCTCGGGGCACACTCGGGACACAACCCGCACCGCACCCCCCCCCCCTCCACCCCTCCTTCCATGCCCCCCGGGCGGACAGGGCCCGGCTGACAGGGGCTAGGGCGGGGGCGGGGGGGATGGGGGGGCTGCAGGGCGGGGAGGGTGGGCAGTGCAGGGCCGCGGGGAGGCCCCTGTCGTACCTTGCCGTACATTTGGTAATTCTAACCTTACTCAACCCATCCCCCCCGCCCCCCTTCCCCCTCCACCCCCCTTCCTCTCCTCCCACCTCCTCCAGCTGCTGCACAGACAGCGCGGCGGGTATGTCCTGCTTGTTTGCGAACACCAGCAGAGAGGCGCCGAACAGCCGCTCCTCGGACAGCAGCCGGTGCAGCTCCTCCCTGACAGGGGGGCGGGATGGGGGGGAGGGGAGGGGGTGGAAAGGAGGGGTGGAAAGGAGGGGCGGAAGCGGGCAAGGGGGTCACTGAGCAGCCGCTCCCTTCTAAGCACGCTCACTGCCCCCGCACTGCCCCCTCCCGCATCCCCCGCACTGCCCCGCGGACGCCACCACCCAGCACCTCAATCCAGCTCCCCACCTGCACCCCAACCCGCACTAGCTGGCCGACCCCGAGCCCCTTCGGCCTCGCGGTGCTAGCTAGCTGGGAGGGGTTGCTAGCCTGGTTTGGCACCGCCGTACTTGTCCCTTTTCAGCAGCACACCATCTCCTTCCTCCGACAACCAAACCCCATGTTTGTTGGCTAGGCCCCACCCTGACTGCTACCTCCCCCCCTGCAATTCCCACCCCACACCAGCCCCCTCCCGCCACCATTCACCAGGGGGGCCTGTCGTGTTGCCACCTAGTCTGCCATTCAACATCATTCAACACACTGGGTGCTCCCCTCTTCCCGCATGCAGTTCCCCCCCTCCCCCACCCCCCCACTCCCGCGACCACCCCACCTGCAGTCCTGCAGCCGCGCCAGGTCCGCCGAGTCCACCACCCAGATCAGCGCGTCCGTCTTCTCGTAGTAGTTGCGCCAGTAGGGGCGCAGCGTCTTCTGGCCGCCGATGTCCCAGATGTTGAGCTTGTAGCTGGGGGTGAGGGAGGGAGGGAGGGAGGGAGGGAGGGAGGGGAGGTTCTGCGGAGTCACGGACCGAGAAACGGCGGAACCAGTGCCGGGGCGGGAGGAAGGGACCCGCGGGGCCGCGGCTCCAACCTTGTGTTGTGAATCACCATAAAGCACTGCTTACCCCTTGAATGTCATCGTCTTAATGTTAAACCCCAGCGTCGGGCTGATCGTGGTGATGTCCTCTCCATTAAGTCGCTTTACGATTGTCGTCTTTCCCGCGTTGTCAAGGCCCCTGCGCTGAATGGCGTCTGCTAAGTTCATCTAAAAAAGGAACGTAATTTCCGTTATGTCTCTTGGCTATGCACTTACACCATGAGGATCCGCATCTCCTTTTCTTTCTGCTTGACCTTCTTAATAATCGTAAGCAACCCCATGTTGATCTCAGCAGCAGCAGCTAATGTATGTAAGAAACCGTCTGCTAAATGCCCTAGACCGAAACGTCGTCGAGGTAATGTAACTGAAGCAATACCGATAGTAAGAGTGCAACCAAATGTTCCACGTGCCAAAGGATATACTCCTACATCGAAATAACAGAGAAAAGGTAGTTCTTGCGAACGGAAGGTGTTGCGTTTGCATTAGAGCCGTACGACAACATGCTTCGCTGCGCACAGCACGGCACGACGGCAGGCTTGGCAAGGGCGCACCTGGAATGTGCTGTATCACAGGCTTTTGTAATATAGGAAAGCGTTTGTGGCACTAGGCTCACTGCTGATTTCCAGGAACGGAGAAGACAAGCGCGCACGACGGGCACACGATAGCAAATGGTGCACTTTAAAGTGCTTCGCGATCGGACCCCGAGCATAACCCAACGCCAGTTCCTTCCTGGCACACCTAGTACCGTTACAGTGCCCCTGAGCGACAAGGCAACAGCTGTCGGACAGAATGCGTACCGGTACATGTGCATTCGCAACCCAGCAGAGATGGCTGCAGAGTAGGAGAGGCCGCTGCAACGTGGCTGGCAGTAAACGACAGCACCTGCCTTTTCCACCGTACTGCAACAGCGCCCACAATTCCGTTAGCAGCACACCCGCACATGCAGCAGCGCAGCGCAGCACATGTTGGTGGACTCAACTGATTCACTCCACAACCCCATCATACGGTAGCAGCAGCACCATAAGGGCCCACAAGAGCTTCATTCCTTCATGGAGGTCCAGACCCGTCACAGACCCATGGGTCGCCAGTCAGTCGCCAGCCTGCATCCAGCGCGACGGCACATGCCGCACGGGTGGAAGTGAAGAGAACGCCCCAGGTGGGGACACCAGGCTCAGGTGGGCGGTGCTGGTAAGCAGATCCATGTTGCCGATGCGGAAGGCGAACACGGCACATGGAAAATAACTATTCCCGGAATGACACGGATTGAGGAATTATTTGAGACCAAGCAGTTTACTTAGGAACGCAGACGACAGTAGGGCAAGGTGGACCGCGTTGACGACGTCTTGCCCAGTCATGTGCTACTTGCTATGCGTAGATGGGTTAAAATGCTGGTCTGAATAAGGCGGTGGAAACCTCCGCAGCTCACTCAAGGATAGCGCACGATGTCAGGGTTCCGGAGGTTTCGGAACGAAGCCAAGGGAAGCGCGGATAGCAGGAGGTGCACACCCCCCCCCCCCCGGCAGCTGTAGCACAACGGGGCCTGACTTTGTAGCACATGATGCCGCACTCGCTCAGCCCGCAAGGGAGGGAAGCGAGTCCCGCTGCCCAAAGCACTTGCAGCTGTGCTAGGAAACGGTCACATAACACGACGAGCGACACGGGTGCGAGGTCTAGTATGCACCCCCTCTTAAACCGTGTGCCTGACCGGTTCCGTCCCATGGGTCATCCTGCGTATGGTGATACGCGCCTGGCTCCTCGCAAGGCACGCGTGCGGCCCACCGTTTCGCGCTACCGGTACCCTTGGCCTTCCACCCCGCCCTCCTCCTCTGGGAGGTCAGGGGCTGCCCCCAGATGGCTGAGAGGGCCGAGGGGAGGGCACCGCAGCGGAACACTGGGGCGAGCAGAGGGAGCAGGAGGAGCAGGGGGCGCTGGGGCGGCTGTACGAGAGAGATCAGCAGTGGTGGGAGCAACAGGAAGGAGCTGCGGCCGAGCATTGGAGGGCCCTCAGTGGCGGAAAACTGCACCTCTCGAACCCCCGGGTGTTACATCGCCGCTGACGAGGAGGAGCACTGTGTATCACTGATGAGGCGCCGACACGGGCGGAGACGGCCGGTTGGAAGCCACCTCACCGCCGCCTCTGCCAACACCCGCCACCCCTGCTGCTCGCCCCCGCACCCTCCATGCTGCACCGCACTACAAAGTGCAGTACAGATGTTGCGGCCCCTCCCGTACCCGAGCTCAACAGCTATCCTAGGTTGGTTGCGGCACCTCACGACTACCCTAGACCAGTCTTCTTGCGTCATGCCTTCATGCAAGCAGGTCGCCCTACGACATGTGCTAGTTCCTAAACCTTGCATTGTCCCAACGTCTGCCCTTAGCGTCATACGATACCTCCCCACCTGCACTTCCCAGGTTGGCCACCGCACCGGTGCACGGCGGGGGGCACATGCGGAGGCAGACGCGCGCAACGGACGCACCCCACACCCCACAACCTGCCCGCCCTGCACCCTCCACCACAACACCCCTACTTCTGACCCATGGGTCGGACACCAGCCAGCACCCCCCATGCACCATATGCCCCACTATGCACACCCTCCTCCCTCCCTCCTCCTCCTCCTCCCTCTTCCCTCCCCCTCCTCCCCACACCCCTCCCTCGTCTACTCATCCCCCTCCTCCCCGCCCGCCCCCCCCGCCGCCTTCTTGCTCCTGAATGCCTCCCGCAGCTCCTTGAAGCGCTTGAAGCACGCCGCCTTGCCCTTGCCCGGCACCAGCGCCGCCACCGCGTCCCACCGCTCCGCGCCCAGCTCCTTGGGGCACTGCTTCAGCGCGGCAACCAGGGCCAACTCCTGGGCCTGGGGGGGGGAGGAAGGGGAAGGGGGGCGGAGGAAGGTGGGGGATAGGAAGGTGGGGGGAGGGAGGAAGGGGGAGAGGAGGGGGTTAAGGAGGAACCACTGACAGGCTGTGTGGTAAGGCGCTACCATGGTTTGCAACATGTCCATGGTAGCCAGCCCGACCCACCCAGGGGAGGGGAGGGGAGGGGAGGGGAGGGCGGGGAGGGGTGTGGCAAGCGAGGATTAGGGCTCACGAGGGCGCTGTACGCCCTGTGCGGGGCTGCGCGTGTCAGCTGTTTCCAACCCCTCCCAACTCCAAGTCATCCTACCAACGCTGCCCCCTCACCTCCGTCCATACGTCCGAAGCGGCCTTCTTCCCTCCGGCCTTGCCAGCCCCCGCACCATCCGCAGCCCCTGCTGCCGCTGCTGGTGTCGCCGCTGAAGAGGAGGATGAGGTGGCGGGCGATGCGGAGGAGGAGGCCGCCGCCGCAGCAGCAGCCGGGGCCGCAGCAGCAGCAGCAGGTGCAGGTGCCGAGGAGGAGGAGGAGGAGGAGGGTGCAGCAGCTGCTGTCGCCTTCTTCCCCGAGGGCGAGGCGGCTGCAGCTGCTGCTGCTGCTGCTGCTGGGGCAGGTGGGGCAGGTGGGTTGGGGGCGCTGGCAGTGGCGCCGCTGGTCGCTGCTGGCTGGGTGGGGTTGAGCAGCTTTGCGGCCGCATCGCCCGCCAGCTTTACCTCCACATCCGTGAAGGCCTGGGGGCGGCGGCGGGAGGGGGGAGGTGAACAAGTGAAGCACTGGAGGGAAGGGGGTAAAGAGGAAACAGAGTGGGATGCTGAACAGCATAGGATGCTGAACAGTATGTTCGGCACATGGCTCATCAAGCAACGCGGCCCGCCCCCCTACCCCTCCCCGCCCTCACCTGCGCCCGTGTGTCCGCTGTGGCGCGCACCTCCGCCGGCTTCTTCTGCGCGCCCTTCCAGTCCTCCTGCGCTTTCATGCGGGTTGCGGAGGCGCCCTGCCGGTCCTTCACCATCAGCAACACCTCCTCCAGCGTGCGCGTGCGCACAAAGCCAGCGACCGCCTCCCAGCGCTTGGGGGTGCCCTGCGGGGAGGGGGAGGTACATGACGCTCGCCGTTACGGTTTACAAAAGCGCCGTTCAAAAACGTGCCCATATCCCCCCCCTTCGTGCCGACGCGTTTGGGGTCCTACCCCACCACCTCCGCCTGAGCCGTGGCTTTGCTGCCTCTGCTGCTACTGCTGCCCCACCCTGCCACATGCTCTTGACACGTCGTGTTCATACTACGAACAATCTTAAAACCGCCCTCTCTCCGCTATCCCTGCTCCCCCGCCTCCCTCTGTCCCAAATCCCGAACGCCCCACTTCCCACCCCCCCCCCTGCACCGCACCGCTGGGTCACACCGCGGGCGGGTGCACGCAGGGTGTGGAGACATCCCTCCACCCACCCCCAACCGGGGCCACCACCCTTCTCCCAGCCACCGGCAAAGTGGAACAAAAGGGCGAGTCAGCATGTTTTGTCCATCATGGGTGGTCTGTTAAAACGTGTGGATGTAGTCCATCATCCTCGCCCTTTCGTGTCTCACAGTGAGTGAACAACCCTCCCCTCCCCGCCTCCCTCCCCCTCCCCCCTCCCTCCCTTCCTGCCACACCAACGCGGCTCACCGACACACACACGGCGCCATGTGACGCGCGGCGGCCCCAACGTGTGAACCCAAGGGTGCGAGTCAGCAACCACATGGTGTCGATCAGGAGTGATCTGACGGATATCTTGGCTATGCGGTGTATTGCCTCATCATCCTCGCCCTCGCGTGCCTCACAGTAACGAGTACATCCACCCCTTCCCCCTCCCCCAGGTGATCCCAGTGCATCTCACCTGCACCCCCCCCCCCGCACACAGCACGGTTCACAGTTCACCTTTCACTTCTTCCCTGACGCCCCCAACACTTAACTATATTTCCCGCCCCAACCCACAACAATCGCGATGCAAGAACGGCATATTGGGGCGAAAGGGCGAGTCAACATGTCTTCTCAATCAGGAGACCTGTCAGATCCAGATTCTTTCACCATCATCCTCGCCCTTTCGTGTCTGAGCGGTGGAGTAAATCCCTGAATCCCCTCCCAGGCTTCCCACTTTCCATCTCAGGTGCGGTATTAATCGGCAATGGATGCCAGTGCGATGGTGCACGGCGGCCCCGAAACCGCGTGGAACAGAAGGGCGAGTCCGCATGTCTTTTCATCAAGGACAATCTGAGGGTCGTACATGGAATACAGTTTGCTCCCATCATCCTCGCCCCACGTCGTGTAGCAGCGAGGTCCGAGCTGTGTATTGCCCTCGCACGCCTCCTCCGCTTCCACGGCCTCATACTCCCCCCACCCCCACCCCCGGGTCCCAACCCGTTGCGAATAACCCAAATCGTACTCCCACCCCCCGGGCAGCGCACACATTATGGTTCGGGGGGGGGCAGTGTGGGATTTCTTCCCTTCTTCTCCCCCCCCCCCCTCACCCTCACCCTGGGGTGTTTGCTACAGCCTTCGTCCGACGTGTGTCGGGAGTAAAAGGGCGAGTCAGCAGGCTTTCTTCAATCACGGTTGATCTGATGCAATCGAGCACATTGCTTCCATCATCCTCGCCCTCCTGACCTGAAGTATGTCCCCCTCACCCTCACACGTCCCCCTCCCCGACGGGCTCTCCACCCCTGGGCACCGCACACAGCATGGCTCACGGCAATGACCCTTTCCTTCTTCTTCTTCTCACTCCCCCCCCCCGACATCAATGGACAAATGGCACAACGGAGCGAAAGGGCGAGTCAGCACGTGTTGTCAACCATGGGTAGTCTGATTATTGACAAAGCTTTGCACCATCATCCTCGCCCTTCTGCGGAGGTTTCGCAACGAGCTAAGCTCCCCTCCGGCGCACCACTCCCCAGCCAGCCCCTCCACGCCTTCTCCACCCCCTTCCACCTCCAACGCCTTCGGTTCGGCTTGACCCATTCGGGCTGAGTGGGCCATCATGAATTCATGATGCAATCCAACCCATGGTGAAGCCTACATGGCCCTACGGTTAGCCTTTCTCTCTATACCACTCGCCCCGCCGACTACCCTCCCCCTGCCGCCCCAAGTCCTTCCCCCGCACCCCGGGGTATTTGCTACAGGCTTTGTCCAACGTATTGGAGTAAAAGCGCGAGTCAGCAGGCTTTCTTCGATCACGATTGATCTGATGCAAACAGGCAGTTTGCTTCCATCACCCTCGCCGTTTTCGTGCCTCGAAGAATACCCCTTCCCCCGGCCCCTCTCCCTCTCCCCCCCTCGGGTATATCCATCTCCTCTTGCCCCCTCCCCATCTCGGCCAGGGCACATAGCAGGGGTGCGTGCTTCGCTGCATGGCGGCTCCTTCCTCCCCCTCCATGACACCGCAGCGTTGGGCATCCCATGCAGGCTGTGTCCAACAAACCCCATCCCAAAGGGGGCGAGTCAGCAACCACATGGTGTCGATCAGGAGTGATCTGACGGATATCTTGGCTATGCGGTGTATTGCCTCATCATCCTCGCCCACCCGCGCACCCCATTCCCATCACCCTCCCAACACACCGCACCAACCGCGTAAAGGTGATTGGGGCAACAAGGGCGAGTCATCAAACGTTTTGCCGTCAGGACTGCTCCGATTGAAGAACTCTGCGTACAATCATCCTCGCCCTTTGGTGCCCCACAGCACAGTACACCCCCCTCCCACCCTGCTTCCCACCCGCCCCGATACCGCGGTTAGTCAGTTCCTTCTCCCTCCCCATCCCCACCCCCGCCCCCTATGTTCCCCCCACCACCCCCACTCCCCACTTCCCACCCCTAACTCCCACGCAGGTCAGTCGGGTCGGGACTGTCAATCTAGGGCAGGCCTTTTTAGACCCACGGGTCACTTGCGCGGGCGGGCGGGTGGGATGCGTAGGTGCACACACACACACACGCGGCCAGTTTTCTTAACACGCGGCCGCATACACGGCCACAACAGCCTCTATCAGCGCACTGGCTGTGCAGAGGCGCTCAGACGCTTGCTAGGCTTTCGTGAGAAATGCGCCCAAGAACATGGGATCAGCACAGCCGCCAGCAAATGGAGCTCTAATTCAGTTTGTCTACTCCGCCTGCTGAGCCAACACACGCAGCTACATGCAGCCCCTCACGCCAGCAGCTTGAGCGGAATATCCCCCTCCTCCCCTTCCCTGCCCCTCCCCTCCCCCCTCCCTCCTACACGTACTAGCTTGGCTAATCGGGCTGGGCGGGTCGGGCTGGCTCACATGTTGCAAACCATGATGATGCCATATCACACGGTCAGTTAGATGTTTCCTCATTAACCCCCCCTTCCCTCCCAACCCACCATGGGGTACTTGCTGCACGCCTTGTCCAGCAGCCTCAGCTCCTCCTCGCTCCACTCCCGCATGGCAGCCATCTTGCGACGGTGCTCCTCACGCGCGGCGGCCTTGGCAGCGGCCTCAGCGTCGCGCTTGGCGGCCTCACGCGCGCGGACAGCCTGGGGTGGGGAGGGGCGAGGAGATGGGTGATACTGTCGGTTTCCCGACCAGAGGTACTGGTAGAGGTCGGTACAGGGTATAACATTGACACCCTCCCCCCCTCCCGAGTGAGCCCAGGCACCTTTCAGACCCACCATCGTCCCTTTCCCTCTCCCTCCCCGTTACTCCTATACCCCCCCCCCCACACACCCCTCCCTACAACGTGTCCCCTACACACCTCCCTTCCCTCCTCGCGGCCTCGTCGCCCCCCTCCCCTGGACTCCCCCCCCCCTCCCCCTCCTCCCCCTCCCCCTCACCTCCTCCTCCCGCACGTCAATCCCCTTCAACGCCTCCACCAGGAGGGCCGTCTGCCGCTCCCGTACATCACCGCCCCCAGCAGCAGCAGCGGATGTGAGTGAGTCCACGAGCGCGGCGAGCATCTCCGGCTGGTGGGAGGGGGTTGGGGGGTGGGACGGCGGGAGGACAGTTGCATGAGGGTTGGGGTTGGGGTCACCTGTTGCTTCCCTTGCGTTCCTTCCCACAGCGTCCCCTGCTGTGCGGTACGTCCCCACCACCCTCCTCATAGCCCCTTTTGTACCCCTCTTCAGTCTTCACCCTCCTGATGCCCTTCACCCCCCCCCCCCCGCTCCCCCCCCCCCCCTCACCTCCAGCTTCGTGGTCAGCTTCTCCACATCGTCCTCACTCACCAGCCGGGAACCACCTGCAGGGGGGGGGGACGGGGGGGGAGGGAGGCGGGTTGGGACGAGCCATAACCCAGGAGGCTCAGAAGGCAGGGGGGGCAGCATGAAACAGGTGGAAGCGCGGGAGGTGGAAGAGGGATGGCGGAGGACGCAACAGAGGGACATACCCCCCTCCCCACCCCGCTCCTCACCTGCCCCCTCCTCACCCCCTCCCCCTCACCTGCCCCCTCCGCAATGCCCCTCAGCCGCTTCCTCAGCTGCTTCAGCTGCGCCTTGGCCGCCTCCCGCACCTTGCGAGCCTCCTCAGCAACCCGCTTGGCCTCCTCCTCGGCAGCTCTGGGGGGGATGGAGCAGGGCAGGGGAAGGGGTGGGGCAGGCAGGATACCAGACACATGAGCCGAGGGGGCAAGTGGGGAAAGGGGTGGCCGCCGTCAGTATAAGCATTGGCCCTCCTCAGCGAGTGCATCCCGCTCAACCCCCCTCCCACCCAACCAACACTAGTTGTGAGGCACCTCCTGGCCGCTCCCCTCCCCAATACTTCGCCCCAATCTGTGGCCTCCTACGGTTTGGTATCGTCCTTGACCCCCCCCAGCTGCTGCTGCCGTACGTAGGGTGTGCATGGCGCCGCTGAGGGGGTCCCCCGCAGCTCGGCAGGTCGGCAGCCACCACCAGCCGCAGCCCCAAAGCGCTGTCCACGTCAGTAGCAGCCAGCCCCCACCCCCCCCACCACCCCCCACACGCACCTCTTGGCCTCCTCCTCCGCTGCCTTGCGCGCCTCCTCCTCCTCCTGCGCCCTCCGCCGCGCCTCCTCCTTCTCAGCCTTCTTACGTTCCCTGCAGGGGGGGGGACAGGCGTAGGTGGTGGTGGTGGTGGGGCGAGAGGGTACAGCGGAAGAAACGAACCGTGTGGCCCACCCGGGGTCCCGGGGGTAGGAGGGAAGGGGGTAGGAGGGAAGGGGGTAGGAGGGAAGGGGTTGTGGAGGTCGCGGGTGGCGGGAAGGGGTTGTGGAGGTGTACCGGGTGGGGTGGGAGGTGGTGGTGGAGGTGGTGGTGAATGAAGCGGGGCATGGAAGCAGCCGGGGGGGAGCTGTCAACAACCCCCACCCCACCCACCCCACCCCACCCACCCGCCCATGTAGCAGTACACATCACCGACACGGGTACCCCGCCTGCTCCCTTGAGGCGGCCCGCCCCCGCAGAAGCCCTCCCCCTCATGCCCGCCGGGACAACGTACTTTTCTAGCCGGTCCTCCTCCTTCTTGCGAGCGACCCGCGGGTCATGCTTGTACGCCGCGTCCACAAACTCCCGCAACCGCCGGCTCTCATCCTTCTTGCCCTTCTCACGCAGCTTGGCGTTGTTGCTGTGAAAGGAGGGGTGGGTGGGGTGGGGGGGGGGGGTGAGCAGGGTTGGGGATCAATGGCCTCGAGCCTGTACCGTATATCAGGTAGGTGGGGTTGTTAGACGGGGATAGGGGCTTTACGAGAGCACAGAAAGCCAGGAGGGAGCAGAAACGTGTAGGCACGTGTACCCCTCTACGTGTGTTCCCCTCAACGGCAAGGTACGGCAACGGGTGTTGTCGTACCGCTCGATCCATCTGCGGTGCTCCCTGCTCTCCGCCGCCTCCACGTCCTCCTCGTCCGGGTGCGGGAACTCGCGCCACGACTTGAAGGTGTACCTGCGGGGGAGAGGGGGGGGGAGGGGATACGAATTCCGCATTAGCGGGGGTGGGAAGGGGAGAGGGGGCGACGGAGAAAGGTCACGGCAAGGCCAAGCTGGTGACGACAAGTGGCACGATGGCACTGGCAACGATGACGCGGGGAGGGGGCGGAGCGAGATGGGGTCGGTGGATGTGGTAAGCTCAAGACAGGCTCCGGATGTCCTTGCATACAGTTAAAGAGACGCAACTACACGCTAGGGAACGACTCCTCTCAGCCATGCATATTGCTCTACGGCAAGTACGGCAAGTTGTACGACAGGCGCCCATGTTGTACGACAGCGTCATGCCGCCAATGCCCAGCCGTACACACGTACCAAAAGTCGTAGAACTTGGTGACCTCCTCCCACTTGGCCCCCTCGTCGCCCAGCTCGGGTACGGGTTCCGCGGAGGACCAGCGCGCATTGCGGCGGAAGGCGGGGCCAAACACCTGGGAGACGGGGGGAGGGGGGGCGGTGGAAAGGGACGTTACATACGCAAGACCGAACATCTTTGCAAGGGCAAAAGGTACCGGAAGGGAAGAGGTGCGGCTCTGCGATTCGTGGATGCCTCCACGTCAGCTTCCTTGCCGCTCTTTCCTTCCGCAACACGGCAACATCGGAGCAGGCATCTAACACGCTCGGCGTCGTGTAAGGCAAGGGCTCAAGCGGCACGCAAGACGAGGGAGAATGAGGCTGGTTGCAGCTGCCTTGGTTGAAGCCAGCAGATGAGCCCCTCATCACCGCCGTACACCATCGCCTCCCTTCCACCTCCTCCCCCCTAACGAACCCCTCTGCGGACGGTGCTTCCCTTTCTCCCCTTCTTCCTGCCTCCTCAACTCATACAAACCGCGGTGGAGCCCCCTCGTGACACGGCCAGGTGACTCCTCTCTTCCCCTTGCCGCCTGCAGTACACCCTGCCTAAAGCCCGGCCACCGCCCCCTCCCCGACACCCCTCTCCACAGTCGGCATCCCCCTTACATCCCCCCCCAACCCCCCACCTTGAAAAAGTCCTTGGGCTCGCACTGCAGCGGCAGACTGTCATCGAACTCGTCCGTGGAGTCAAACTCCCTGGGGGGGCAGGGGGAGGCGGGGGGAGGGGGAGGCGGGGGGAAAAAGAAATTCCAATGAGTGGTGTGATGATGATACAAGTTGAGGGGGGAGGGGGTTGGGGCCAGGGGTGGCAATGGAGGGTGGAGTTTTGGGGATGAGTGAAGAAGAAAACATTGTTCGATGCGGAGGGGTTACACGGGTAGGGAGGGCTCGCTGCATGCCAGGTTGCTGGGGAGGAAAGGGGCCCAAACAAAGTGATAAGTGCAGCAACGGAGTCGGAGCGGGGGCGGGCCAGGACATGGTCCGAGTGAGGCGCAACGAAAGTGGCGGGAGGACACGTGTGTGTTTCGATGACGCCCCATGTGGCCATGTGTACACACAACACAACACAACACAACACGCCCGCTGCAGCCCCCATGCGGCCCCACTCGACACACCACCAGGCAGCGCATGTCGGTAGGCCTGGCTGGACACCCGGGCCGGTACCGCAGGGAGTGGAGCAGCACACCAGGCAGCGCAGGGTGGGACTGCAGAGCCGCTGCCCAGCTGGTTACTACTGCGGTATCCAATCAGTACGGCTCTGTCTTAGACTCCCGCTCTGCCGTACCTGCGCTTAGCTGGGTCGCTCAGGATGTCGTACGCGTCCTGGATCGTCTTGAAGTGCTCCTGAGAGACGCAGGGGAGGGGAGCAGGGAGGTGGAGATGTGGGAGAGGAAGGGGGGATTGTGTGTGGTGTGGTGTGGTGTGTGTGTGTGGTGTGGGGGGGGGGGGCAAAGCGGGGTGATGAGTGGAAGAGGGAGGTAAGACGAGTGCGCTTCCTCCGCCTCCTCCGCCTCGTTTCCCACACCCAAGATCTCCACTCCTCACCCCTCTCCTCCTACTCCCTTCCCTCCATGCCCCGACAAACACACACCCGTCCCCCCTCCCCCCCCCTCCCCTCCCCCCCTCCCACCTGGATCCTCTCCTTCTCCGCCTCGTCGCTGACCCCCACCAGCGCCTTGTCCGGGTGGTGCTCCAGGCAGGCGCGGCGGTAGGCGGCTCGGATGACCGCCTCGCTGGCCGTCCAGCGCTCGTTGCCCAGCCCCAGCAGCGCGTAGGGGTCGGTGTCCTTCTTCTTGACGGACTTGCGCTTGCGGGCCTTGCTGCCCTTCCAGTCGACACTGTGGCGGAGGGGGGGTGGGAGGCGGGGGGAGGAAGGGGGGTTGTAGAGGTGGGGAGAAGAGGGAGGTTCATGGAGGGAGGGAGGGGTGTGCGGGAGGGAGGAGCGCCGCGTACACTGGCCACACTGGGTATATCACCCCCCCTACCGACCGCCAACCACCGCCCCCAAACACCTCCCTCACTCGCGTTGTGAACAAAACCGATAATAATACCAACAGGGTTTCCTATCCCATCCCGCACGCCCCACCTCCGAAATGCCCAACTCCCCTCCTGTGATGCTGTATACATCGCCCCTATGTACTCCCCACCCTGCGGTAATCCCCAGCTGTCCGCAAGGGCCAACTGCTGCCTCCCAGCTGCTGCCAGCTGCGCCCTCCCAACCCATGCAAACCCCAGCAGCACATCACCCCCCAGTTACACATCGCTGCTAGTCACACCGCTAAGACCAGCTCGCCCTCCCCCCTGGTTGCTCCCGCCGCCACCCATCTGCATGGCGGCACCACCGGCACACCGCACTACCCAAACACCCTTCCACAACCCATGCAGCACCCCATGCATCCCCACCACGCCCCCCCCCCCCTCCCCCCCCCTCCCCTCCCCTCACCCCGGCGGCGGCTTGTCCGAGTCCGCCCCCGCCGCCCCTCCCGCCTGCGAGGCAGCATCACCCGCGCCGCCAGCACCACCCGCTTCCTCCTCCTCCGCTGCTGCTGCTGGGTCCTCTGGGGAGGGGGGTGAAAGACCATACCAAACCATAGGAGACCACAAGTTAGGGCAAAGCAATGGGGGTAGGAGTTGGCAGGGTGCCACAAGACAGGGAGGGGGGGGGGAGCAGGAGGGCAGGTGTAGGGGTAAACAGGAAAAGAGGGCGGGTGGAGGCGGGGCGGTTCAGGGGACCAGGGATGGGGTTGCAGGTGATATGAGCGGAGGTGGTAGGTCGGACCCACTCACCCCATAGCCCGGCCTGCTGGAGCGCCTTTAGGTGGAAGTAGTAGCCCGCCGCGTCCTTGCCGCTGCAGGGCACCGGCCCGGCCACGCAGCACACCACCTCCACCCCATCAGCGGGTCGGAGCTCCTCAGAGTATTCGAGCAGGAAGCGCGCGGGCAGCCCCATCGCGCCCCGGTGCGTAAACGGCTGTTGGGAGCGTTTTGCAGCACCCCGTGCGCAAAACGACGGACGCTATGAACAGGTTAGCGCCGCGCAGAAGCCACGCCGTAGCAATCTGTGCTCGTGCGGTCCGTAGGGTGCGTAAGAGGAGGTATAGGCTGGCGAATAGGCGCTGAGGCGGCTGTTTTAAGCGCCGCCGGCGGAATCGGTAGACGCTCCTCGCAGAGTGTTAAGATGCCGAAATTAGGTGTGATCAAGTTGCTGGATGAAAAGCGAGCGCTTTAAGACGAGTGGACTAGCTGTTAAGTTAGGAACAACCCGAACAGTTAGGCACAATGCTGCGACAAGGGCTGAACTTTACAGCCGAAAGGTCTGATATATATTCAATCAATTGCGCAACAGCAATATTTAAAGGAATAGACCAGCAAGTCGGAAGGCATGTACAGCCGGCTGTTTTGGCATGATGTGTACTTCCAAGTTTTCTGCGGAAGTCCTTGGACCGCATGAGTAGAAAGATACATAATTGTCAACTGCGTTTGTCTGTTCTAGTTAAGTGCATAAGTAGAGAGCCCCTTCCAGAGTGCCCCTAGGAGGACATCCCGCTTTCTTTTCGTGCCGCGCCGGAAAACCTTGTTCGCCTAAACCTAAGGTTGCATCCTGATGTTTAGGTGACAGGCAGGGATGAGGCTGGCAAGTGCGCCATAGTGTTGCGAGCCAACTCAGAAAGGCGCCATATCTACGGAGACTCTGGGCTTTGGGAATTCCTTACTCTTAATATGGGGCCTCATGGCAGCCGGAGTCGAAGCAGGAGCCCAAAGCGGCAGCGCAGGGACCGGTAAGTTTGCAGCTGTTTACTCCGGCTTTCGCCTTTGATGGAGTCTACAAATGCGGTGTCGTCGCATGGGCATGTGGCATATTGTGTGCAAAGGAAGACTGACAGGGGCAGAAGCCGTTTAGGGCATGGTGATGAAAGCCTTGTTGATAGGGTCTTCGCGCGCGAGAGGCGCCAGGTTTTGCACGGCCTAAGACGACTCGCAGAGAGGACAGCACGTTCTTGCGTTTCCAGCAAGGAAATCCGATATGCTTCTCACCCCATTCTTGCCTCTCCTTGCCCCCCGCCCCATGCTTCCCTCCTCCTCCCAGAGCCGGCAGCGGCAGTCCTCGCGGCGGTCGCAGCCGCTCTCCGGGTCGGCGGCGCTTCAGCCGCAGCACCAGTCGCAGCCGCTCACCTCCGGGCTTTGGCAGCGGCCGGAGCGGCTTGAACGGTTACTCACCCACCCGGTAGGACTGCAGCAGCACTGCAGCAGGGACCGGCCACGCGACCAGCATGCTTGGGTGGATCGATTCACAGCTGTACATTATACAGCTGTACATTAGCTTCCGCTACGCCTTGAGTGGCAGCAGCGTTGTGGGATATCCTTGGCCCCACTGGGCTTGAATTCAGGAGTAGTTGTCGCAATCCTTACAGCATTTCTCAGGCTTCGTATGGGCCTTGCCTAGGACGGCCCTGCCCGGTGTTGCACGTCCAGCGTACCGTACACGGGCATGTCGTTCCAAGGCTGCCCGTCAACCCGTCCCCAGCTTCCTTTCGACCAGTAAATGTAGCAGCCCAACCTCTGCCACCATCCCTTCACTCCACAGGAGCCGTGTCACACAGTTAGGTTGCTCCTCCCTAACCCATCTCTCCCCTTTGCCCTCTTCCTCCACAGGGCCGGCAACTACGGCGGCCGGTTCGTTCCCGGAGGTCTCGCAGCCGGGCCCGGGCGGGGGGGACCTGGAGGAGGAGGTGCAGGAGGAGGAGGCGGTGGGGGCATGCCGGGGGCCTCTCCGCCGCCCTGGGTCACGAACGCCCGCCTCGCGCCGCAAGTCAAGTAAGCAGGGCAACGGCCGAGGGACGGGGGCAAAGACGGACCAAATAAACTCTTAAACAAAGTCACATATGATGGCAATGCAATAGGAGGACGAGACGGAGCGGGGCACCTAGCCGCATATTGGTATGTGACTGTCTTATCCTCATGCCGCGACAGCCACCAGCCACCCTGTGCCGTGCTGACTACTAACACAGTAACTCCTGCCACCGAACTACTGCCGCCGTACCGCAGGATGGTCCTGGAGGGGCTGTACGGCAGGGGCAAGCTGGGCCCGGGCGACCTGGAGTACGCCTGCATCGAGTTCCTGGAGCTGCTGGGGCCCGTGGGCGGCATGGCGGTGCTAGAGGAGTTTGCGTCGCTGGACTTTTTCCGCATACGCAACCTCACCGCCTTCTTCATCGGCATCTGCAAGCGCGTGCAGGCTCGGGCGCCGCCGCCGCCTGGACGGCCCATGCGCGGAGGTGGTGGCGGTGGCGGAGGAGGCGGTCCTGACGGCGGCTCGCCGCCTCCTGGTGCGGGTGGCGGTATGGGGCTCGGCGGCTATGGCGGCATGCGTGGCAGGCCGATGACTCGCGGAGGCGGAGGGGGTGGCGGAGGTGGTGGCGGCGGAGGAGGGGGGGGAGGTCCGTCGCGCATGAGCCGGAGTCCCGGTGCGGGTCCGGGCATGCGCCGTGCGAGTCCGCCGCTTCACTTCATGATGGAGGACAACAGCCCGCCGCCGCGGAGGTGGGTGAGTAAGAGCCCGCCGCCGCGCCGGTGGGTCAGCAAAAGCCCCCCGCCGCGGCGGTACGACAGCAAAAGCCCGCCACCGCGCCGGTGGGTGAGTCGCAGTCCGCCGCCGCGGCGGTTCGATAGCAAGAGCCCGCCACCCAGGAGGTGGGTGAGCAAGAGCCCGCCGCCTAGAGCGAGGGCGAACAACGGGGGTAGTAAGAGTCCGCCGCCGCCGCGGCGGTGGGTGAGTCGTAGTCCGCCGCCGAGGAGGGGAGGGGCGAGCAAGAGCCCGCAGGGGAGGCGGGCGAGGGGAGGGGGGAGCTCCAGAAGCAAGAGCCCGCCGACGCCTCCCAGCAACCTACAGCAGCAGCAGCAACAGCAGCCGAGAAGGAGGAGTACCTCACCGGCCAGTCAACAAGCTCGCCCGCAGCAGCAGCAGCAGCAGCAGCAGCAACAACAACAGCAGCAGGCATTGCAGCAGCAGCAAGAGGGGTCAGCCGCTACTGCCGCCGCGGCTGTGCCTAATGGTGGTCTTGCTGTGGTGGCGAACGCAGGCGCCGCTGCTCAGCAGACCGCCAGCAACACCAATGTCAGCACCAGCAGCAGGACCTCCGCATCAGGAGGAGCAGCAGGAGGTGAAAGCAACAAGGCTTGCGGAGGCAGCGCTGCCGCACAATGTGACGGGGTTGCTACTGCTGCTGCTGCTGCTGCTGCTGCTGCTGCTGCGGATAGCGGTGGCGCCACTGCTGCGGTCGCTGCCGGCGTGTCGTCGTTGCCGCCGCTACGGTCTGCTCGCGAAAGGGAGGCCGAGCAGCAAGCCGCCCGGCAACTCACGCAGCCCCCACAACCACCACATCCGCATGTGGAGGAATCGGAGCCGGATCAGGAGCAGCAGGTGCAAGGAGAAGCGGCGCCGGCGGTGTCTGCGTCAGCGCCGGCGCCTGCACCACCCTCCGCAGCTGGAGCTGTTACCGGCGGTGGCGGGGAGTCGGCAGCTGCTGCTGCAGGGGCCCCCGCAGCCGGTGTTGGCGGTGGCAGCAGCGGCGCGGGAGGTGATGGTGGCGAGTCGCTTATAAGAAGATGCAGCGACGGTGGCGGCGGCAGCTGTCACGAGTGCCGCGCTCAGCCTCGCACAAGGTATGTACGGTGTGCAGCCATAGTGAGTTCTGTCGTCGTCGCAGTGCGGAGCGAGCTTGGACTGGATGCGGTGTTGTTGATGTGTAGGAGGCTGATCAGCCACTTCCGTGCCATCTTCTTGTCCCCTGCTTTACCACCTATAGCACCTCCGCTGCACCCGATGCAGGCGCTCCGCCGGGACTGCTCTGGACGAGCCACCTGCCCTGCACCAACCTACACGGCTGTCCCCGCGGCCCCCCTCGCAGCCAGCTACCCAGCATGCCTCCCTGCCTGCCAAACAGTACCTGCAGCCCCAACAGCAACCTGCGCCCGCACCGCAGCTGCATGCAGCCTCCGACGCCGCCCACAGCGAGTGCGGCACGTCGCCCTGCGCACAGGCAGCGACGTCCCCTGCCGCCAATGGGGCGGCCGCCGCCACCATTGTAGCGAGGCTACCCGCTGCTCCTGGTGTGTTATTACCGGACACATCCACCCATACATGCGAACGTACTGCCTCTGCCGCCGTCGCAGCAGCAGCAGCTGCGGCTAACGCGGATGCCTCCGGAGCTACAGCGGTAGCGGCTCAAGATGACCCATGGGTCGCTCCGGCACCAGCAGTACCTCAACCCGCATCCTCGGGTACATCAGGCTCTGGAGCGGCCGCAGCAGCAGCAGCCGGACGGACACCACCTGACGCAACAGCTGCTACGGCTGCTTGCACTGTTGCTACTGCCGCCGCCGCCGCTGACACCGTGTCACTGCCATCCAGTAGGATGTGCGGCACAGGCGGTACGGAAGCTGTAGCGAATGGTACGACAAGCCGGCGGATCGAGGACGGCGACCCCGACGATGAAGTTGAGCTGCTGTTAGAGCCGGCGGCGTTACTGGATGTGCGGCTGGTTTCGGCGGCTGCTGCTGCGTTGAATAATGCAGGGGCGGCGGCCGCGAGCACAACCCCCGCAGCTGCTTTTGGTGGAGTTGCAGCCCTGTGCGGCGTTGGATGCGGTGCGGGAGCTGTGTCAGCTGTGCCGTGCTTGTACGATCCGCCCATGCCGCTCACCGCATGTCCCCTTGGTGGCTGGTTGGCGGCGGAAGCGGCTGCCAGCGTTCACGGTAGCAGCAGCAGGTGCAGCGGCGGAGGCCGTGGGGGCTCCGACAGTGACGTTGCAGGGACAACGGCGGAGGTGGCAAAGCTTGGACAGTGCCAGCGCAGTCCCTTCGCAGTGGCCGTGAAGGCTGAGCAGTCACCGCCCCCGAGCAGTACCCGAGGGCAGGAAGCGGGCGCACTGCCGCTTGCCTCCTCTGCCTTAGATCAGCCTGCTGCAGACGATGCTGACGCCATGGATATCGACACCTCCCTGGATGCTGTGCCTACGACAAAAACAGCCGTCCTCACAGGAGCCGGCTTGCAAGCCCTGAAGCAGGAGCCGCAGCAAAACCAGCAGCAGCTGTTGCCCTTGGGCCCCATCACCTCTAGTTCCGCAGCCCTCAAGCCCCAAGCTACGGATCCGCACGCAACAACGGCATCCGCAGACGGGGGGTTGGGCGAGTGCGGTCCCGCCGGTGGATTGGGTTGGATCCTGGGCGGCATCTTGAGCCAGGCTTTGTCGGCGGCGGCGGGCAGCAGCGGTGGTGGCGGTTGTGAGGGCGGGGTGTTGCGGCAGGCGGTCACGGAGCATGTGAAGGAGGCGCTCAAGCCGGCATGGCGGGCGAACCGGCTGACCAGGGAGACCTTCAAGGCGGTCGCCAAGAAGGCGGTCGACAGGGTGAGGCAGGGAGCGGGGGCGGGGGTCAGGTGCCGGGAGGAGAGAGGGTGTGTAAAGAGGGGGCCATGTATGATTGGATGGGACGGGCAGTAGTCGTGGGAGCCCATATGGTCTGGCCTCACTTGCCCTGCTCTGCTCGTCGGGCATTATGAGCGTTTTAGCTTGCCCGCCCTCCTTGCACCGTCTTAACCGCATACATGCCCTCCCTCCCACCGACCCACATCGTCCCTCCTTGCAGGTGCTTGTCACGCTGCCGAGCAACGGAGTGGGCAGCATGTACGACTGCCCCTCCGCAGTCGCCTCGTTCCTCAGCGACGCCCGGCGGGAGGCCATCAACCGCCTGGTGGAGGCCATCCTGCAGCGGCTGGTGCCTGCAGCCAACCCCGGCGAGGGTGCTGTTGGTGCTGCCGGCAACGGTCATCATCACAACGCCGGCGGTAGCATGCATGCCGGCATCCATGGCAGTGCAGGGAACGTGCATGGCAGCGGCCATCTGGGTGTGGCGGCGGCGGCAGCTGTCAGCCCAACTGCTTGCAGCTAGCTGGGGAGGTGCAACTGCCGACTCCAACCGCCGCCTGCAGCTGGGGAGGCGATGCCACCCGTGCAGCGCGGGACCTGGCGGCGCAATGTAACTGCAAGCCCAACCGGGGTTTGTTACTTTAGGAACGGGTTGCCTCAGCGTCATCCGCTCATACTAGAACATGGAATAAGAACTGCACCAGCAACTGTCATACACCGCACTTTTGGTTGGTGTCCATCGTGAATGCCTTAATGTTATATGCGCAAATGATGAATTTCCTGGCATGTGCCCCACATGTATACTGGATCACCGGGGGGGGGAGCTGTCTCTTCACAGCGCTGGGGGCGTGTTTCTGCACTGCTGCATGGACGGCATAGCCAGGGGAGCCGCTGCGTCATGAACTGCCTGACTTGATACGAGGTCGTAATGCTTGTCGTGATCCTTGGCAGTGGTGGTGGTCGTACCACTGAGCCGCATAGCGTGTGGCAAAGCAGCAGTTGGGTGTGTACGTCTGAGCCCTAGTGCAGCGGCAGCCATTGACGGGCTGGTGGGGTTGTCCTGCGTAACCCGACTTGGTGAAAGCGATGACGATCCTGTGACGGGACCATTGAGCTCCTCTTTTCTGATGGCCGCTTGGGACGGTCTGGATGGTGAAGGATGTCCAAGCCCTGTACGGAATTGAGGACACGTAGGGTTGGGTGGCTTGCGGATGCGTCCGTGCGGGTGGGGTGCCGCCGTGACACACATGGGTTGTGGATGGGTGTCCGGGATGCGACCTCACTAGTGCTCCTTCTATGCGTACATCGACCCATGCACCGACCAACCACTTGAGCGATAGTGCCTGCACCTGTGGAGGGAACGAACGAGCTCTTACTATGCTGCATGATGCATGTGCGGATGTACCGGTATGTGGTAGTTGGGCAACCCCTACCTGCCTCGTGTCGACATGGCCGAACGACACCTGGCTGAGCGTGTGTGTTATATGGGTTTGGGGTACTTGCAGACGGGTTGGATGAGTCACGTCGAGGACAGGGACGGCTTTTTTAGTCGGGAGGGGAGTGCATGCATGGCTGCCAAGGGGGAAGCCCCCTCCTAAACGCAGCATTCATCAGCTTGACATGCTTCCTTGGTCTCTTGTCTTGGCGTCCTTTTGAGGGTTGTTTGTTCGAGGCATGTATATGTGATGCTCCCTCGGACCCAAATGGCCTTAGTGAAAGCAGAGCAGTTTCGGGGCGTCCCGGTGATGGGCAATGTAGTCCCTAGACGGCAGCGCTTCGCACTCAAATTTTAGGAGGTGACTGTAAGACGGTGGCGATATGCGTTGATACTCTTTACCTGTTTCAAGCCATTTGCAGCCCAAGTATGCTGTGCGCGACGACCTCCTGGTGAAACCATGTCGAGAGGTGGCAATCTAAACTACTGACCCGTACGTCGTCTCGTGGAAAGCCGGCGTAGGAGTTCCAGCTGCCCTACATCACTAGGGCTTGCACACCAAAGGAAGGAACCAGCGGCCAAGTCAGCGGCCATCGCGTGCCAATACAAGTTATCAGAGCACGCTATGTACCGGTACTTTGTAGGTATGCCAGGAAACGGAGGGATGGTTGCAAGGCATACTGTGGCAAAGGCATGACATTTCGCGGGGTTTCCAACTTGGTTAGCAATGAGGCAGCCAGATAAGGTCTGGATTGAGCAACGCGATACAAGATATCAGCTTAGGCTGGCGTGAAAGTACACATGGAACGTCGTGCTTACGTAGGCCAGGGGTATCGATTAGCTAGAAACCGACAATGATAACCGCTGTGACCTGCCCCGGCCCTGCCGTTGCCGTAGCAACGCGATGCAAGATACAAACGTAGACTGACGTAAAAGTACATGCGCAACGTCGTGCTTACGTAGCACATGGCTATCGACTACCGTAGCTAGAAACCGACGTTGATAACCGCTGTCACTTGCTCCGGCCCTGCTCTGCCGTAGCGATGTTTCTAATTATAGTAATGCCGATTGTCTATGTGAAGTGGTTGTTAAAGCTCGAATTGATGCAAGCGAAGGTGGGAGCGGGTGCACAACACCGTCTTGGTGGATAGCTGGATACAAACGTGGCCAAGCGTTGACATAACCTAAGGTCCCTAGGATGTGCAAGTAGACCAAATGTCTTTTGTAACTCCTACGGTCACATTGTACAGTCTTAAGTAAGTATGCTGATGCTCCGGAACCATTAGCAAGTCCTATCACAAAAGGCTTCTCTTTCCTGCCTACCAGGCACTTGCCTACACCAAACAAAAACAATATCATGTCTTTAAGCATGTCCTTGATCTCCTAGGTTAGGGCGTAGCATCAGTTTCTTGCAGCAATGATGCCTACAACACGCTGCTTTGGACATCTTAGTTGGTTACCGCTTAGCAGTCATGGAATAACTTCTTCAAGCTTCAACCAGGCAGTAGCGTCATGGGTAAGGAGACGGAAAGCCGCATTGTCCGACCGAAGGTTTTAAACTGTTCAGCGGCGCAGGAGTAGTTCGTCCATTCAACCTATCTAAAACGTATATCTATGACGTTAGTTCTGGCCTCCAGTATCGCGGCTTCCTCGAGCGGTTAATGGCGGAAGGTAAGTTGGAAAAATATGGATGCCTAGAATAGATACCAGCAGTTATTCAGTACTTTGTGAACACACGGTACCCCTATTGACGAAAAGTAGCACGCGTTCTGGGACGACAGGGTCAAGACTCGACTTGTCCCCATCGAGTCTTAACCTTGTCAATCCCCGAACGCCAGCCACGTTTCGTCGATAGGGACCGTATGTGTTTGCAAACATGCTGCAGCTGCTGGTATCTATTCTAGGCATCCTTACTTTTCCAACTTACCTTCCGCCATCAATCCTCCCATGAACCAGCTTGCCAAACGCTGTCTCCTTTTTGAACATTTCCTTGAGACCACCAGGCTGCGCACATAACTACTTGCCCCTTTTCATCGCCCCCCTCTAGGATGAAACGTTGGCTGCCTCGGCAGGGCTCATGGCGTTGGCTGACGACCTCAAAGCGATAACAGCGCAAGCCTCCAGCGCCACAGCAGCCATCGTTCATGCCGCTTGTTCAGCCAGCAGTGCAGGTGCTGCTTCGCAGCATGTCTGGCGGGCTATGGACGCATCAGCACGCGCCATATTGGCACGTGCAGCCGGTGCTGCAAGAGATCTTCGGGCTGCTGCTGCTGCTGTTGATGTGGAGGCCCGGAGGGTGAGGCGGTTATGGGCGAAGAACTGCTGCCGAAGGAGGAGGGGGAGTAAGGGAGTTAGAGATGCGAGAGGGGCAGGGCAAGGGAAAGGAGCGACGGGGATGGTCAAACTATTCAGGGTGCCAACAATCGCTGCGTTGTGATGTGGGTCGGCCTGAAACAGTCCGCTTTCCATCTGGGTCACACCGGAATGAGTGGAAGTATGGCCGAAAGACATAGAGCCTGCCGCTAGTAGCGTTCTTACAGTTTGACGACTGTAACTTCGTACCCGGCAATGATGTGCGTGTTGTTGTGGTGGTTGGATGGCGTACGTTGCTCGGACTTGCAAGCGGTTGTACGGGCGGTTAAAACTGATAACCCCATTTGGGTCGCATGGCAATTGCACATACTGTCTGCTAAATGCTGTACCCCATGCCGTTGTCTTTCACCTCGTTCCATCCCAACCCTCCCGCTCCGCTCGCATGCCCTTCCTCCGCCAGGTGCGCACACAGCGCATTCCCGCAGCCCGCCGAGCCGCCGTACAGCACCTGACGGACACACTGCTTCCCGCCCTCACCGCTGCCGTACAAGACGCCGTGGCCGGCGGCCTGGCTGTGGTCAGCGTGTGCAAGGAGGAGCTGCTGAAGGACTTGGAGGCGCAGCTGGAGCAGCAGCTGGAGCGGGAGCTTCAGCAGCAGCTGCTCCTGGGGCAACAGCAGTCATGGCAGCAGCGGGGGCAGCTGGAGGGGGTGGTGTCGGGGGGCCTTGGCGATGGCAGCCGGGCAGCTGCAGGGGCTGCCTCTCTGATGGGGCCTGCTCGCCTGGCTGCAGCGAAGATAGGCATTATCTGCGTCAAGCTTTCAGACACGTTGAAGGTAAGGTCCGCGGAATTATAGGTTGTTCTCAAGTCCGATGTGCCAGCTGCCGTTGGTAGTGAAGAGCAGCTGCAAGGTCGGCGTGGCGACCTCCTCCTCCTCCTCCTCCTTCTCCTGACGCAACGGCAGAAACTGAGGAGCTAACTATGACAGAGTCCTCGGGGTGCCTGAGGGGCCTGAGCACGGCTACATTGTTGCATTCCATATTGCTAGCTGCAATGGGCTCTCAGGTCTGACCCTTCCCGCCTCCCTGCTCCCGCCTCCCCTGCAGAGCCTCAAGATCGCCATTAAATCAGCACTGCACCTGCACCTGCAGCCACAGCAATCCTCCTCATCCCAGCAGCTGCCCCAGCAGCAGCAAACGCAGCCGGCCGGCCCCAACCTCCAACAGCCGCTACAGCAGCAGCGCCCACCCCCACCGCACGCAAAGCTCCGTCATCCACAGCAGCAACAACGGCCGCTCGCCCGGCTGCTGCGCCCACGGATTAGGCAGCGGAGTCCCCAGGACGTGCGCCAGAGGCTCCAGCACCTGGCGCAGACCGTAGCGCTCCTGCGGGAGGCCTCCGCTGCTCCCGCTGCTGCTCCCACTGCTCTCACTGATGGCGCTGCATCCGCCTCTGCTGCCACGGTTCATTGTGGCGGTCCCTACCGGCCGCGACTGTCGCCCCTACCTGAAGCAGACACACCTGTAGTCGACGAGGAGGAGGGCGAGGATGAGGATGAGGAGTACGGGGTGGGATACCTCGAGGAGGAGGAGGGGGAGGTTGCGGGGCCCGTCGCTGCAGCCCTTACTGCTGCGGCACTTGAGCCCGCTGCTGCTGCTGCTGCTGCTGTTGACGGCATGTACGCGCCAGGCACTGCCGTCACCGCTGTGTCTGCTGCCGCCGACACCAACATGCACCAGGAGCGGCATGCTTCCGGCAGTGCTGCAGCACGGCCGGCTGTGAAGGAGGAGCTGCCGGCGTTCCTGGGTCATCAAGTGCTAGGACGCAACCGCACCGCCGCTGCCGTACCACCCGGCCCAGTATGCTACTCCTACTATCCCAACCGCCACAGCCACCCATGCGGCTGTTGCCACCAAGCCGCCCGGCTCCAGCCAGCCAACCGTCACCCCACGAAAGCCCCCACCACCACCACCACCAGCTCCATGGGGCCAGCCGCGTGGGGTGCCGCCCTCAGCCGCACCGCCGGGGGTGTGGCAGCCGCTGCCGGTAGTAAGGTAAAGAACTTTGCGGCTGCTGCTTCTGGGAAGGCGCCGGTGCGGGCTTCCGCTGCTACTAGCGCTGCGGGCGCTGCTGCGAGTCGCAGTACGGCAGTTCCCGCCCGCCAGCAAGCAACGTACAAGCAAGCGGCGGCAGCAACCTCGGCTGCTGTGGAGCGAATTAAGAGCCTCGCCCGTGCGAGTGGGAGTGCAGGTGCGGGCGTGCTGCTGCGATCTGGTACGCAGCAACCCCGGCAACAACGCCAGCAGCAGCAGCAGCGCTCGCGCAAGGCGTCAGGCCGCTCGCCTCCGGTTGATCCTTCACGAAGGCCCATTCCGTACCCTGCTCACCGTACGGTGACGATGGCCGTACAGCCTCGTCACCAGCAACTGCCGCAACGGCGGCCGTCGCAGCAGCAGCAGCAGCAGCCGCTGCCACTGCCGGTTCTCACGCCAGTGCAGTCCCGGCGCCCTGCTGCTGCCGAGCCACCCGCCTCACTGCAGCCCCGGTCACTCTCCTTCCCCGAACCGGCTGCCGCTACTGCTGCACCTGCTGCTCCTCACCATACTTGCCAGCTGCAGCCGGGGCCCATGACGTCCAGGTCACGCGCCAGTGAAACCGCAGTCCCGTCGTCGCTAGCGCTACCGCCATCTGCCAACCCCAGCGCTTTCGGCCCTGGCTCCGGCTGGCTTCCCATGCGTCACACCAGGAGCGCATCTTGGGCCGCGGCCGCCCGGCCGGAACCTCCGCCTGCGGCTGCTGCTGCTGCTGCTAATGCTGCCGCGTCTGCTGTTGCATGGCAGCAAGGAGAACGCCTAGGGCGTCGTCCTCTGCAGGCTGGCTTTGAGGTCGGTGGCAGCAACGGCTTTGGCGTTTACGCTGTTGGGAATGAGGCCGGCTACGGAATGCATGAGCAGCAGCAGCGTGTAGTGGCGGAGATGGCTCAGCTGGTGGTGCCGCAGCAGCAGGAGTTGGATGACTCCATGTGCTTTGGCAGCGGCGAGGTGGTCTGGGGAGACGCGCCGGACCTGAAGCCCCCGGTGGCGGGCCGCATGCAGGGCTCGCTTGCGGGGGGGCCAACTGGCTGGGAGTGTCCGGAGCCTGCTGTTGACGTCGGGGTCATGGCGGAGAATGGAGCGGAGGAGCTACAGCAGCAGGAGGCATGGCAGCAGCAGCAGCAGCAGGAGGCATGGCAGCAGCAGCAGCAGCAGGAGGAGGCGTGGCAGCAGCAGCAGCAGGAGGCATGGCAGCAGCAGGAGGAGGAGCACTTTGGGGTGCCATTGGTACATGCGTTTGAAGGGGCTGACGGCTTCCGTGCTAGCGAGCTGGCAGCAGCGGCGGCGGCTAGCGTGAAGCCGGGGCGTGTGACGTCGTCCCATGGGTCGAGCCCTCGCGAGCTGTCCGCGACGTCTTCGCTGTTGACCTTCCATGGCCCGCGGGTAAATGGGGAGGGTAGCGGGAGTGGGAAGAGGGGCTTGCGGAAGGATGTGGGGAAAGGGAGTGGATGAGTTGAAACTGACTCATTCTCGCCATAGGTGGTTCGCTGCTTTTCCCAGCCCGTCCCGTTCGTATCCTGTAAACGCCTTCACGCACAGCCGCCAATGTCACTACCCCTACTACCGCATTACGCCACCCATGCTGACGCCTACCCCTCACCCACCTTCCATCCCACAGGACCTCCGGCCGCTGCTGGATGACAGCCCCGAGCCGCCAAGTCCCGCCGTACACCCATCAGCCCCCTCCAGCCGCCACAGCAGCAGCAGGCGCAGCAGCTGCATGGGCGGCATCGCATGGGGAGGGCAGCTGGCGCCGGAAGAGGAGGAGGAGGAGGTGGAGGGTCCCGCTGTCGGGTTCGGCTACGGCTTTCACGCGGCAGTGCCCGCGGCCTACGAGGCTACGGCGGCGGCGGCGGCGGTGGCGGTGTGCAGTAGGGAGAACCCAGACAGTGATGTGTTTGGGGAGCCTTGCACCCCCCGCTCTTGCCTGGCGGATGATGAGGGCGGTGAGGGCGCGTGTGCGGATGGCAGTGCGGAGTACCCTGCCGCCATGCGACCCCTGGTGAGTGCAGGGAGTGGGAGGGAGGGAGCTCAACTTGGGGATTACCGGTAGCCGTTTGTTTCCTTTGTTAGGTTTGACCATGAGTACGGCAGTAGTTGTGTCGCATGGCTGCCGGTAGGGTCCACTACCACCGCCAGCCTCCCCTCTCCGTGCATGTCCTCGTCGCTGAGCTCCACCAACCGCAATCCCCCGCTTCTTCCTTCTTCCCGCTTCCCTCAGTTTTGGACGGCGCTCCCCGCACGTCACGGCGCGGACTCCCAAGGCCACCCTGGCGCCCCCGACTGGCTGGCAGCCGCTCCGCTGCACCTCTCCTGGGACGAGGCGACGCAGCAGGCCCATGTGGCTCACCCCCACCCCCACCAGTCGCTGCTTGAGCCCCAGCAACCCCGACCGTCATCCGAGCAGCTGCAACAGCCGTACCTAGACCCCCAACAGCCACAAGCGCAGCACAGCTTCACCAAGCACGCGTCCTGGCATGCCACGCCGGGTCCCATCTACGACACCCCTCTTCCCGGACGCTGCATGTACGGCGACAACGGCGTGGCTGCCGTACATGAGTCAGCAGCAGCTGTTGCCGCCTTTGCTGCTGCTACTGCTGCCGTACCCAGCAGCAGCGGCGGCAATGACGCGCTCTTCGCCACTCCCTCGGCGGCGGCAAGGAGGCCGCACTGGAGGGCGAGGCGGCTTGGCTCCGCGGGAAACAACAAGAGTGCGTTCGGAGTGGGTTTCGGAGCGGAGCCAGGAGGCTTTGGCAGTCCCCTGCCGGGGTTAAAGCCAGGAGCAGCACTGGGTACGGCAGCGTTCGGCAGTCCAACTGCTGCTCCTGATGAAGCGACTGATGCTGCTTTTGACGGTGGTTTCGGAGCCTCGAGCCGCCGCCGCCTCCACCACCACCGCAACAGCAACAACACCAGCGGCAGCAGCAGAAGCAACAGCGAGAGGAGCGGCGGTGAGCCTCCTCTCGTTAGAGGGGGCTTCGGAGGCGTGAACCGCCCGGCTGCGGGCAGCTATCCCCACGACGACTCACAACAACCCCACCAGCCCCCCCACGCTCCTCACTCCCCGCTCCTCCCCCTTCCGCCTGCGTCTGCCTCGCCACACCCCTCAACCAGTCCCCGCACCACCGCTGGCGCCGGCGGATTCTTCGGGGACCGAGCTCTGGTGGTATTCTCCTCCTGTCGTATCTCCGACCCCTCTCCCTCTCCCTCCTCCTCCTACCGCGCTTCGCCCTGCTCCTCCCGTCCGGCCAGCGGTGGCCGTCTGCTGCCCCTGCCGGCTGCGGCCACCTCCCCCGACCTTCCCGAGCCCGCTTTCACAAAAGCTGCTGCCGCCGCCGCCGCCGCTGCTGCACACGCTTCCGAACATGGCCGGTTGGAGGCTCGAAGCAGGCGCAACCGTTTGGCCAAGACCCAAATCCCTCATCATCATCAGCAGTCGTCGCTGCTGCTGCAGCCGCAGCACGGGGGAGGGTCCGGCGCGTCCTCTGCACGGCCCTCACCCACAGCAGCAGCAGCAGCAGCAGCTGGAGGTCCCTCTCGAGGCAGCTCCTCGGGCGGTTCCTTCCCCGCGGGTCCAGGCGCGGAGGACAGCTACGAGGCGCTGCGGCTGTCGGATGTGGACGGGTGGCCGTGGAGGGGAGGGGTGCGCGGGGGCTGCGGCGGGGGGGAGGAGGATGGGGATGATGCGAGCAGTGTGGGGTTTTGAGTGTGGGAGGCTGTGGGGGCGTTAAGGGGTGTTGTGCTTTTGTGAGGTGGGCGAGGAGGAGGGAGCGAGGTGGGGCATGCAGGGATTCTGGCGCAGCGTGGGATGTGGGTGGGAAGAAAAAACGGAAGGACCTGGGGGGTCGCAGGTGTGTTGCTTGGGCAGCAGGCTGAGGGGGCTCTGCAGCCTGTTGGGTCCCCTCCAGGCGTTAGGGGATTCCGTCAAAGTGTCCGCGGTTCAAGTTGGGCCTTTGGAGTCTGGTTTTGTGCTGGTGGTAGTATGGACACCGCGTCAAACCCTTTGACGCGGCCACGTGCGAAGACCCGAGTGGACTTTGTGGGACAGTTAACATGCAGTTGGGCGCTAAGCATGTCAGTGCAACCTATGTATACGACATGACTTGCCCTGTGAGCGTACGGAAGTATGTTTTGCAGACTTGTACCAAACCTGCACAGGAGTGTGCTTAGCTACAGGGATAGGGTGGCCTTATACAGCGGTATGATGCCGATTACCATTGTGGCTTGTTCGTGACGTTTCGTGGCTAATAACCCCTGCACCTGTTCCCACATACATAACCTGAAAATGTATTGATGAGCGAGTCGGGCCGTTACTGCGGGCCTTATGCTGGTCTGGTGCCTGCTTTAAGAGATGAGAAAGACTTGATGAAGGTATATCCGCATGTGTGTGTGTATTTGTGCTCTTGCTGAAGATGAGGGTTCACGTTACCACCTACGAGGGTTTACCGTACGTCCGACGGAATTCTGTGTGGCTGAAGGACATTTCATGTCGTGAGCCTGCGTGTGCGCGCGAGGCTGTCCTTGTGCGCCTGTGAACATGCAACTGCGAGCATCCGCATATGCGTCATGGCCTGTGGCGGTGGGTGGGTGAGGCAACTAACCCTGTGAAGTGGCAGGCCCTGCTGGGGGGGCCGAAGCGTGCCGACAAGGGTACGCCAGGTGTTTATGTACGGATGCACATCTCCGGATATGGCGGGTGGAGCAGCGTACTCGCACATCTGTTTCATTGCTTCCTGGTTTGCTTTTATTGGTTCAGTTACCGCAGGCGCAACGTACTAATGGCAGCAGGTGTCGTACGTACTGCAGGAGTGGGGTGTCACTGTCTAACGGTGTTCTGCCATCACATGATGGTTAATTCTTTGGGGATACTACTGCGAAGTATTGCAGCGCGCTTTATACCGTTTGGCTGGAAACCTCATGGACGATTGGAGCTTTAGATGAAATAGGGTTACGTACATAAACGTACTACATATCTATTAACGCACCGTTTGCCGTACATAAGTCTTACCATAAATGTGTGATGTTTTCCGCCGAGTCTCTTGTACGTAAGCAGGGTGCGTTTGCCTGTGCTAAATGGCCGCAAATCTGTGAGTTATGGAAACAGGCATGTTTGTGGCTGTGGATACGTGTGGATCGTCGATTGTTTATCAAGGGGCCAAGGACACCAGGGGATGTGTATGAAATGCAGCAGCCAGGGAGGGCTGATGAGGATGTAAGCTGCTGCCAACATTGCTCAGGAAACCGCCTACTCCCCACCCCCTTGCTTGGCTGGATGAGGGTTTGCGCTCATGACCCTGTCAGTCTACGGCTGAGTTAAGACATAGGTGAGATACGAAGCCCATAGTTGGTCACGCGTCCCAAGCGCAGGCTGCTGGTACATGGTAGATGAGCAGTGCTGCGGCTTGTATGTGCCTCCCACCCACCATCGCTTTTATGTACATACCCGTGGCAAGGTGTTGGGTAGTGGTTTCCATGGTCAGCGACCTAGACTTCATACCTTTCTCGGCCTTTTGGCTCAGATCATGTGTAGTATCTGTTCTTGTAAGTCTAATCGCTTACATGGTCCTCATTGAGGACCTGCGATTAACTTCAATATTTTGAGGGGGTGCGGTCAATGGGTGCGCTTGCGCATCCGACCCACCAGCATGGTTGCGGCCTTACACTACCGCTGAAGCCGTGCACCCTACCCAGAAGGAAATCGATTAAAGCCCACACCGCGAGGAAAATGCGGTCAGTAAACCGGGAAGTGCTGGGCGGGTGCATTGAACATCAAAACAAGATAACCAGCTTGTTAACAACTTGGGTAAGCAGCGCTGAGGCCTCGGGGTGGAAGGTGTCGTACACCCAATACACAAGTTAACTCGGCTAGTGTGATGACATGGTGCAGCCCTGGTGCGGCCCCTCCCGCTGTAGGGCCCGGAAACAGGTGGTTTCCTATCCCTCACTGGCGCGAGTTGAGCAGTCGAGTACTGGATTCCAAAAACTGAAACACCTCGGGGGGGGGGGGGCAACCTCAGGAACCATTCCGGTCAAGAGGTGCAACAAAAAAGCAAAGGCTATAGCTACACAAAGCCCGCATTAACTCGCGTTGGGGCTTGACTGCCAAAGACAAAAGACCTAATGGTCGCCACTGGTTATAATACTGACCCACAAACGGCGCCACACGCCGGGCAGGTAAGAAGGCACGCACACAAGCACACAACTCGGCACACCCATATCCAGGTAGTGCTCCCGCATGGCAATACAGCCCGCACTCCAGCGTCCAGGCTTATCAACCACATCAACAGGAACACCCACCGCCCGAGCCGCTGACGCACCACCACGCCTCAAACCATGAGGGGTATGGGCACCGACCAACCGGGACATACAGACCACATCGCTCCAGGACCAAGTGAAACCACTGCTCACCCCCACGCGTGGACTGCCGCTGCGGCCACAACTGCCCACAGCGAAGGAGCTGTTATCACCTGCACAAGGTTTTGGGAACCCGAATAACTCACGAACAGTATTGACCGCACAAAAAAAGGCTGCGCCGTGCAAGCCTGAACCGTACCCTTGGTCGCCAAAGCCTGGGCCCATAACAAACCCGTGTACTGCGACGCAGGCAAGAACTCCATGCCTTCTTCCACACAGAAACAAACAAACGCCACAAAGTGACCCGAATAAGAACGCCAGGGCCTTTCCCCGACACGCGTGGATCATGGCATCCGCAATAAACTCCAACCGGACGCCATGATCCAAGCCCGTACCTGCCGCCCTTTGCAAGTGCTCCCCAACTAGAGACGTCACCGCTGCAGGGGCGCCCGCCCGCCCAAAATCTACCGTAGGCTATAGCGAGGCGCCGCTAGAGCCATTCTTTGCCGAGCGAAGGCCAACCTAACACTGGACTCGGACCGCGACCGCCTTACTTCGCGGCGGTGGGTTGAACACCGCCGAGCCCCTTTTGCCTAGAGCGAAAAGCTCCGTACTCGAGGGCAGGAACACCAAATCCACCGCCAGTTCCATGTGTTGCCGCCACCACGGCTGTGCCGTCCAGGCACTACCAACACAGTCGTTGCAGGTCTTCGCACATTTGCACACAAGTACCTGCATGGTTTGCAACCACCACCCGCATCACACACGGCACCGCAGCAATGTCTGCAGCGGCGCAGGAACACATTCAGAGTTCAGCTAAGAAGCAAATGCCAATCCCACAAGGGCCGAAGCACTCACAAACAATGTGTCAACGGAACCTTCTGTCGTCATGCAGTGCAGCGAGCTGTGTTGTTGTTGCGTCAATCAGTGCTGTACATGTGGTTGCATTGTAAATTCCAAATTGCACCCCTTGGCGACCCATACCACCTCACCAACCAACCACCGCACCAACAGTTTCCCAGCAGGACTGATGGGCTTACAAGTTACCGCCTGAAACTGCATGCACGGGCATCATCCGCCGTCAAACATCCTTGCCCTGAGTCTGTGGGCTGCACTGTTTACTGTACGACACGGATGCCTGGCATGCGAACAAAAAACCGCACCCAGGGTAACTCTACGACCCCAGACATACGAACAAATCACCATACACACATGATGCGCATGCCAGTAACACAACACAACACGTCCGCTCACCCGCCCCCAGCTGATCCTTTTATGAGTCTGCCGCCGACCCGCCAAATTCCAGCTCTCCTCACATGACGACCCGCTCAACCACTGCCGTGCTCCTCCACACCGAACCCTGGGTCAACATTGCTGCTGAGTGTACGTCTCAAACCAACGGATTTCTTATTTTGGATGCAAAGAACAAAAGCCCTGAAACCCAAAAAACGGGGCAACCTGTCCAAAGGAGAAGTGGGAATGAGCAGCTCTGGCACTCTTCAAGAGCAAACCCGGCCACCGGCCTTTACTTACGGATATGCAACAGCATCCCATTCCGCCTTGCAGCGGGAAGAAACAGTCTTCAGACGTAACAGTACAACAATAAGCAACATGCATGCCACCCGCAAACGTCAATTCCATGCATTCCGGTTTCCCTGCTTGCGCATGCACTCTTGAGAAGTTGCCGGCCCATCCACCACTGTACGTGTACGACAGGCCCCGACCATCACAGCCCATGCAAGTAACCCCAACCGCGCCCCAAGCCTTCCGGCGGTTAGATGAGGATACCAACACAACCCCGGCATGGACACACCTTTGCACGTGGTGCCCGCATGTTCCCAACCCAGCTATACTCCGCATCCTTCACACTCCATCACTGCCTACTGCCTTCCCACTGGCCTACCGCTGCCGCTGCCGCTGCCGCTGCTCCAGCAGCCATGCAAGCGTACCTTGGTGGAACCGTCGTGCCTCCGCCAGCACCGCATCCCAGTTCACCGGGCAGCCCTCCTCCAGCAGCCAGGCCAGTACCGGCAGCGGGGACCAGCGGCTGAGGCATACCGCGAACGTCTTCCCATATGGTCCCCAGGGGCAGCCCAGCCGCCGCAGGCAGCGCAGCATGGCCATGTCGCCGTGCCCACCGGCAGTGGCGTACGTGTAACAGCACTTTCCGTTGCCATCCTGCAAGGAGGCGGCAGCAAGGTGCAGTGTTGAGGAGGAGAGGAGGGCAGGGAAGATAATGTTGGGGGTTGCATGGGTTCCTTGTGCTGTAGATCAAATTGGAATATGGGCAAACCGATATAACCTGACACGTCATCCATGCATAAGAGCAACGAAAGCTTCTGACGGCTGCAAGGAGGGCAGGTACCGTAGTTCACCCAAACTAACCCCACACCCAGCTACGGCCTCGGACCCACCGTAAAGGAGCAGCCCTGCCCCACCGCCCACTCCATTAGCTCCTCACTGCTGCCCGAGGAGGCTAGAGCGGCCAAAGCACTCCCATCACGGAGGCAGCCATGCCCCCACAGCCACGAGAGCTGCTCCACACTTCTGATGCCAGCTGTGAATGCTGTCTCCGCCCAGTCCCCCACCCTAGAGCCCTCCAAGTCGGCGATGAAGGCCGGGCCAGCCACCTCCATCAACCAATCGGCCACCAACAGGTGTCCAGCGGAGACCGCCGCACAAAGGTACTCGCGCTTCTCCATGCTGCAGCCGGCTGCAGCCAGCATCTTGAGGACATCCAGGTGGCCAGCACGGATGGCAGGACGGGGGTCCACAAACTCCACCAGCACCACACCCTGGGCCAGGAGGTACTCAACAGCGGCCGTGTTGCCCTCAGCCGCTGCAGCCGCCACCGTGTCCGGGCCCACCGGGAAGCCCCGCTGCAGCAGCCAGGTCAGCCGCTCCAGTGCGTCCGGGCAGGAGGCAGCTTCTTCAGTGATGAAATCAGTTACCGGGCAGCCCTGTTGCTGCAGCCACTCGACCTTGGCCTGCCAGTCAGGCATGCGGCTGCCGGCGGCATTCGCAATCATGGCCGTTTGCACCTCCTCCTTTTGTGACGGCACGTTATCTCCTGGCATGTCCCTGTTGTACAGATGCTGCAGCGTTGCCAGATCACAGCCTTTTGGAATGCTTGACAGGTTGTAGTAGTCCGGTTCGAAATGGAACCGCTGCCGCAGCCACTCCATAAGGCCCACATGGCCCCCTAGGGCAGCACCCCGATAGGCAGCACAGCAATCGGCGGTACTGGCCATTACTAGACATTCACACACCGCTTCTTTGCCAGCACATGCAGCTTCACGTATGGCCGTTTCCACATTGCAGCAGCCCTTCTGCAGTAGCCACTGGCACACGTCGACATGCCCAGCAGCTGCAGCAGACTCGAGCACCTGCTCGAATTCCAATGCAATTGGCAAGAGACCTGCACTCTCTACTGCCACAGCAAGATTAGGTATACTGCCGCTCCGTGCAGTCAGACAAAGTAGTTGGCCCCGCTGCTGTCGTGCCAGGCTCCGCATGGCACCAGGCCGACCCCAATGCTGTTCGAAGGCAAATGGAGGTGAGGGCTCCGACAGCCGGACGGTAATGTATTGTAGCCCATGAAACAAGGCTGCACAGGTCTTGTCCACAAGGCGTATGCTCAAGGCGATTTCATTACGAGACAGGAAGCCAGTGATACGCAGGATGATGTCCGGAATCCATATCAACGAAGCGTTGGGGGCAGCCTCGTTGGAGAGCTGCACATCATGTCGGCTTCTGTCTAACCTGCTGATATTATCAACCATGTTGCCAGCAGGCGTGTTGTTTCCTAATTGGGTGTCGTAATGTCAGCAGCCGCAGTCTTCCGCTGGTCCGAAGCAAACTTGCACACTTGCAAGCGGGATCGACGAATGTTTACGCCTCCAGGAATTATCATTTGAACAAACATTGCAGTAGCAGTGTTCATGTACTCCAATCGGAAATTGAGTCCTCTGTGGCTTAGCTCCATAAGGCCCTCGCATAATGCCATGCTGCGCTCAACGCCATTCTGCCTTCTGGCTGGTCTATAACACTGAACATCCCCCACACTAAGAAGCGTGTTGTCCTGAACGGCATACGCTCAACTCGCACCTTGTCAACTTGTGCGCAGAATGTCGCACCTTTGATATTTCAAGCTATGTAGGGTCAGGCATGCGATACAAATCTGTCTTTTAGGTGTAGTATGGTGTTAGCGAGGTCCTCTTGGGCCCTGTAGTCGCTGCTGGCTGGTTGTGTGGCACCTGTGGCAGGGCCATGCTGTATTGCTACATTCATACTTACCCAGGAGCACTCAGCAGCATGGCGTGAGCTCTCGGGCGTGTGTGTGAGCTGTATTGGAAACCACTTGCATGTCCGTGTACCGGTAGTTCATGCTCCAAGCTAGATAAGCATCACCGCAGTCCCCGGTCTGTATGTGCGTCACCCCTGTCGTACTTCGCATGCATTACCACTCTAATGTCGCGACCAGCACTGCCCCACGGGAGTACTTCAACGGACCCAGACCCTCGTACAACCGGTGCACAATTGCCCTTAAACACCTCGCGCGCAATGCCTATGCGGGTGCCAACCCTGCCAAGATAGCAAACTAATCATTTCGTATCACTCCGCATAATTGCACCAACCGTTACCCGGAAATCCAGGAATCTGTTGTACTTCCCCTTCTGCCAGCAGTCACAGCCACCTACCCTATTGGATATTTTCCACATGCCAGGTGGCGCAGGGCGGGCCGTCCGTTTGTCCCCGCCATCCAGTTGTTGCCATTCAGGGAATCCTAAGCTTGCAGCGACCTCAGCTTTGTTAGGTCAGCGTTTGTGGAGGCAAGAGCAATGTTCGCGTTGTGCCGTCGGGCTGCAAGGCGTGCAGCAGCCGGTGATGGAGGAGGTGGAAAACACGCTGTACTAAAGCGATACACTGGGGGTCGGAAATGCAGCGAGCGGCGGACGGTATGAAGCGGTGGTAGCTCGTAGGGTATTGCAGGAAACGAATGTCGTACTTTACGGTGCGTATGGAAGACGCATTTACAGTGGACAGCAGGGGTAGTTGACCCATGGGTCGCACCACTTACAACACCGTCCTATCGGCATCCCAACCTCCAATGATGGCAGGATGAACCCCACCTTCACGACCCCCCCATCCCTATCGCAACGAAGCGCCCAAGAGAACCCGCCCCCCCGGGGCGCACCGCTGCATGCGGACCTGCTGCCCACACAGCCCCGGGTACCCAGACTCAGTTTATTATTCTACCCAGACCCCAGGCGCGAGATATACATATGTGGGTATGTCCGTGTCAGTTGACCAGGCAAGAACAAAACCGTGGCATCGTGTCCCCCTTCCGTAAACGCGGAGGAGAACAAAACAAAACAGCCAACAGTGCACCCCATTCAAAACAGCAAGCGTAATAATAAGCCAAAGAAGTGCGGCGGCCGGATCCAAAGTAAGCAACCGGTTTCGGCACGTTAGCTGCGAGGCGCCCGTCCCCACAAAGGGACGCCAACGCCCACACGAAGCCCCAACCCGCCCAACCTGCACATACACGTACACACGGCCAGTTTCCTTACAGGCCCCAACACGCATACGGCCCCACAGAGCAGTCAGTATTCCATACAAGCTGACATCCGATACTTGGCATTGGGTAGTGCTCTGAGGCAAAGCAGTTAATAAGACAGATAAATAAAACACCGGTAGTCAAGCCGAAGTTAAGCCGACAGCATTGCAATCCAATCCATTCAGTACCGTATCAGAGGCAAACACTTTACCTTGCGGCCTTTCCGCAGCCTTAGTTTAATGACAGACTCACAAACGAGGACAGGGTTCCGCCAAAATAGCCCTGTAACATGGACAATACCCCGCCTGTGTACTTATCCACCCCTGCTATATAGCACTGTCAGTCGTACAAGCAAGCAGGCAGCAGCACCACACCTCTCTCCTTAAGCACGTACACGCTCAACGCGGCCTTACCGGCACAACCGCGCCAGCTAGCAAAGCCCAAATGTATCCAAAATAAGCGATCCAACGAGCGCGTCTTTTAGCAAGCTGCTTTGCTTTCGTCCACCACATATAAGCACTGCAGCAATATCGGCCACCACATATAAGCATGGCAGCAATAGAAATACGGTACTTATACTAAGAGCTGCAATTGGCCACATGCTTGTGACGCCGCAGCACATTGTAGCCTGCCGTATCAGTTTATGCCATTGTGGCCTTATGCCGTATTACCATCAGTCGTACGAAACACATATAGCCCGGCCTGGGAACAGTGGCACCGAGGGAACAGCATAGGGCACCAGAAAACATGTATAAAAGCACACAGGACACCAACATGCCGGGGATCGACAAGGGACTGCGCAATACGTATCCCGCTTGGCGTGTTGTGGCGCCATACGAGGGCAGGCAGGTTGCACCGGTATCAGGTAGTGGCCTGTTTAGCGAGGACCAGTTATTAGAGCGTAAAGAGAGAGACTAGACACCCATACATTTGCTCCCTTGAAAGTACCATCATCTCTCCTAATCTAGCAAATAACCTCATGTCGAATAGCCTCCGCACAGCTGTATACCGTCGAGCAGCATTGGCATAGTTCTTAGATAGGTAGGCAAGTTGTACCCATACCACGGCTCACAGGCCAAGTGTCGAATCCGCACAATATCGTATATCCGTACACACCACATACACCCCCCCATCTGCCCCCCCCCCCCCCCAGCCCGCCCCCCATGTGGTCCTGCCCAGCTGCCTGCTACACCCCTCCCCCCGGGCCCTCTTAGCACCACTACTACAGCGTCCCACGGATAACCGCTTCAACCGCCACCTCGAGCCTCCCTCCCACTGGGGACATGGGTTGAGGATTGCAGTGCTTCATTTCTTTCCTCCTTACCCTCCTCCTCCTCCTGCTGCTGCTGCTGCCACAACGCTGCTGCTTCGCTGTCCCGCCGCCGCGGCAGACGAACCTCCACCACCACCGCCACCACTGCTGCTGGCAGCCGCAGCAGCTGTCACGACCGCCCTCGCCCCGCTGGCCCCCCTACTGCTTCGCCGCCTTCAGCCCCCCCTGCTCCTCCTTCTCCCCCCGCCGCTGCTGCTGCTGCTGCCCCCCCGCTGCCACCCCAGTGGGCAGTCTGCGCGCCAACCCCGCCGCGCCGTACACCGCATCCAGCAGCGCCATGTTGGCAACGCAGTCCGCGGTGTCGGCCTCGGACAGGGAGCGGGCGGCGGAGAGGAGGGAGCTGGGGAGGGGGGGGAGGGAGAGGGGAGGCAGCGGGGGAGAGGAGGGGAAGGAACTAACTAAACGTATGACAAGGCTTTACTATGGGGACGGGGGAATGGGAATACCGGTACAATGGGTGAGGGAAGGGGGAAGGGAGGGCGGAGGAGGCCGGAGAGGAAGCGGCAGGCACCTAGCAGCTGGAAGGCGATGCTGGCACTGATGTGGTGGGGGGACTACACGCGTTTGTGACAAACCCGCACGCGTGTCACGAAAACACCCACAGCACCCCCACCCCCACCCACCCGACTCACCCCTTATCCCCGCGGTCCGCCGCCTCTTGCAGTGTTCGCACATCCCGTACAAAGCGATCTAGCTGGTAGAAGTAGGTGCTCTCCCCACTGCCGTACACTCGGGTGGTGGTGGTGGTCGTACGGGGGGGTTGTTGTACGGTGATGGATCCGTCGGGGCCCGTTGTGGCGGTTGTGGCGGTTGTGGTGGTTGTCATGCGGACCACGTTGCCGAAGACGGGCATGATGAAGTTGGAGCAGTGCAGGCTGCCCCTGTGGGGCGTGTGTATGGGTGTTGTATGGGGAGAGGACGGGAGGGCGGGTCAAAGCGCCTCAGGTCCGGATCCAAACCGGAACACACGATCTAGGAAACGGGAATGGGGCGGGCCCAGGGGGACCAGGTAGATAACAGCAACAGTCGCTTAGGGAAAGCCCACCAGCCCCGCACTCCCCCCACCCTCCCTCCCTCCGCGCAGCGATATGGTATGGTCCTTGTCCCCCCCCCTTCCCCCTCCCCCCTCCGCTCACCTCTCCCCCGTCACGTCGATGGTTGACACCGGCAGCAGCCCCCCGTGCTGTAGCGAGGCGCGGAAGGCCGCACGCACGCCGCTGCGAGCCGGGTCGCCCCGCCACCGCAGCTGGCCGCGCATGGAGGCGTCCACCAGCTGGGGGGAGGTGGGAGGAGAGATGACCCAGATCAGTTCAGCGGTTAAGGCAGCATGTGAGAGACAGATCGTACAAGCGCACCACTCCCCCCTCCCACCCCGCCCCCCCGCCCACCCGCGAGTGCGGCGCCAGCACCGCCTCCGCTGCCTCCACCCCCGGCTGCCCGCCCACCAGGCTGCGGATGGCGTGCAGGCAGTAGCAGCCCGCGTCCATGGCGGCGCCGCCTGGGGGGTGGAGGGGTGGGGGTGGGGGGTCAGATTAAAGAAAACAAGTGGGATGGAAGGAGGGTGGGAGGGTGGGGAAGGGTGCGGGGGGTGAAATAGAAACCCACCAGCAATGGTTGGACACCGCACCGGCTCCTCGCCGCCTGTGTAGGCCCCCCACGCAGCACTGGCCCCAACATGCCCAGCCCCCCTCCCCCTCCTCCACTCCCTCCTTTCCACCCACCTGCCAGCGTCTCCTGCCACCTGATGTTGGCCCCCCCGAACACCCAGCTGGGGATGAGCACCGCCACCTCGATGGACCGCAGCGGCCCCAGCGCACCGCCCGACCCAACAGCTACATCCGCATCCGCACCACCCCCCTGCTGCTGCTTCCCCTGCTGCGGCCGCTGCTGCCCGGTGAGTGTGTGCTGCAGGTGCTGCAGCAGCGGGTGCTCGCGGTAGTGGAAGGCCTCGCGACACAGCAGCCCGCGCTGTCGGGCCAGGGACTGGACCTCCCTGCCAGGGGAGGAGGGCGGGGGGAGGGTTGTGGGTAAAGGAAAAAGGCGAGATGGGGGAAGGGGGAGGGAGGGGTGGGAGTTGGAGGAGATGGGAGGGAGGGGTGGAAGGAGGAAAAAACGTACCAGGGGGGTGGGGAGCAGGGCCAGGCATGCCTGCCCACATCCCAAAGCACTCCACCCCTGGTCCTCCATTGCGCCGCCTCCTGCCATCCTTCACCTCGCCAGAAAGCAACGTCGGCAGCAGCAGCCAGGTGCCCCTCCTGGATTTGCTGCCGTTGCACCCGACCCACTGCTGCCCCGCCCCTGACACCAGCTACCCCCTTACTCCTTCCCCACTTGCTGCCCCCCTCCCTGCTCCCCTGCCCCTGCTGCCCGCTACCCCTCTTCCTGCCTCCCTCCCCACACCCCGCGCTGCCCAACCAACACTTTGACTTGTGGCACCCTGCCGCCTCCTACCCCCATTGCTTTGCCCTAACCCGTGGTTTCCTATGGTTTGGTATGGTCTTTCCCCCCTCCGCTGCCCACCTTGCCTCCTCCTCGTTGGCCGTGAAGGGCTTCTCGCACAGCACGTGCTTGCCCGCCCGCAGCGCCGCCTGGCTCCACTGCCCGTGCAGCCCGTTGGGCAGGCCCACGTACACGGCGTCGATGTCCGGATCCGCCAGGAGCTCGTCGTACGATCCGTACGAACGGGGAATGCTGCGGTTGGTTGGTTGGTGGTTTGGGTGCATGAAGGGGGGAGAATGTTGGGAGGTTTGAGATATGGGAGTGGAAAGGGAGGATATGGGAGGAGAGGAGCAGAGAGATGGTATCGGGGCAGTGAAAGAGGAGAGGAGGAGGGGTTAGGAGGCTGCTGTGAAGGTGATGATGTGGGGTAGCAGTCACGACAGGGAGGTGCGAAGAGTTAAAGCTGGGGTGTAACGGATGCAATCGTTAGGGCACGACGTGGCCAGAGTTGAGAAGCAACTGTTAGCGATTGATTGTTGCTTGTTAGCGTTCTCGGTTCCTTCGGCTGCCACTATGGCTACTCACAATTCGAACACAACATAATTCATTTTTGCAGGTATGTAAAAGTATGTTGTGTGAGTAGCCATACACGACCGCGGCCCTATGCTTGCAGCCACCGAGACCATGCGACGGAAATCGAGATTATCGGAAGATCCGGCTCTAAGCTGGCAAAGCCTACATCTCATCAGCCTTACCCGTGCTGCTTTGCGTACTCCCGTGCTCGATCTCCATCCCGGGCCGCCACAGCGACCACCTCGGCATTAGGGACCCGCCGTGCGGGCCATAGCATAGCATACGTGGCTACCTGCGGTGATAAGCAGTATCCTTTAGATGCGGTACGAGATTGCCATAGCAGAGATAGAAGCAGTAGGCGACACTATTGACCTGCCTGTGAAGCTCCAAGCACCCCCACACGCACAGGTTGCTGTGATTTTGGAGGGCCTCCTATGCCAAGAAAATTGGCGACCCTCTGAAGCTGTCCCAGGTCTAGGATTGCGGGAGGTGACATCTCAATCAACCGCTACTGTATCGCAGTGGTGCTAAATTATTCCCTCTAATTCACATAAGCTAAAGAACTAAACACGGTATACCAAGTCTGAGAAAACATGAAGACATGGCACTGGAATGGGAATGGGACCCCATCGCGTGTGTCAACGCAACGGCCGCCAAACTGTTGTACCCTATCAAGGTGATTCGTCGCTTGACCGGTAAAGGCGTCTAAGGAAAGTATGCATATAGCATGTCTTATCGGACAAGTAGCCTGTCCTGTCGTTGCGTCTTCCAAGGCTAGGAGAGTGACAGTACCGGTAGCTAGAAATCTACATGGCCCAAAATATGTAGACATCTATTGAAACAGCAACCTGTTATCAAAGAGTTATTATGACTTGAAATCCAGGCTAGTTCTAAGCCGGCCATGTCTTCTGGATTGCGCGGGAGGGGGCTGCTGTTGCTAGTGTGGACTTTGGCAGCATTCACGACAGGTGTGGCGCTGTTGCTTTGCCAGTTCTTCACACGTATAGCTTAGTCAATAACACCCTTGAACGCGATGGTGCCCTATGATTGGCAGTTGCCCGAGCCGATGGCGCAGCGGACGCTGGTTATCGAGTCACAGTGAATGGGACAGCTATCTTGGTATATGGAAATGGTAGCAGCGTTTTTGACCCTAGGGATATACCCGGAGATGACAACCTATACAACACGACCCAGCATATCGGCCTGAACGGTGGGGGTTACTAGCGACTTAAGCAGTCTCAAATGGTACTTGAAAAAGTTCAGGAAACTCGCTCGCTGACCCACTTCCCGGCTTCTGGCTTTCCCTCATCCAACCGTGCTTGCCCCGAAGCCGGATAATCGTATACACCAAGCAGTCATCCTATCCGATCAGGATCAATGAACCACACGCGCTGTACTGTCTAACCTACCCCTCCATGTGTTTACCCTTCTCCCATTTACCAAGCCTACGCGCTGTGCCCTGCTGCGCTGCAGGCGTTGTGCTGGCCGGTCAGCTTCCAGCCGCCTGGAGTAAGTTCAAAGCGCTGCGCTCCCTCTCCATCAACTGCGCGCCGCCCGCCAGCAATGCCGCGTCCTCCGGCGGTGGTGCTGGATACGGCAGCAAAGCCGGCAGCGGGAATGTTGGCAGCAGCAGCAGCGGCTTCCTTGCTGGCCCTTCCATCCTCAACTCCACCCAGCTGCTGGGGGAGCTCAAGCAGGTGTTGCTCAGCAGCAAGCAGGGAGTCAGCGTGGAGAGCGTCAGCATTGTCAATTGCGGCATGCAGGTGGGGGGAGGAGGGAACGGGAGAGGTGCCGTACTGCAGCTGAGAGGGGGCGCATTCCGTTTGAAAAGGGGCGGGTCGCACTTGAGGAGGAGGGTATGATGGTAATAATCATCACGTACGGGCGTGTACGGAATATACCCTCCCGCCCCTCTCCCATCTCTCCTTTCCTCCCGCCACCCGCCTCCCGAACTCTCTCTCTGCCCACCTCCCCATCCGCCTCCTATCTATCAGCGTATCTATCACCCCTCCGCCCCCCCTCCGCCCCCCCCAGGGCACCTTCAGCCGCCTGTGGCGCGACTACCTGAGCGGCGTGCGGCGGGTCAACCTGAGCGGCAATGCGCTCACGGGCGGCTTCGAGGCCATCGACGACTTTGACGGGGTCTGCACCGACGACTTCGCGGGTGGGTGCGCCGGGGGAGCGGAGGGGTGGGGTGGAGCCCAGATGAGCTTGAAGGAGCCCAGGGGCGGTCGGGATTGATCTGGGTCGCAGGGGGTCGAGGGCGTGGCGGGGTACGTCAGCTGAGATGCTGGCTGCTGATCTTCCGTGCAGGTGGGCTGGTGGGGCCAGAGTGCATGGTTCTGCTTTCGCCCCCTTCCTTTGGACGGGCTTGCCTTCCAACCATTCACTTCCACTGACCCAAATCGCTGCTCCCACCCCGGACACTCCTCGCCCCCCCGAGGGCAGTCAGATCGGGTCGGGGCTCGGCCTCGGTAATTGGGAGGTTAATATCCGTAGCTCGCTGCCATCCTCCCCCCCTCCGTCCCCCCTCCCCCTCCTGCCAGGTGACGACTACGGCGAGCCCGACTGCTCCTCCGCCTCCGTGCGCCTGCTGGACGTGTCGCGCAACTCGCTGTCGGGGGCCATCAGCAGCGGCGCGGCGCTGGGGGACGACGTGACGGACGCGCTGTGCTCCTCGGGCTGCCTGAGCCTGGTGCTGGGGGCGGGCGGGCTGGGGCGGGCGGAGGTGATGTGCAGGGCGCCGCTGGTGGTGCTGGCGATGGTGGGTGGGGGGGGCCGGGGGGGTTGGGGTGGGGGTGGGGGGAGGGAGGCCATGACGGTTGGGGCCAGGGAGGGTACAGGGGGCGGGGGTCGAGGGGGTGGATGCGCCGTACAGGTTTGGTATGCATTGGCTTGGCCTAGGGTAGGGGAGGATGGTTTTAAGGAAAGCAAAACCTCTATAGGTTGGATGGGGCCTGTTTCCCTCGCAAACCATTTCTCCCTCACTCCCGTCTCTCCCCTCCACAACTCCTTACCTTTACTCCCCCCTCTTCCCCCCTTCCCAGTCCAACCCCGGGCTGCACTACCCCCGCCACGTCCTCTACGCCAGCGGCTACCTGGTGGGGGATCGCGCCAACTGGTGCTTCCAGCCCGCCTCGCGCGCCGTGCTGCCCGCCATGTGGGGCGTCTTCCTGGCGCTGCTGGCGGCCACGCTGGGGGTGACGCTGTACGCGCGGATACGAACCAAGCGGGTGCCGTTCAGGTGGGGGGCGGGAGGTGGGAGGGCGGGAGGGCGCGGTGGCGGCCGGTCATACTGCGGGGTTGGCGCACGTCCTAATGGCCAGGACATGCCCTAACGGCAGCTTTTGGGGGCGTTTGGCACATATCGATTGGGGCTAGAAGTTTGCCCGCAGAAGAAGTTCAAATGGGGCAGGACATACCTCCGTCTTGTCATTGGGGCAGGAACATGTGCTTCCAAACGCATGTCAGGTGGGTGAAGGGCGATACCTGCACGTCGGAAGCAGGGTTGCCGTACGGGGTATGGGTGAGAGTACGCGGGGTTGTGGGCTGGTACCCCGATCGTGTTCCATCACCCCTCTACTCCCCTCAACCCCCATTTCCTCTCCTCTTCCTCATACCAGGATGACCTCCTCACCCTCCTTCGACGTCCTGGGTCGCTCTGGCGGGGCCCTCGCAGCCTCCGCCTCCTCCTCCGACTACCCGCACCCGCACCCCGCCTCCCACACCGCCCATGCAGCCTCAGCCTCCTCCGCCGCCCCCCCGCACGCACACGCCCGCCCCCTGCCTCGCCCCCGCGGCGGCAGCGGCAGCGGTCTGGGCGGCTACTGCAGCCTGCCGGACGGCTCCGTGGCGATTGAGATGGCGGAGCGACAAGCCATGGTGCCCAAGTCAGGAGGGGGACGGGGGCTGGGGGGAGCAGGGTGTGGCGATTCGGATGAATGTTATGATGAGACCGACTCGCCGTACAGTGACGGCGGGGGCAGAGGAGGAGGAGAAGGAGCAGGGGCAGGAGGGAAGGGTTCAGCGCAGGGGGTGTATGTGAATGCGGCGGCAGTGGGCGTGTTGCCGCTGTCTAGTCTGCCTTCGGAAAGAGGACCAAGCGGCGGCGGCGGCGGCGGAGGAGGAGCAGAAGCAGGTGGAGGTGGCAGAGGCGGGGTTGCGGGGGTGGTTCCCAGCAGCAGCAGCAGTGGTGGTGGCCGCTGGGTGCCTCGCAAGCACAAGCGGGCCAGCGGGCTGGGTGGGGGGAGGAGGGGCAGCGCAGGAGGAGGAGGGGGGAAGGGAGGGGGGGAGCAGGAGGGCATGCGGGCGGCCCTCACGGCTGGTCTGGTGCACAGCGGCAGCGCGGATCTGGATGCCGCGTTCGTAATCGGGGACGAGGAGGAGGAAGCAGGAATGATGTACGACAGCAATGTACGACAGCAGCAGCAGCAGCCGGGATGTACGACAACAACGTCAGGCGGCGGTAAAACTGGCGGAGGCCGTAACAGCCGAAGCGGGAGTAGCAGCGGTAGAGCGGTTCCGGAGCATCGTCACCAGTATCAGGCGCATGCGGAGGCAGCTGCTGCTGCTGCCCCCCACCCCTGGCGTGCTGCATGTCGTCGAGTGGCGGTTCGCGGTCTGGAGATGTTTTGGATGCAGCTGCGGGCGCTGCTGGTGCTGGGCATGTTTGGGCTGGAGTGCTACTGGGCGTACAGCCTCATACTGTACCGGGGGGGCTGGCAGGTGAGGGGGGGGGAGGGGGAGGTAAATGAGAAGTGAAAAGTGTTTGGGGGGGGGGTAAGGACAAGCAAAGAAACTGACGTAACTGTGACCTCCCCGCCCCGGAGAGGGGGGCGGGGTTGGGGAGGGTAAGGTTAATGGGTTTGTGCACTGGAGGGGGGGGCGTGTGGGTTAGGGTGGATGGGTTAGGGCGCATGCACTGGGCCGGGATGAGGAGTTATGATGGTGCATCGTATCCTCTGGGGCTGTGTGAGCGGGGTCGCGAGGCCCGGGCGGTTCGGTTTATGGGTAGGCATATTATGGGTAGGCATATTATATTGGGCGGCATTCACCCTCCCTCTACCTCCCTCCCCCTCACACCGTGTGCCAAAACACACACGCCTCCCCTCCCATTACCCCTCCCTCTCCCCCCTCTCCCCCCCAGCTCCTGGTGCTCATCCCCAACTACCTGGAGCACACGCTGGGCGGTATCGCCATGCTGCGCGCCTTCATGGCGGGCACGCACGGGCGCTGGAAGTACGTGGCGGCGGTGCCGGGGCTGCCCTTCACCATGGCCTCCATCTACCTCATCTACGGCTTCCTCGCCTACCCGCTGGGCTGGGCGGACCTGGGGCCGGTGTCGTGGGACAAGTGAGTGGGGGGAGGGGAGGGGGAGAGGGAGGGAGGGGGGTTGGTGTTTCCGTACAGGGCTGTTTGACCGCTCGGTCGTGGTCCTTCCAACATGAACCCTTCTGAAGCGCCCTCTTTGACCCCCCTTCCCCACCTAATCCAAGCCCGCTCTCCCCTCTCCCCCCCCTTCCAGTTTGCTGCATTTATTCCTTATTCCCCCCTCCCCTCCCTCTCCCCCCACCCTGCCCCAGGTTCCTGGACCTGATGGACTCGTGCGGTGTGCTGAGCAGCACCTGCTGGGCCATCTTCTCCAGCCTGGCCTACTGGCGGGGCAACAGCGTGGCCACATCCTACCAGTACTTCAACACGGTGGGGGGGAGCGGGGGAGGGAGGTGCAGGAGGGGAGAGGGAGGAGCTGTTGGGGCTTGGGAGGTGGAGGGCTGGGGCGGGGCGGCTGGGATTTGTCGGAAAAGGGTTGGGAATGGTCAGAGAAGGGTTGAAGTATGGAGAGGCATTGTGCGGGGGGAGGGGGCAAGGGGGGAGGAGCCAAGGGCGATACGGGCACCTCGCATTACCTTGCATCCGGCGCTGCACTGTATACCTCGTTGCCGGCCCTTTCGCCGTATCGTGTTTGGGCCGGGTTCGGTATCATTACTTAACTCCTCCCTCCCTCCCTCTTCCCCCCACCCTCTCCCACCGCCAGGACATCTTTGTGGGTATGATGCTGATGTGTTTCACCGACCTGCTCTCCACCGCCCACCACCTGGCTAGCTCGCTGCAGGTAGGGAGGGGGGACTCACTTGGGGGGGGTAAAAAATATATATATGATGAGACACTGACGAAGCAACTGACGAGCTGTATGACAAGGCTTCACCATGGGGTGCAAACATGGTAGCCGGTCCATCCCACCTTACCCGATATAATTTACGGTAACCGAAAGAACAGAATGCACTTACCAAAAAAGTGGTACTTACCAGGAGTCGGTGGAACATGGAAGGAGGCTGGGAAGGTGTGGACGAAGAATCGAGGGTCGGCGGCCGCGCCGACGGTCCATAATAATCCCAGAACCCTCACCCGACGAACAAACAAAAATGACGAAACCTAAACGACAGCACGGGCTAAAACGAAGAACCAGCGGACTTACCTGGAAATGGATGAATAACCGCCGACCGAAGGACGTAGAACGAGGCCGGCGCGAGAAGTGAAGACCAGCAGCGGAGTAGTACATGCGAACATATGGAAAGGGGGGGTAAGGGGCAGCCCAGGCGGTTATCATGTCCATGGAAATGCGAGTGCAGAAGAACAGCGACACACTCCCTGTGACCTAAACCTAAGCCTAGATGGGAAAGATGGACCGAACGGCGCGGCGTATGGGAAGGGGAGTATGCAGGTTGGAAATAGTATATAAGGCAATGCTGTACGGCAGGTTGGGAGGGGCGAATGATGAAATAAGGAAAAAAGAGATAATGGGAGGGCAGGTTGGTTAGAGAGTAATGGGAAGTAAGAAGGAGGGGTCAGGAGGGCAGCATACCAATGGTGCATAAGACAAACAGTGTGCGGTCTGTGTGAACAGATCCCCACAACACTGAGTGCCATCCGGGCGGTCACTGCAGTGTGATCGTGCCGGCCCTAATGTACAGGGGCAAAGAAGCCTATGACAAAGCCGTAAGACAAGGCGTCACCATGGGGTGCAAACATGGGAGCCGGTCCAAGCAGCCCTACGGTCCTAAGGAGGGACGTGCACGATGCGTAGTGGTGTATGGGGACCCGTGGGTCAGTGAGTAAGGAGACAGGGGGATCCGCGGGTCTTACACAAACAGGCCCCTGCCCAAGCGCGAAACGCCAGCCCACGGACACACAAGGCCCACGAGACAGACACAACACGACGACCACAGCGAAGACAAGCAGGCCCGATACCTGCCCATACTAGGCGAAGAACCCCAACCCATCCCTGCGCAACGCCAACCTATGAACACCAAAAAACTAGGCAACAACAACAACCCAACAACACAAAACCCAAGCCCGACCCAGTGCCACAACGGAGAATACCCAACCGGCCGCAAAGCCCAAACGGCCTCAAAACCCGGCCCGACGCAGTCCTAGACGCGCACCACAGCCCCAACTAACCCGGGACCCGACCCATACCCAGTGCCCAACCGAAACCAGCCCCCGCCGCGCCCCAAAGTTCTACATCCAACCCGACCTAAAGCCCAACCGAAACCAGCCTCCGACCCGCCCTATTGCCCGACGCAACCCAGTGCCCGACCCAACCCAGTCCCTGAACCGACGCACTACCAAACCCGCCCCAATGCCCGACCCATCGATCCCGGGGGACAACCGCAGCCTTGGCCGGGAACAGCTCCGTCATGTGGTTGATGTTTGCTGCAGCGCACGGAAGCGGGAACGGGTCTCGCGGTATAGGTTGATACCCGGCTGAGGGCGGCGCCCGGGAGCAGGTGTGGGGCGGCGCTCCTCGGCGTACAAGAAGGGTTGAGCATGCAAGAGCCGTGCGTAGTGCCGGAAGAGACGAATCCGGGAGTAGCCTCCGCACTTGAGCTGCCAGAGGGTATGGGCCATGTTGTCACAGAAGGAGGCAGCTTCGGACTCAACATGGCGTATCCGGTGGAACTGCCCGGCGAGGATGTTAGCCTTACTGGGTTCATTAACACTAGAGTCCCGGGAAACGAACTGAGATAGGCGGACGCCGTCGAAGGCGGGTTGCTTGCGCTTGTCGTAAAGCCTGGTGACGATGAAACTACTCTGGCCGCGATTGGCAGGGACGAGCAAGACGTCCAGGAAAGGCATTTCTCACTTGGGGGGGGGGAAAGAGATGAGGAAGCGGGAAGACGGGCATCGGCAAAGATAATATTTGGGGTGAGAGCGTGCTTTGGGGGGATTTCCGCACCCTCCTTCCCCCTCTCTCCGTTTACCCCTCCCCCCCCCCCCCACACACACCTCCCAGTACGTTCCTACTCGCGGCCAGTTTTCTTAACACGCCTCCCCACCCGCCTCTCCTCCCCCCCCCTCGCAGATTCCCTTCAAGCAGTGGCTGCGGAAGGAGCTGGATGTGCGCAGGGAGCCGGCGGGGCCGCAGAAGCCGCTGCGGCTGGTGGGGGATGGAGACCTGTGAGGGGGGTGGGGGTGCCGGGGGCGAGGGAGGTGGGGGGGGAGGCGATTCCCAGGGCAACCGAAGAATTTTACTTGAAGCATGGACGGACGGACGACGCAAGGGGGATGTGATTGGCGGGTATTTAGGGGGCAAACAAGCCAACATGCGAACCGAGTGTTGCTTGGCTGGGGTGCTGGGAGTGATGTGCCTAGAGAGGGAAAGGCGTGCGTGCTGTGCTGGGTGCTGCATGATGTCATCTTGCTGTACCCCCGAGCTGCATCTGCCGTGAGTGGGTACGTGCGTTGGCCGTACGCACCTCTTCTTCCTTTGGCAAAGCGGTACAGGCTCTGTCTACCACACGGTATCGTACACGTCACGGGATCCTACTGATGTAGGCTGCATGTCTGTGCGTACGTAGGCTGGGATGTGCATAGGAGTGGATGCGCTGGAGGTGGTGGCGGATGGGTGGCGGTAACGTCGTGTGTGTCAGGGCGGCAGCAGTGGCGGCCCTTGTCAGTCGCAGTTACGGAGGATGGCGGCGTAAGGGACGTGGGGCCGGAGGGGTGTTGCCACGCGACGCTTCCCCACCCCCGTTACCTTTGAGTGTACTATGTTTTGGGTGTATTGTGTTTTGAGTACCGTAATAAAGCCACTTCTTGAAAACATAAAGGGCACGGTATTGGGTGCTAATAAGGGCTAGAAGGGGCGTCTGAGAAGGGGCACAAAGAGACAGCTGCAGAGCTGGGTTGCACTGCTGCAACTGGAGTGTGGTGGGTCCCCGGGTGGCGGCTTCCCCCTGTGTTGCCCGCAGTTGTGTGTGTCAAGCAGCGAGGTGCCTGGGTTCTATGCGTGCCTTAATGGAAAGGGGGCACGAGGGTTAGGGATTTCATTTTGAAAGCGACTCTTGTGTGTTCGGGGTATGCCGATCTAGCCAATTTATTGATTTCCATGTCAGTGCCGCTTAAGTGGAAATGGCTAGCCGGTCCTCATTAATTTCCAAGGACAGTTGCATATTACAGTCTGTTGTACATATTACAGTTACGTATTGCAGTCTGATGTACCACTTGTATCGTGTGTGTTTATGGTGTTTTGGGGAGCAATCAAAGAGTCTTCCACGTTTGTTTTGGTTTATTGAACCGACCGGGTAACAATTCGTGGACTGGCCGGTTGCGACCGCATGCTGTCTGGTGTCGTGTCGTTGAGTCGCAGCAACATGGGGGGGGGGGGCTTATTACATGACTTGAGCCGGGGCACGAGGGGGCAATGTGCTGGGAATGGGGGGCAGGTTCAGGGGGGCCAGGTACAAGTCGACAGCGTTTTTGTCGATGAGCCGCACCCCATTGCATGGCAGTGTAAGGGGGACACACTGATTGCCTGCTGTTTGGATCTCAGCAAGGCCAAAACACAAGCTGTTACATTTCATCACATCACAAACCACCTTGCCATCCTACACAGCTGCAAATCCCAATCTCCTCCAATGCGCAACACCTCAAGATACAGGTTGCGGTTCCTCCAGCAGCAAAAGTTGGACCACGGACCCATGGGTCATTTATTAATACACATACATGTATAGGTAGTACAGTACAGTTACGCGGCGCAGTTGCTTCACACCATACATACATGACGATCCAAGTCGCACTAATCCCCGGTGGTCTTCCGGTGGTCGCTTGCACGCTGCACAAGCCCAGACAGCCCAGGTTCGCATCTTACCTCGAACGACGTGTGCATAACGACGCCTGCTCCAGGGATCTAGTTGCAACGGACGAGCTGCTTGAACCAACCGTACTGCGTCACCCGCAGCACCGCCGCCGGCAGCAGCACGCCGCGGACCCCGAAACTAAAATGCGCAGAATGGCGGCCTCAAGGACACATGGCTTCCGTGGCTTCTCATCTGATTCAATCTGATTCAACGATTTCCACAAGCCACAAGGGCGGTAAGAATACAGTCTTGCGCCACCTTATGTACCTCCCTAAACCACGGTATAACAGGAAAGCCGAAAAACCGTCCCCTTCCTCACTCCCAAAGGAGTTATCATGTACACCCACCCACGCGCGCATGGGGCCTCTGCTGCCCTTCCGCCCCTACCTCACCCAGCGTCAACCCACCCTGCTCGCTTACATGTGTACTAACTCAAACATGTCTTCGGCACAACAATCTACATCCCCTCCGACACAACAACGACACCGCAGTGCAGCTGCATGTGGCTAGGTGTACATCCAGTATTCCGTACGGCTCTTCTCCCTGTGACCGGCGCATCGCAGGTGCCCTTTACTTCGCTGATGTGTTGAGGCGGCCAGCATCTCCCCCCTCCCCCCGCCGCTGCCTAGGGCTCTAGGTGCCTCTGCGGGCCCCTTGGGGGGGTGTCGTCGTGACGGCTGCCGCTGCTGCCGCTGCTGCTTGTGGTGCCGCGCTCGCTCCATCTTGCGCTGTACGACGGGAACAAGTATAAGGGTGCAAGGGAGGGAGGGGCTAAGTGACCCATGGGTCAGGAGGGGTCGACCGGTAGATAAGGATCACCGGTATGCGGAGGTGCTTTGGGTGAGGACGACGTGCCGTACACAGGAGGAAGCGCTTTGCAAGCATGTTTGTGTTTGAACCATATTACTATTCAGGATGCTTAGACTGCAGCTACACTCCAGCGCCTCACCCACCCACCTCGAGCCCGTCTGCCAGCTCCAACAGCTCGTCGTCAGCGAGGCAGCTGCCGCTCCTGCACCTGCTGCCGGCGCTTCCGATCCCGGACAACACCGCTGCGCGCCGCTCCTCCTGCAGAGCATGCGGCGGCGCGGGGCCCAAGCCTGCGGCCAGTCCTAAAACGAAGAAACATGGATAACCGGTACGTCATGGGAAAAACACTAGCCGTACAGATCCACAAGCACGTAACAGCTTACGAACAGGCAGCAACAGGCATAACAGACAGCAAACAAAGCGTTCACGATGCTACCCCCACCCCCACCCCCCCGCCAAATCCGCCCTCCCACACCTCTCAGTGCGCTCAGGGTCACTCGCAGGGGCGGCCAGCGAGTCCCCGGGCAGGTGCCCCAGCCAGCGGCTGGGAGTTGAGGGCGGGTGCTGCGGGCGCGGGTGCAGTCGCTCGCCGCCCTCTCACCCGCCGCCAGTGGAGCCTGATGGAAAGGGAGGTGGGGAGGTGGGGATAAAGAGGAAACAACTAACTGACTGAGGGATAAGGCGTCAGGTGGGAAGGGAGGGCAGCAAGAGAGTAATGCGGTAAGCGGGAAGCAAGACGGTGTGACAAGTGACGATGATGGTGGTGGCGGTACGCGTCGGCAAAAACGGGGAAACATGGAACATCACGCTACATCAGTGAATGGCTGTGAGGTGACCAAAGGGAAAGTGGGAGACATCAGTCATCGTTCATGTCCGAAAACGTGTCCCCGACAACCCCAAATTCCCTACCAACCCTCCTCCTGCCCCCACCCTCCTCCTGCCCCCACCCTCCTCCTGCCCACACCTTCCCCCTGCCCCCACCTTCCCCCTGCCCCCACCTTCCCCCTGCCGCCCACTGCTTTGCCCCTGTCACACCCCCGGAAGCTGCCCCGCCGCCCCAACACCTCCTCCACCAGCCCCGCCAGCCGCCGGACACTGGGGGCCAGCAGCAGCAGCAGCAGCGCGGGGGGAGCAGGAGGAACAGCGGGAGGAGCAGGCGTGCCGTACGGCGGTGGTGCGAGCTGCAGCAGCCCTCCGCCTTGCTGGCCTTGCTGCTCCTGCCCCTGCTGTTGTTGTTGGTCCTGCTGTGCGGGCTCCGGTTCGTTCAGAAGCAGTACTGCTTGTTGCTGCTGCTGTTGTTGCTGTTGTTGTTGTTGCTGCTGTTGGTGCCGCTGCCGTTCCCTCTTGCGCGCAAGGGCCAGCAGGCGAGCTGCGCAGGAGAGCACCAGCTGCCGACAGTGCTGTTGCTTACCACCGGTGCGAGACTTCCGTGCTGTGATCCTGGGAAGGGAGAGGGAGGCAGGGAAGATGGGGGGAGCGGAATGTCGCAGAAGGCTGAGGGAAGGAGGGCACGGTTGACAGAGGCGCAGTTCTTTGTAACTTGACGTGTGCAGCAGAAAAAGAGTTGCCCTACCCGGTCCAACCCTCCTCGTCGTTTAAGCCACTTGACGGTGCGAACTCCTCGTGCCCAACGGCAACCGCAGGTGAGCAGTCGAGTGTGCCCTCCTCGCCAAGTACTTGAGACAACCAACTTAAGTCCAGCAGCATTTTATCATCGTGCTGAGGAGGAGCTTGGCAGCAGGCGCAAAGGCGCTGTGACTGCTGCGACTTCAATGCTGCGAGCGCCTTGCCGCTGAGTCCAACCGCAGTAAGAGAGTTTAACAATGACTCGTAGATTGACCGATACTGGCGTGTGTGTATAAGGCAAGGACTCTCTGCGGCAGGCTGTCGACCAGCGCTTGTTCCCGACATTGTATGTCGGGTTGGTGCGTTGGCAAAGACTGCAGTAATGGTACAAGACCTGGTAGTCAAGATGCTCCTTGACACAAGTTATACACGTAACTGAGCCGGGTCCTTTAAGGGAAGGGGAGGATGGCCTGCTCGTCCGCAACATGCAACTGCCAAGCAACTGCAGGCTTCGCAGTTGTGCCAAGCATCAAAGGCCTATGTCGGCACTGGAGTATCGTTAAGCACTCTACTTTATTCAAAAGCAGTAATAGTAAATTACGATAGGATGCACTCTTCCGCCTCGCGAGGTCCTCCCTGGGACATCGGCGCCGCGGCGCGCCCTTCACAAGGCGCTACTCGAACACCTAACAGTTATAGCCCTTAGTAAAAAGTATTGCTTCACTGATATACATATGCGTAGCCGCATTGCTGTGGGCGTGGTAACGGACGTTGTAAAGTCAACCCTCCGTTGTTAAGTAGCTGACTTCAACTACGCGGCCGTTTCCTGTAGTAAATTTGTTATTGCTCTTAGTTGCCGCGGGTCGCGGCATCCTTCTCTCTGAATGTCCTTGTTTATTGAATGACAGGCATGGCTAGATAGGCATCCCACGGCTACTGTTCCTGCTGTTGTTCATGTTGTTGTTGCTGCTGCTGGTACATACAAGACCTGTTGCTCCTGCAACCATGCCAGCCCTGTATCTGACGAGCGTGACAATGTAGCTCAAGATTACTGCCCCCTCCCAATCCACGGGGCGGCCCAGCTCCAGCAGCAAGCGCAGCGCCTCTATGGGGCTACAGCCCGAGACACAGGTCATATGCTTTCTCAAAGGGTAACACAGCCTCCGCTTTCCTCCGGCTTTCCTCGCTTCCTTTGCAGCTCTGCTGTGGGTTTGTCCAGCATCCCAGGGACATCCGCAGCCACCGCAGCGCCAGGCTGCCTGAACTGGCTGCATTGGTGAGGGTTAGGGCTGGCTGGACTAATAGACTTGGAAATCTGATCCTAATTAAAACGCAATATATTCTAAGCTAGAATCTAGAAAGCATGTTTTTTCTAATCCACCTAAACCGTACGGCACCTTAGACTTCTAAGGTTTCTAATGCCCGAGTTTTAGATCCTGATCCCGGGGGTGTAAATAAGTTGCGTAAACGTTGGGATTTAGCACCGGGAAACCTTCCCCCTTATACCCCCTCCTGCACGCACCCGGTTACTGTGTGTACATGTGCTTACAAATATCAGGGTATGTAGTCGTTGCCGCACATCTTCCCCCCGCTGACACAGGCTGACGCTTGTCGTCATTAGTCCTGCCTTGTCCCCGTCTTTCGGCTGCGTGCTCATCCTTGATACCGGTAGGTCTTACACTATGACGCTGTACAACAGCCGGACGTCACCGCCACCATACTTCCTTCACCTTTGTAATTGTCCCGCTTCCCCTTCGGCTTCGCTCTCGGGGTAGCTGGCCAAGGGCTAAGTTGGTTCCCGAGAGTGTGGTTGTGAGGATGTGTGGCGCCATAGGGGGGGTGGTGCTTTGGCTTGTGGGGGTGGTGCCCGTCACAAGGCGAATCGGTAAGGCTTTGGTGCGCTTGGATGGGCTGGATCAACGCAGGCAAGGACTGGATAGGCAGGCAGACAGCAGCATGCACCGGTAGACCCGGTGGAAGGGGCAGGGGCTGATGCTAAATTATCTATATATAAGTCTGTCTTAGCAGGTCGTCAAGCACCTGTGGCCGAGTGGTTAAGGCGCGGCCCTGCTAAGGCCGTGGGGTTTCCCCGCGTGCGTTCGAATCGCATCGGGTGCGTACTTTTGCTCGCCTCTAGATTTGCCGGCAACCTACATATCGACTGTCAGACGCATTCTGCATGGCTTGCGGCCACCCAAGGAGCCGGAGAGACAGCTGGAGGAACGGGTCAGGCACAGCAGTTGCTGGCGCTGCTCAAACGTAGGCATCCGCATGGCGCCCTGGCTGCCTCAGTGTTGCACAAAGGCATGCGGTGAAGTATGTGCCTAGGACTGCCCTTGTCAAGAGGTGCCGTATGATAGTTAATGCGGAATGTATGTCCACAAACACCGTTGCCTTGGCTTCACGAAACGCTGCACTAATTAAGGATCCAGGCCAACATTCCTAGAAAGGCCTGACGTCCTTTGCCATCCCTCTGGCCCCCCACCTACCCACCCACACCTGCCTGCCTGCATGCAGGCGCGCCGCCGTACATCTACCGCTGCTACGCCCAAATAAATAAAAACCTGTCAAGCCCCTTGGCTTTGACAGCGGTGCTTCATCATATTTACCGTGTACCACCTGTCTCCACCTGTAACCCTACACTCGCCACGCCCCATCCATCTCCACCTAGCCCTACACACCATCACGCAGCACACTCCCTCCACTCGGTAACAGCTGCGGCGAGGGCGAAGCTCGTCGTTGCCCTCGCCATGCTTCCATCCTTCCGTGACGCGCAACCCATACATGATGCCGTCGTAAGTTATCGCTATCACATGAATGTCACTCCCGTTTACCGGCACAGCTATTCTACCGGCAGCGGGTTGGACTACTGCCAGCAGACCCATGGGGCTGTGGCAGTAGCGGGCATCCGGTCAGCAGTGCACCAGAGCAGCCGAAGCAATGGTATTTGTCAAGCCTGTTAGTGGTTAGTATGCGTTGCGAGGTTGGCACCGTAGAACTGCTGTCGTATCCGTGGGACACCCGGGTCAGGTGATGCCGTTGCACCTTTCTGCTATCTGGAGATACGGCTGTTTATCTGAGGATACTTCGGCGCTGGTCCAGAACTTGTGATCTCTCCAGGGAGGGCTTCCATGCAGCATTGTGAGCTGGGACTTACGTGTGAGCGCGGCCATGGGCCGACGCTCCTGGACACGCCGCATGTACGTATTCTCTGTTATAGCGTGCGCGTCTAAGGCCTATAGCGGAGCAGTTATTAGCAATACAAAGTAGGCGGAGACGCAGCCAAGGCGGGAGGCCGAGAGAGAGCCTGCCACGACCTTAGGAGCTGCTGTAACGACCACTGGATTGCAGTAACGCGCCTGATAGCCCTTGGAGTCATTGCATAGTTAGGGAGCAGTTGGAGATCAGTTCACGGATCATCGGTGTCAGCATCGGCAGGTCACCAGCCCGAGCGATTGGAGCAGTGTTCGGCAACGGCAGCTAGTTGTGAAGTCTACCATCTCCTCTTTCTACCACGTCCAGCCTTGTTGTTGTTTGGTTACCTGTCCAGGATAGCCACCAAGCCGGTAACATGGCATGACATGAATACCCCAGCATGGGTTGCGTCCCCGCCCCCCCCCCATCTGCTTCCGCAGGGAGGCCAGCAGGGTGCGGGCGGGGGCCGGCAGGTCAGCCTCGCGACTCACCCAGCGGGCAGCCTGCGGGGCGGGGCTGGTGGAGGGGCGGTGAGGGTGGATGATGGAGGGGCGGGGAGGGTGGAGGGTGCGCCAACGTGAGGGACGGGTACCGGTAAGGGGAGGGGGTGTCAAAGACCATACCAAAACAATGAGTGATGGGTGAACGGCCGGGGTAAGGAGGTACCGGCGGTGCTCCAAAGAGCAGCTCGAAAGGTGTCTGTTTCCCGAGGGCGTGGTTGTGAGGATGTGTGGCGCCATAGGTGGGGTTGGTGCGTGCGTTGACTGGTGGTGGGGGTAGTGCTCGTCACAAAGCAAATCGGTAAGGCTTTGGTGCACTTGAGTGGGCTGGATCAACGCTGGCAAGGACTGGGTAGGCAAACAGACAGGCAACATGCGCCGGTTAGACCCGGTGGAAGGGGTTCAGGGGCTGATCTCTTGTTAGCCTATATGTAAGTTGCATCTCAAAGTATGAGCAAGCACCTGTGGCCGAGTGGTTAAGGCGCGGCCCTGCTAAGGCCGTGGGGTTTCCCCGCGTGCGTTCGAATCGCATCGGGTGCGTACTTTTGCTCGCCTCAAGACTTGCTGAGGAGGTATATATCGACTGTCAGGACGCATTCTGCATGGCTTGCTGCCAAGGTTAGGGCTGCCGGAGGAACGGGTCAGGCACAGCAGCTGCTTGCGCTGCTCAAACGTAAGCACCCTGCCTTGCCAAAAGGTTGGAGTACCAAGCACCGTTCCTTTCGTCACAAAGCGCTCTAGGCTTCACGACGCGCTGCGTCAACCAAGGTTACAGGTTAAAAGTGGACCCTTGGAAAACGACCTTCGGATGGCATGAAAGCCCCGGCCTAACCTCCTGTGCCATCCCCTTGTCCCCACCTACCCATCCCCACCAGCAGGCGTGCATGCGTGCAGGCGTGCCCCTGCACAATTCACAGCTGCCACACCCATGCAAGTCAACCCCCTTGGCCATGCCTAAGGTGCTGCAGCACTTACTGCGCCCCCACCCGTCTCCACCTATAACCCTACACACCACCACGCCCCCACCCGTCTCCACCTATAACCCTACACACCGCCACGCCCCCACCCGTCTCCACCTATAACCCTACACACCGCCACGCCCCCACCCGTCTCCACCTATAACCCTACACACCGCCACGCGCCCACGCCCCCACCTGTCTCCACCTATAACCCTACACACCATCACGCAGCACACTCCCTCCACTCGATAACAGTTACAGCGAGGGCGAAGCTCATCGTTGCCCTTGCCATGCTTCCATCCTTCCGTGACGCGCAAACCATACATGACTGCCATTGTACGTTGTCGCTATCCTGGGAATACCACAGCTACATCCCCTCTTTACTCCCTCATCTGCTTCCGCAGGGAGGCCAGCAGGGTGCGGGCGGGGGCCGGCAGGTCAGCCTCGCGACTCACCCAGCGGGCAGCCTGCGGGGCGGGGCGGGGGCGGGGGGGGAGGCGGGGAGGTTGGATGGTGTGTGTGGGGGGGGGGCGAGGTTTGGTTGGGGAACGTGGAGGGTGGATGGCCGGGGGTGGTTGGCGGGGTGGGGTGGAGGGTGCGCACGGGGGAGGGAGGGGTACCGGTAAGGGGGGGTCGTATGGAGGTGATGGGTAAACTGCCAGGGTGAGGAGAGGTGGGACTAGGCATCGGTGACACTGCCTTGAGCAACTTAAGAGGGTGTTTGTTTCCCGGGGTTGTGGTGATGAGAAGGTGCGCGTCTCAAGCAGGGCAGGAAACGAGGCGAGG